TGAGAGGGTTGTGTAGCCGACGGCGCTTGGAGGGGAGCCTGTTGTTGTTGTTGCTGCTGTTGATGTGGTGGGAACTGAGCATTTGGCGGAGGTTGTTGGTACGGAGGATATTGGCGACGGTTGTTGTTGAATTGGCCTGGAGGAGCATTATAAGGAGCTCCAGGTGTGTTTGGTGGAAGGAAGCGTTGCTGGCTGTTGCTGGATACGTCTTGAACTGGTGGAGGCGACGGACGACGTTTCTTCTCCTTGTCCACCGAAGCGCCAGGTATTAGTTTCCATGACCATCCTTTGCCGTCCCGTTCCGCATGCATGAACAAATGCGTGTTACCGTTGAGGTTGTGTCGTACACTTGACGTCCAACCTTCGGTCTCACACTTGAAGCGGAAATAGGGGTATTTGAGCTTGAGAGCACGGTATATCTGTTTTAATGTCATGGGCGTAGGAGATTCTGATAATGCGTCAAAGATCAGCACCGCATAGTTATACGGTGGTTTGGCGAGTTCCTTGGGGGTATAGAAGCTCTCTGGCGGATAGTCGGGGGATGGGGACTTGGAGGGTTTTCGTTTCTTTGGTGCAGGAGGACGAATGGGTTCGGTGTGCTGTTGTATTTCCATGTTGGCTGTTATACCTGTGCCTCCTCCTTCGATGGACTGCATTACTGTTTCTCCAGGGGTAGAGTCAGGCTTCTTCCTCTTAGTGTACTTTCGTTTCTCCACCTTAACAGGAGCCGTAGATGGGTCCTCGGGGCTAATTGCGGAAGCAGCAGCAGGAGGAGCGGTAGCAGAAGCAGAGGCAGGTTCTTTGGCGGTTTTGGCAGGCTTCTTACCGGCCGTTGTACCAGCTGGCGGAGGGGAAATAGCTGTGGCAGCGGCGGCGCCATTAGCTTCACGTTTAGCGGCCAGTTTCTGTTCGCGTGCGATCTCTGCTCTTTCACGTTTGGACATAATACCGTCCTTCGGCGGTCTGCCGGGTCCGCGGCGTTTAGCTTGACCAGGTTCTGCGACAGTTGCTTTGGGTTCAGGTCGTTGTTGTTGTTGAGACTTTCCTTTCGCCTTAACCGGTTCATCAGCCTCGCTTCGCTCCGATTCTTTCTCTACAGTAGGTCGTTCGACAGATGCTTCAGGTTCCTCGTTATCAGGTTGGTCAGGTAATCCCTGGCCCATCTCCGGAGGCGAAGAAGGTGCGGCATCTGCACCGGTGTCTCCAATAGGAACGTCTGGTAGGCAAAATCGGACTCGGACACCACCTATCTGTATGAAATCTCCGCTGTGAAGAGGCCTGACTTGGCCAGGAGCCAGCCAATCGGCACCCATAAAAGCACCGTTGCGACCAATGACCTCCATCTCGAAGACGTTTTTATGGAAATTGTACGCAATTTTGACGTGTTTCCTTGAAATTGCCCTATGCGAGGAACCACCATGGGCAGGCATGGGTGGGTGTATGGGGATGGTCGGACATGCCTCTGGCGAAGGAAGTAATGAAAGAGTATCGACTCTCTTGGGTTCATGGTGACCTCTCTGCAGCGACTGCATAGCTAAAGCGTTATAGTCAGTCATCTCCCGCGGTTCGGAGTTTTCCTGCGATTCTCCCTGAGATATATGCAGTAACGGCCGGGCAACCTGATCGGCCGAAGAATTGGATGATTTCCAGCTCATCTGTGGCGGGCCATTCTGGGGAATGTCAGGGTCAAAGCCCATGATTCCGCCCTTGTCGCTGATGACACTTCCCATGTACGCACTGCCTTCTCTCTTGACTCTACTGGGCGTGCGGGTCTTGTGTCCACTGGAACTATGGGCCTTGTTGTTCTGTTTGGCCTGATACTCTCTCTGAAAAGCGGCGCGAGCAGCTCGGACATCACGTCCCAGGATGAAAGAATAGGTATTAACGTAGAAATGGCCATCGTCAAACTCGAGTTTCGCAAACGCTTGAATCCTGGGCTCCGACCCAGCAACTGATTCGGAGCCCTCGCGGCCCTTGACGTCTGTTGAATTGGAAAAATCCGGGTATCCTACAATGCGTGGCGTTGGTCCACCTCCGTTCATGGTCGGCGAGTCATCGTAATATGCAGCACCGCTAGTAAGCAATGCGTTGTGATCAATTGCATCTCGAGGATTTACAGGCGTTGTCGCCAGGGCAGAGAAATCCGAGAAGTTGTGAGCGTTGAGATCTGAGACCTTGAGGTCGACATTGTCCAGTGATCCGAGCATAGATGGGTCGGCCTGCATGTCTATGGCTGGTAGCGCATCTGACGCAGATAGGTCCCCCATCTTAGGCAGTCCATGGAAGTCGTTCACTGCGCTCGCACCGGTGGCGTTGGCTGGTGGTGTCGCAGCAATTTCAGGCTTCTTGTCTTGCTCTGGCTGCTTCTGCTCACTTGAGTTCGACCAGGCGTTACTGTCACTGTTGACCGCAGCAACTGGATGGTCGGGCGAAGTATTATTACTATTATTATCTGTGGTTGTCGTAGTAGTAGTAGCTGTAACTGATGTGCTTGTATTCGGTGCAGCGGCAGCGGCGGTGGTCTGACTGGAGAGAAGCTGTGCTAGCAGAGTAGATGCGGCGGCCTGCTTCTGGGATTCCGACTGGGGGGAACGCTGCCGGTCTGCGTTGGTAGAGTTGAAACGGTCAGCAATGAAATAACGTCAGAGCCCAAGGACTCGCTGAACTCAAGCAGCTAGGAGTTGACGTACCGGGAGCATCTTCAGACGAGAGTTTGGCCTCGCTAGTATTCGCCGCCGATGGCAGCGTGGCGGCGCTGGCTTCCTCTGCGGCGGTAGAGGCGGGCGTGGGCGTCGTCTGGCGCTGGGATTGCTCGCGGTGGTGCTGGGGGTGCTGCTGGTGACGGTCATCGAGCCGGTCAAAGCGAGACCTCTCTGGCACGGCGTCGGGAGGCGGAGGCCCCATGAGCGACGCCGCGACGGCCTGGGACGAAGACATGGTCATCACCGTCGAGAGCGCATCCCTCTGGCGTTGCTCGGCCTCGTCGTGTGCGTGCGTGCGGGTCGTTGCTGCGTCGAATGCTGCGGCGCCCGTCGTCGTCGTCGTCGTCGTCGTCGTCGTCGTCTTAAGGTCTCTTGCTTCGAGTCTGCCAACTCCTTACGATAAAAAAAAATGCCGAGCGCGGATTTTGCATGGGCCCGCCTTTGCCTGTTTGGGGTTAGCGCGGGCCTTATCCAGACTTCTTTTTTGCTTTTATTTTATATTATTGTAGTTTGCATCTTATTTCTCTATGGAGGATAATCGAGGACTGGCGGATGTGAGGAGGAAGACGAGGAGGACGCAAAGGCAGCGAGAAGGAAGCAAGCCCGTCGCGGTTGTGAGTGGCTGGCCAGCAGCTGCCTGCATATCAATACGAGGCTTCTAGTTAAAAAACGATACCCAAAGGGAAGAAGCAGAGAAGAGAACAAGAGAACAAGCGAAAGGAGAACAAGAGAGAGAAACAAGACGAGATGCCAAAGAAACCGGCAAAAGAGACGGCCAAAGTGATGTCTAAAGTGGCAGCCAAGTCGAGGGAAGAGTCCCCTGCACAAAAGACCCCTAACTGGCCGGCCTTACGCCCTCTGCCTCCAACATCCGACCTCTGCTTAACCCCCATCCTGCCCTCCCAGATCTACATAATACGCAACCTCTTCTCCTCTGCGCTGTGCAAGACATACATCTCCTTCCTGACCAGTCTACCCTTGATCACTACTCCCGGCCGGCCAAAGAAGGACGAGGCACTGCGCGTCAACGACCGGTTTCAAGTGGACGACGCTTCCTTTGCCGAGCTCCTGTGGTCAGGCACGGGATTGAAAGAGTTGGTTTGTAGCAGTGCCAGCCAGAGTGAGGATGAGGATGACGGTGAGAAAGTAGACTGGGACGGGGAGGTGTTGGGTTTGAATCCGAACATTCGCATATATCGGTATACCAAGGGCCAGTTCTTTGGACAGCATTGTACGTTTCTCTAATTGACTATTCTCCTTGTGTATGGATAAAGTGCAATTGACTGGTGGTTATATGTAGATGATGAGTCGGTGCAGGTAATGCATGGAACGCCGCCGGTCAAGGCACGGACAAGCTGGACGCTCCTGATATACCTGAGCACCTGTTCAGGAGGCGAGACGGCTTTCTACCCTGAGCCGGGACCAGGGAGTAAGAAAGGTAAAGCACAGAGCCAACCCGAGCCGGTTGTTGTTGGAATGGAGACTGGTATGGCACTGCTGCATCGGCATGGAGATGAGTGTCTGTTGCATGAAGGACGGGAAGTGACAGGAGGGGAGAAATGGGTTATTCGAAGTGATCTAGTAGTTAGGCGGTGACAGACCCATTAAGTGTCATATACTCCATTATGCGTTAAGTATGAGGAAGAAATTGTTTACTCTCCAATATATATACATTGCGGAGACACTTTAGTTCTTTCTGATAGTTAATTAATCGATATATCAGTCTCAATGGGTCTGTGATGGCTTCTTTGGGCATGCAGACGCTGGCTTGCTTGGCCATTTGATCATAGTTTTTGGTCATTGGAATGCCTCTAACTCGGTTTTTCTAGAAGACTTACAGCTCCTTAGCTTCGTGCTCTCTTGGAATGACTGTACTTGAATTGATAACTGTTTAAACAGGTCTGCCGTCTTTTTTTCTTACTGTTCTCCTACAAAAAGATGGCAAGGGGAAGTGCAAGTGTACTGCTTAGTAAGTAAACCCCGAATATCAGCCAATGATATAACGTCGTTCCTGCGCAAATGTATTATATAATCAGAGAACCGTCTTTTTCCATGACTCTAATTGGTTCATTTAGCCCACCAGCGTTATCTTTTTTAATAGCGAATGACGAAACGAGACTTTGTACTAGCATTTAACATTAATTCATCCAAAGAGAAGAAGAAGAGAAGAGGAGAAGCATCTTTTTAAATGCCCACAAGACAAGACACAAAACCACCACATGGTAAAAGGCATTCCAGGTGAAACTAGAAGGTGACGGGATATGTTAGGAGTTTAAAAAACACCACGTACGTTAACTACTAGGTACCCTTTTGCTCTTTACCGGCCTCCGAGTCCGTGGCACTGGCTGTGCCATAGTCTTCTCTCCGCATAATCTCCTCCACGGGCCCAAGCAGACGCTTGAAGCCATCTCTACCGAGCTTTGCAACCTTGACCTCCGACTTGGAGACGACGGTGGCCTGTCTAGGCTTATCATCCAGCAACGCCAACTCACCAAAGTAGTCACCGCGCTTGTACTCTTTGACGGGGCCCTCGATGCCGGCCTTGTACGCCACCGCCTCGCCGGACTCGAGCAGGTAGAAGGACTCCCCTGGCTCACCCTCGGCGATGATGGTGGCTCCGCTGGGGTGCTTGACGGTGTCCAGGGCATCGGCTATCTTGGAGCGCTCGTATGGCTTGAGAGACGACAGCAATGGCACTTCTTCCAGGAAGGCCTCGTACATGCGTCGACGCTGGAAGGCGCTGTCCATTAGAATGCGTCTGAAGGTGATGCGGTCCAGGGCCCAGAGGGTAGATGGTTCGGTTGAGATGACTGTAGCTGCACGCGGGGCGTTGTACATCAGAGCCAACTCGCCGAATGCACCTCCCGGCCCGATAGAGGTGACTTTTGCGCCTAGACCGGCCAGACCACCTGGCTGAGCAGTGCCGGAAGGGTGGATGTGGATGTCAAAATGGCCTGATTCGACAATGTAGAAGAAGTCGCCTGCGTCTCCCTGGGTGATGACCTTGATGTCCTTGGCCGGCACGGGCTTCTCGACGAGAGCATCCAGCACGGTCTTGAACTGGTCGTCGTCCAGGTGGGCGAAGAGGAAGTTGGATGAGACCGCGGCCTGCAGACGGGACAGCTGGGCGGGACTCTTGGGGTGGTGAGGAGGGGTCCAGCTGTCTGTTCCCGAGGTCGTTGGGTTCAGGGACTCGGCGGAGACGGAGGTGCGGCGGCCCAGGGAGTAGTTGTTGGGGAATCCGCTGGATGCTTCCTGGTGCTGGCCGGCAGCGCTGCCAAAGGGACTGGCCCCGAACATGTTGCTAGCTGACGATGCCGAGCTGCTGGTATTGGTATTGGTGTGGGCGTTGGTGGTGTATGTGCTTCTGGGGACCTCTCTGCTGCCGGCATCTGGCCTGACGGGGTCTGTGGGCGAGGTGACGTTCTCCTCCTCCTCGTCGATGCGGTTGACGCTGCTGCCGCCACCGTTGGCACTGAACGGGTTAGAGACGAAGTGCGATTGAGACATCGGTCTCGTCTCGACTTGTCTTTTCTGTGTGTTGGTCTGTTGTCTCCGGCAGTCGAGTCGGTGCCGGGCCTGGTGCTAGGTGCTGGGTGCTAGATGCTGGTGCTGATGCCGATGCCGATTCTCGAGCACGCTTGATCTTGTTGTCCTTTGATGGCTGGCGATGACGGCGATGCTTCCTCTGATGGCGATGTCTCTTTGTGGCTTGCTAACCAGTTAGTTAAACTGGAAAAACCGCCACAGTCAAGGGAAACCAGGGCGAAGACGGTAAAGCCTGGCCACCAAACGGGCCTGCAACGAGCGAGTCCTATCGAGGGAGCAACCAGTTGTCTTGCTGGGGTCTGCAATGCTGGGCGTCTCTGTATCCGGCGTGCTGCCTGGCCTGGTGTCTGGGGGAGGATGGAGGCAGCCTGCGGTCTGGCGTGGGGTTGGGCGGGATGAAGATGAACTAGCGCACGATGCAGCAGAAGAAACGCGGACAGTCAAAACCAGGCAGTTAGTTGTCTTTTAAGTTATCTGTTTCGCAGCGAGCAAGCAAGACGGCAGAGACGAAGACGAGACGCAAGAGGCAGCAGAGGCTGAAGATGGAGGGTCTGAGGCCAGGTAGGTAGATAGATGTAGGCGAAGAGGCCGCGATGACGTCGAGACGAGCCCGAGCGAACGCAAAACAGAGCGACAAGAGACAAGAAACCACGGTCGCCCTCGCTCGCTTCTCTGCCGCTTCTCTTCTTCTTCTAGAACGTCACCAGGAAAGCTACCCGGCCTCGAGCTTCGCCAGTGACTTTCGTGCCGGTAGCGATACTCCGCCGCCCGCAGGGGCTGCCGCAGAGGCTGAGGTACCGCTACGGGCGCTGCAGGTATCGCCACACGTGAGTCCTTCAGGTTCCATGGGACGAAGACGAGAGGCAGCTTTGGTGGACGAAGCTCGGTCTTCTTGTTGTTGGCTGTTGCTTGCTGTTGCTGTTGCTGGCCCTCGTATTGCAGCTGTCTGCTGTACGGAGTAGTTACAGGATGAGTTACTAATTGACTATAACCGACAGCTTCTCTCTTTGTAGCTCTACCTGCAGCGTCCTCTGCGTCCTCTGCGTCCTTCTGCGTCTGTCTCTGCTGCGAGTTGCTGCCCGCCGCCGACTTCCATCCAATAAACAGCGTCCGATAGCGCTTGCTTGCGTGCTTGCTTGCTTCTTCTTCACCAGCCATCTTTTCTTGATTCTTCCTTTGCTCTGCCTCACCTCCAGCTTCCAGTCTGCTTCCCATCATCTCAGCGTCGTCCTCCTGTCTGACGCTTTTTTTTTTTTTTTTCCTTTTCCCTGCGGAGTCCTGCTCGCTTAGCTACAACTGCGACGTGCCAATTGATATCCGATCCGACCAGAAGAATGGGATACTACACCTTCAGATGGTAAGTCCGGAACGCAACCTCCACCTCGCTCTCAAGGTACCATGGTTTCTACCAGACTATGGGAAATGAGAGATGCCAGAAAGAAGCAAAGAAGGGCAGCCCAAAGGGAAGAAGAAGAAAACATTCGTCCCATTATTATTATTATCCATCGTTGGTTTGGCCCTTTGGGCATCTTCGATCTATCGATTCTGGCTCCCCCTCCTGTTCAACCTGATAGCTCTCACTGTCATGTCAACCCATCAATTACCCTCTGAAAAGAAAAGCAACTAGCTAAATAGCTTCTTCTGCTGACTGCTCAGGCCCCGACAGGCGCAGGAAGTCATCGTCACCGGCAGCTTCGACGGCTGGGCGAGGAGCATCAGGCTCGAGAGGACGGACGCCGGCTTTGAAAAGGAAGTCCTCCTCCCTGAGACCGACGAGAGGATCCTCTACAAGGTGCGTGGCCATCCTTAGCTCCCCCCCTCTCCTAAGTATTACGCTCTCCCCTATCGCTCGTCTCTGCCTCTTCCACTCTCTTCCTTTAGCTTCTTTTTTCCTCGTTTTGGTCCCCTCTCTGGTCCCTCCTGGTCCCTCTTCTCGGTGGCTGGGTTAGCAGATACCTCCCGGTACCTGTGCTGCCTGATGTTTTGGCGGGCGGGCGGATGTACCTGAAAGGTCGCCTTTTCGCCCCTACGTCATAACCACGACCACCCAAAACTAGCGCCGGACGGCCATTTTCCCTCCCTTTAATCACAACATAAAACATAAAAACCCCCACCAGCTCGATCATACGAACTTCTTCACATCCCACCGTCCTTTTCACTCTTTTCTTCCTCTCACTGCTTCATATAAACAACAACATTATACTGACGTTCTGCTCTGCAAGTTCATCGTTGACGGACACTGGCGTACTGACCCTGCTGCACTGCAAGAAGAGACAGACGAACACAACAACATCAATAGCGTTTTACTTCCAAGGCACATCTCGCCAACTTCTTCCACAAACATGGCAAACGGCAACAATAACAAAAAGAATAACAACAACAACAATAACAATAACAACAACAACAACCGGTCGGCTCCCACAACAACAACAATATCGGGAGTCACACCCCAGTCGACCACTGCAGCACTGGCTGGTACTGTCCCCAAGGAGCCTAATGTTCACCAGGCTACCATCTCCTCCGCGGCTCCATGCTCCTCTACTGCCCAGCTAGCCGGACAAGTGCCCTTTGAGAAGCCACCGGGAACTTACCCAGAGAGTCCCATCAAGGATGAAGGCTACAGTGTTAACCCCCTACCGGCCACTGGCACCCTTGGAAACCCTGTCAAGCTTGCTCCGGGTGAGAAGGTGCCTGATTCGGCCAAGAACGTCTCCTCCTCGGGCATAGGCAGCAATGTAACCCTCGATAAGGAAAGCTACGAAAGGGGGGCTAGTGATCCAGCTATGGCGGCCATGGCTGCTGCTGCTGCTGCAACAGGAGCAAGTGATAAGAATAAGAAGCAGGGTGACTGCGGTAAAGACAGCCAGCAGAAGGTCTCTGGTAAGGGTGACCAGCAGAGATCCTCTGGCAGAGATGAGCAGCAAAAATACTCTGGCAGAGATGAGCAGCAGAGATCCTCTGGCAGAGACGACCAGCAGAGATTCTCCGGTAGAGATGAGCAACAGAAATCCTCCGGCAGAGACGACCAGCAGAGATCCTCTGGCAGAGATGAACAACAGAAACTCTCCGGCAAAGATGACCAGCAAAAATACTCTGGCAGAGATGACCAGCAGAGATTCTCCGGTAGAGATGAGCAACAGAAATTCTCTGGCAAAGATGAGCAGCAGAGATTCTCCGGCAGAGATGAGCAACAGAAATTCTCTGGCAAAGATGAGCAGCAAAAATACTCTGTGAGCCCTATGCCTGCTACCGGAACCATTGGAAACCCCACCATGGTCTCCTCGGGCGAGAAGCAGTCATGTTCGGCCAAAAATGGCACACCCAAGGGTCAAAGCAGCAATGTCACTACCGACAAGCAGAGCTACGATAGAGGAGCCAGTGATCCAGCCATGGCGGCTGCTGCCGCTGCAACTGGAGGAAACGGGAAGAAGAAACAGGGCGAGAACGGTAATGGCCAGCAACAATTCTCTGTTAGCCCCTTGCCTGCTACCGGAACCGTTGGAAACCCTGTCAAGGTTGCTCCGGGTGAGAAGCTGCCTGAACAAAGCACCATCAGCTGCAACACCATTGGCTCAAACGTCACTACCGACAAGAAGGGCTATGACAAGGATGCTAGTGACCCGGCCATGGCTGTGATGGCCGCCGCGGCAGCAGGAGGCAACAACAAGAAGACCGGAGGGAATAACAAGAAGCAGACTACCACCAGCGAAGACCAGCAACAATACTCCGTTAGCCCCTTACCTGCCACCGGAACCGTTGGAAACCCCGTCAAGACTTCTCCAGGTGAACAGCTATCAAAGTCAGGCGACGTCACCTGCAACACCATTGGCTCCAAAGTTACTACCGATAAGGAAAGCTATAACAAGGAGGCTAGTGACCCTGCCATGGCTGCTATGGCAGCTAAGCAGCACGACAAGAAGAACACTTTCTCGGCCCTCCCTGTTGATGAGCCCAAGTCCAAGTCTGTCGGCCCTAACGAAAACCCTTCCATCTCCTCTGCCGCTCCCCAGTCCACCACCGCCGGCCTAGCTGGTAGTGTGCCCCTGGAAAAGCCAGCTGGCTCTTCCAAGACTGCTCCTGCTGTCGGTGGCCAGCAGTATGACCCTGAAGTCCCCGCCAAGCAGGTTCCTGAGCGTGTCAAGGAGTCTATGAGCAAGGCTCACGTTGACCCAGAGGCCGCTTGCCTTCCTGAGATGGTCCAGGAGAAGAAAGACCTCGAAAAGGAACTTCTTAAGGAAGTCTCGCCGGCCACGGGCGGCGGTCAGCCCGCTCCCACCACCTCAGCCGCCGCCACTTCCACTGCTCCAGCACCAACTTCTACCACCACAACCACCACCTCCACTGCTCCAGCTGCTCCAGCACCCGCTACTGCCACCACCTCTACCACCGAACCAACTTCGAAGCAAGATTCTCTCCAGCCAGGAACCGGAGCTGACACCGGAGACGTCTCACCCAAATCTCATACACCAGAGGTCCCAGCCGGAGGTGCTGTCTGTGAAAGCTCTGGGAACGACGGACCCGTCACCAAAGGAACTACCGCCTCCCAAGTCCCCGAGGCGCCCAAGGAGACCCCGGAAGCCCCGGAAGTCACCACCGGCCCTGCTACAACTGAAGTCCCCGCTACCTCAGGCGCTCCAGAACAGAAGGCCCAAGAACAAAAGCCAATTGAGCCTCGAACCACTGCCACCGTCACAGCAGGTGCAGACGCAGGCACTTCAGCCCAGGAAGATGCCGAAGCTGCCGCTGATGATATGGAGAGGAAGAAGAAGAACCGTATCAGCGGCTTCTTGTATAGGCTCAAGGAGAAGTTTGTCTAGGTCTCCCCTACCCAACCACTCTTTTTCACCGGTTGACTCGGCAGATATGAATATAATGTCTCTCTCCCTCCGGCATTCGTAATTAACCCACTTCAAATCGTTCGCTACCCCATTTCCTATGTTTTGCTCGGTTGGCCATTCTTGTCTTATGTTCATGTTTATGTGTTCTGTCGATATCCAAATTTGTCTGCTTGTCTTGTTCTAATGTCAATTCAATCAGTCAAGCTTTTCTTACTTAAGTTGCTAGTTAGCTAGCCGTACTTGTCCCAGATATAAAATATGGCTCTAATTCAGATTGCATTCACCTCATCGCTGCAAATTAGGTAGTCGCCTTTCATCCTGTGCTCTATACAAGTCGCCTGTATAAGTAAATGTAACATTTATCGTTAACTGCAAACCGCTCATTCATACCACTTAAAGTTTATCAATATAAATAATTAGCTAAATGCGGCGTTCTACGAGGACATATTTTGGTTGATAGATATAAGCACTATGGTGAACGGAGTGGTCGATGAAGTATCCCCGATGAATTAGAAATCATGGTATTCCTCTTTCGTTGGTGTAAAAAAGTATATTTCATAGTTACTATTGCTGAATCGTTTAACATCAAGAGAAACCATACTGGGTATCACAAGAGAGAAATAAGAGACCAACCCGCCAACACCGTAACCATAAGCCCTATAATCCTTTTCGTTATCGTGAACTTTTAGTCTCCGAACCTTCCGTCTCCGTCATACAGAATTTATGAAGGACAGAAAAAAAACGTTTGCAGGCTAGCTCTCCGGTCTGTCCCTGGAGTGCCTCCTCCCATTCTTTCCAATCTATTATTAACTTTTCATGCTGTCGTTGATCCGAGGAGAAACCGAAGGCAGTCATATCTAGCTCTAGTCTTGGTGGGCGGAGAATCTGGAATGAGTCATAAAAGTTCTATGATAATCTTCTGTAAGCAAGACGTACTGGTCTATGAAGCTGTAGCATGTTGAATGTACTTACAATTCTTTCGCCATTTAGCTCCGCATTGCCGTCAGAACCTCTCGTCCAGATCTCAAGGTAAGCAGTTATGCTGCCCACAAAACTGACTCCATGTATTTCTGCCATTCCTTCATTATTAATAGAGGCTGCTGTATTGGCGTTGGTATATACGGAAGGATTTTTGATCACATAGTCAGGGAGATGGCTGAAGGCGCGTTTGGAATTGAACCGGGGCCGTTCATCCAATTTCACAAGAAACGCAACTTTAACCTCGGGCATGACTTTAAACCACTGTTTAATAGATTTTTCGAGATGTGCCGAGCCTTCTGTGAAACCAATTTCTGCCACGAATATTATTTCGTCCCGCGGGATCTTTCCACGAGGGGTGGAACGCTCTCGTCTCACAATCCTAATGTCAGGGATCTTCATTGAAGCAGTTTTGTCCCTTGAGCTAGTGCTTGTGTTTACCATAAAGTGGAACCGATATTTATCGTCGTCCCGGGTTGCTTGCTTCAGTGTATTGCGGACAAGGTCGACGATGTTCCCAATCAAGGCATCATGGATATTTGACGGTGGAGCACGAAGTATAGAAGTAGTGTGAAAGCCTCCATAAACAAGATAACCCGAAGGTTTTCCTTCTCTATGGAAGAGAATTAGTGGGAATTCAAAGAATGTAACTACTTTTCTGCATACGTACCTGCCACTGAGGGAGCGCCTAAAACCTTGGACGATCCTTAGCCAATCATGCTGAGATAAACCTTTAAAAACGAGCACATCGTGGTCACAGTCAGTGGGGAATCGTCCGGCAAACAGGTCTTCTACCTGCGAGGAGCTCAATAGGACGTCGCCTTCAGCGATTAGGCGCGGGGTGGGGGAGGTATGCACGTCGCCGGAGACAGCGGGGGGAAGTTTCGTCGCGAGGAATCGGGGGCTGGCCCGTTGGAGGCCATCGGCGGTTAAAAAGGACTTACAGGGGGTGGGGGACCGTATCGTACGGCGAACAGGAGACGATAAACCAAGGGGCCTTTGCAAGAAAGCAGGAAGCAAGCGAGATAGCATCATGATTCGGCCACAAGAAGAACAGAACAGGCGGCTGCTGGAAATTGTGATTGGCGTGGAAGAGAAGAATTGACAGAGAAGTTCGTTGATGTGGAGCTCATAATATTTGTGTGGCAAGGATTGAGCCCTAACTAATAAGCCCTAAAAACTCAGTTGGCAAACAGGATGCTCGTTAGCAGCAGTAAAATAAAGTTGAGGCCCACTAACTAAGTTCTTATTTCACCCTACCTAATCACCCTATTAAAAATATTGATCCGCTTCCGCCACCTTACGTAAACAAACGTAAACAAACATTAATTTCAATGGATAAAGCTGAATGGGCAGGAACAAATAGAATAAATATTCTTAGCCAATAGAAATACCTGATTAATGGTTAATTAGTAATCCAATGGAAAGTAGCGAATATTCCTTTTTCGCTACAGCGAGCGCTCCCTGGCTTGTTATCCAATAATAACAACTGAGACTTTTGTGCCTCACTTCTGGATGCTTTTGAAAGCTCGAAGAATAACTATGGGCCTGGGCTCGGCCAGACTGGAAAATGGCGACAATGCAGAGAGGACCTTTGACCCTTTCACTTTCTAAATTTATGGGAAGGCCCTTCAAACCTAACATCAGCTTGATCTTCCTACGGAACTTGCACACGATGGGTTGGTTGGTGTTTTCATAACCCCTGGTCTTTCTTAAACATCATGGTACTGACTTCACAAAAGGGGTTGGACCAAATGAGAACGATGAGCTCTTTACATACACGTCAGGCCGATTCCTATACAATGAACGATGCCGTCTTGAAGAGCGACAGGTTTCCTTCAACATTGGCGCCCTGAAAGACGCTGCTGAAAAACATGTTGGACACGGCAAAATTACCTCCCTCCAGAAGCTTGCTGAAGGAGGATTTAATCGGATATTCCTCCTTACATCAGAGGATGGGTTTCAAGCCGTTGCCAAAATCCCCTACAGCATTACTGTGCCGAAAAAGTACACCATTGCAAGCGAAGTTGCTACAACAGACCTTCTGCGATCAAAGGGTGTGCCTGTTCCCCGTATATTTGGTTGGTGTGCTGATTCGAACAACCCCGTTGGCGTGGAGTATATCATTATGGAAAAAGCGTCTGGCATCCCACTGGAGACCAGATGGTTTGATTTATCGAAGCACGAACGTCATTATCTTGTGACGAGCCTAGTTGACATTGAGAAGAAGCTGTTTGATATTCCCTTTGGTAATTTTGGGAGCATATATTACAAAAGTGATCTACCACCGGATTTACGGCTTGACTTATACATGAGTGGCACAGATCCGGTTATGATGTCAAAAGATGAAAGGTTTTGTATTGGGCCCACAACTGATTATATGTTCTGGTACGGCCAGCGTGCTGATTTGGAAATATCTCGTGGGCCTTGTAAATATCTCTTCCCCCACCCACAGTATTTCGGTGAATACGGAAACTAATACGGAAGATAACAGGGAAAACACCAAAGGATTACTTGATCTCTATCGGAAAACGGGAGTATGAATGGACAAAAAGATATGGCAGATCTCGCTCTGTGAAATTTCCCCATGTTGTCCACTTCGAGGCCATCAATTCTCCTAATGAACACATTAGACATCTCAACCAATATATGGGAGTGGCTCCTTACCTCCTTGGCTCGGAATCTCACACCGACCTAAGCTGTCCTCTCTTGCGCCACCCGGGTAAGGAAACCCTCCAACGTGATATGGTAACAAAAGCACTGGTTAATATATTTATCATTCAGATCTTAACCCTGGTAACATATTTGTATGTCCAGAAACCCATAAAATTTCCTCGATAATAGATTGGCAACATGCGACCTTGCTTCCCCTACTGCTTGCCACGGGACACCCTCCGATGTTTCAGAGCCCGGATCAACCGCCACCAAGGACACTCGAGAAGCCCAGCCTGCCCGATAACTATGACTCACTCGATCCGAAGCAAAAGTCCCAAGCGGACGAACTTTATCGACGCAGGACGCTCTTTTACATCTACATGGCGTTCAATGGTGGCTTAAATAAAAAGCACTTGTCTGGGATGAAAGATCCTCGTGTGCTACTATCTCAACATCTTGTTGAACGCGCTGAGAAACAATGGAGTGGAGACGTTTTCAGCCTAAAAGGGGCTCTCATCAGGATATATGAAAACTGGCACCTTTTCAATGCACACCTATCGGAGCCACTTCCATGTCCGATCTCTTTTACCCAGTCTGAGATTGATGCGTACTACGAGCAGGAGCCAACTTGGTTTGAAATGAATGGTCTCGTTGAGTACTGGAAGTCAGAGCTAGGAGGTTTGGGCGATGACGGATGGGTGAGGACGGAAGCCTACGAAGACACTTTGAAGAAAAGCATGGAGTTAAAGCAGGTATTATTGGAGGGCTCGGATACACCGGAAGAAGAACGGTGCGTTCAAGAGCAATGGCAATTCCAAGATCATGAGGAGTGATATATGCTCTAGTTGACTATAGACATAGATAGAGGAGACAGCTCTTCTTGAGTCCGAGATAAATAGACAAGTCAGAGAGTCACTCGGTTAGATATGGCAGTCTGGTTAGAGACGCCTCATTGAGTCAAGGAGAAGCACGGAGCATGCATGAATACTGCACGAGAGATTGCCGAGGAACAGCCTAAAAAAATGTCTGTGCAGAGCTAGCAATAATATGTAGCCACAAGTCACACTGCTAGTCAGGTGCATATGTACCAGCTCCCGACGCCTCCTTCTCGATCGTATTTTAGGCATGCCATGCTCGTTCGGGCAATAAATAACGAAGTTTATCGATACCTTAATCCCATAAAAAGGGCCTGCATGCTGTTATGGGCCAGCTTCGATCGACGCTTTCGGCTGCCATTGGGCTAGGATGCCTTGCAGCGACGATCTCGCGGCGCCTCACGGGATCATGATCGGGGATCTACCCATAGTCTTATTGTGCAGATATATGCTTGTTCTAGACCCTAACCTGACAGTGGCCTCATACGGCAAGCCGGTGGAGAGCCGAAGATTCAGTTGTATTGACTGCCATCTGAGGGTGTGAATACGGTGAATGCATATATTCTCATAGATTTAGAAGTCTACAGCTATTGATTCAGCAGGGTATTTCAGCAGGTGTTTTACTTCGATTTATCGAACGGACACGCCCGAATGAAGAGCTGGGCTGCGGCACATCCGTCCGAGTGACATCCACCCTGGCAGAAAGCCATGCAGCTAAACTCACCTGCTTCATGTGATATGACTAAGGGAAACTACTAGTTCCATCGGCCTTGTTGAATTATATGTTCTAGCTAATCGTTGAGCATACGCCACTGGGTCTTGGGAATCAGCGCTGTCAACATTGACTAGCTATCCAATGCTTGACTCCTATTGGTTTCCAGGAACAAGAGGCGTCCTATCGTTTAAATTTCCCCTTTCCATTCGAGTAAGGAGGATGTTGAATTCACCAGTCATTTGCCAGACCTAGTCGACCTAAACATATTCTTGTCACACAACTTCCTGCATGCTTATTTATGGTAGCGTAAAACACCAGCTGCCAATTCTCTTTGAGGAAATCGAGATACCGACTCCCTCTGCTGGCGTGAAGGCGAGAGACCAAACCCCGAGAAATAGTGTTTTCGACGTATAAGATGTATTTCTGTAGATGCAATTGCAATTAGGGCGGATGAGAACCGCTGGAGAAGGTGCAGGGTTGAACTCCTCACAGTTGGCCTTGAGTGTGTGAAAACCATTGCATGAGGAGTCGTCTCTCATGTCAATGTCTCGTCTCAAGGAATCAATCATCACGAGCAATCAGCTCAGCTGCCCTCACATTTGGAGAATGGCCTTCATACCCAGAAGGGCTTCAGAAAAGGTATAAATAGAGGGTATATCTCCTCCTTCAACGTTGGAATTCAGAATCATCAAGCACATCCCAAAGCATTCAATCTTCCACACTCCGAGCAAAACAGCCCAAAAGAATAATCAATTCTATCAGCTCTATCAGCCATCATGCGTTTCACTACCATTCTCATCGTCGGCCTTGCCTCTGTGGCCACCTCTTTCGCTCGCCCGAATGGAGAATCTAGCTAGGCCAACTGCGGGTATCTCAACGGCAACTGCTACCAGAACGACTGCCATGGAGAGCTGAGCGTCGACAGAATCACTTGTTTCTCTGTGGGTATACCATTAATACTCCCCCGAGCAAGCTGCGACTAACCATAAACTCCTATTAGGGCCCCTATCGTGACTGTCCATGCGGATACAACTGCGGTAGCAATGTCGGAAAATGCAACGAGAACGGCTGTGAGGGCCATGAGGGCCGTTGCACTCGCAACTACCTCGGCTGCTCTTGTGTCTAGACCACGCCCAGGCAAACAATTTCGGGTATCAAGGAAACTTCCAACTTTGCTATCTGTGATGAAGGACCCAACAGAGCCTGTCATTTCCGCTGAATGGTGTTATTATGGGGTATCTGTGTCGAGCTCTTAACTCATCTTGTCAACAACTCTGTATTCCGCAGTGATACTAGGGACAGCTCAATATAAGATAATCCTCGTTATATTTTCTGTCATTCGTCGTCGTTCAGGGGAGAAGTGGTAAAAAATAACCTTGTTGTCAATAAGATTAAGGGGTTATTCCTTGGCATGAGCCGCACAAAGTGTAAACAGAACAAACAAGACAAACAAGACAAATATACTCCTTTAAGTAAAGGTATCTCGGAGATGCATTACGTAATCAACTCCGACCGAGGATATGCAGGGGCGCGAGGGTCTCATTCGATTGCACGCTGGCACTGTGGAGAGGGTGAAAAACCTCGTAAAAGGGTCTGTACCTAAGAACTAGGAGGGAATTGACGATCAAAATCCGATACTCAAAAGGCTATAGCTGGTCTGAAGGGCTTGAAATGTACGTTCTGATGAAGGTGATGGATGGATGTTATTCCTAAGAACTGCTAAGCGAAGAACTAACTAATAAGGCCGATGGTGCACGTGACACACTCGTTGGGGCTTCTTTGCTCGCATGAAGAGCCTGAGATTGAGAACAAGGAGCAGCTGGTATATTTAGGTGCAGATGCAGGCCTGTTGCAAGGTAACATTGTCTCTGCTTGGTAAGTGAGGGCCCCAGCATGTCTGACGACTCCGTCGACCTCAGCTGAAGGCTCCCACTTCCAACGAATCGGATGCTCTCAAAACACGAGCTTGTGCAAGGAGCCGCTGACTAGTCTTGCGCACAGCGGAACAGCCACAGTCTGCGCCCAGTGCTCCCCTTGCTCCTCTGTTGCTAATTGTGGCTGGTCCTCGCGCGCTCCTGGCTGAACCGTTATTCGAGGTAACCATAAATCCAGCCTCTGACACCTCGGGGCCGCTTCTTTTTTCGCAGTTTCAATATCATCTCTAGTTCGTTACGGAGTACCAGGCGCGGCCTCTTCTGGGTCGATCAACTTCTTCGGCTCCAGCCATCACTCCTAATACGGGCATACCCCGCGCTCTCTTCGCAAGCGACCTGAAAGTGCGATCTCCTCTGAATCGAGTCCACCCACACCATCCTTCGCCCGAAGCGCTTTCCTGGAAACCAAGACGACAGACATAGAACACGAAGCAAATCTTGGTCAGCTAATCGTCATGGGTGCCCTCAGCCGCCTTCTCCCTGTGATCCTGGTGATCCTGTTGGTTGTCGCCCTTGCCGCCGTCGGTCTAGTGATTTACAGCATCGCCATGGATGTGAAAGATAACACCAAGAAGAAGATGGAGAAGAAGAACGTTGCATTTTCAAGAGAGGGTGCCAAGGTTGGTGTCAAGGAAATGCAGGCGGAGGAGTACCAGGACAGAACACAAAGGTATTTCCCCGACAGGAGCCTTCTTCTTCTCTTTGAAAATAAAGCAATGTACTGATCTTATTCGTCATGTAGTGTCCTAGTCAACATGTGGGAGAATTCCGGTACCGGCCAGACCAGGGGAAGGAAGAAGAAGGCCTGAATGTCGGGAATACTGAGATGAGAAGGATTTGATCAGCCTACGGCAAACGAGTTACGAGTTGCATCTTTGGCATCATTAGTGGATGACCCGTTACGACTTTCATCTTCAGGTGTAAATGGTTGGTGAATATGAGTTTATTTCACTCCCTCTGTACTTATGAAGAACAATCAATGTACCCATATTCAAGTCTAGTCATCTAGCAGCATTTTGGACGACCCCGATCTAAGTATATCAACAATGCATTGATCGGCTTCTAGATGCGCCACGAACTACGGGTCATTCGCTGCTGCAGGCCAACTTTCTCGCCTTATTCGCCTTTGTTTCGGGGATTATGCACAACTCGGTCTGGGGGATCTACATGTACTCTTTTGCCAGTAGTGGACTCAAATCGAGCCCTATCAAGTTGCTTTCCATACTGTTTATCCATCATATGAATTTACTACGCTACTTCTCCAAGTACAAGCATGACTACAATGAGTGAAATGGAGGCAGGTGACAATTGTATGGTGGAGCGTTGTTTCTCTTCCTTTCCAGTTGCACATGAATCTGCAGCGTCGAAGGATCAACATGCAGCCTCCAGTCTTCCGTAACAAACACCGACAAATCCTTTCTATTGGCTCGATGGGCATATTCAAGATAATTGAATTGTTCTTCGCGTACACAGCATAGTGAAGGATTGCGGGGGATAAGGATTCCAACTGCAAGCTAGGAGCGTACTCAATTGCACTCCACATCTTCATCCCTTGATCTACAGCCCTCCCTTTACTGATTGGCGCTTCTGTGTCGGATCACTCCTTGAAAATCCTCAGCTACCCCACAATGATGCAGTTCTGAGTTGTTCTTATCATGACCTTGTGGAAGATGGAGGATTTGTTCAGATTCAACATGGGAGACTATGTTGTGTATGGGGTTGTTCGAGCAATATATAAAGGGGCTGATGTTGCCGGGTAATTGACAATTTCAGAGCATCCTCAAGCAGCCACATTGAACACTTCCATAACTCAAGAATCAGACGAAATATCCATATCGAAAACCAGTCAAGATGAAGGGCCTCATGATGTTGTTCCTTGCCGTGACCTCTGTCGCAGCCCTTGCAGCTCCCCAACCCAAGGAGGGTTTGACACAGGGTGTATGCTGATCTCTCCTTGCACACCCGCATTTATAGCAGTAATTCGAGGTACTGACTTGTATGACTAGACCTTCATCTGTGCTGCTGCTCCTTGCAGCAATGACGCTTACTGCAAGAGCAACGGCTGCTACAAGTGCCAGCACGGCGTAAGTTCACAATTCTCCATCTCCCCTGTTATCATAGGAGCATTATGCTGATCAGGCTTCAACTTCCCCAGAGATGCGCATAAACAAGTGATTGACAGGCCCACAAGGATTGACCAGGCTTATTTCAGCCTCAGTCTCGGGCTGTTCACTAGTTAGCGAGCAGGCGGGTTGGATGGATGCTAGGAAAATTTTCGATGAAATATGTGTCATATTTAACTGGATATGAAGTTTTCAATCAATAGCTCCAATGAATGAATCTTTATGAAGAACGTTTCACTAGTCGAATCATGACTTGGCCATTCGCAAGTGATAGAAACGATGATATAAATAACTAACTAGTCCAGTGGGTAACTGACTGGTTAAGCAGACACGGCTGAGCCTCAAACTAAAAAAAAGCCACCATTGACTCACACGAGAAGCTGAATATTTAAAACACCAGCTTCTCCCCTCTCGGCAATGGAGTAACTTGATACCCTTCACATTCTCACATCCATCTGCGACTTCACTCTCAGAGATGTCTTCGGAACCCATCTTTTTCTGGAAACCCGAACAGGAACATGGGTATCTAGGACAATGGTGGAAGTCCCCCTTCACCGTGCCTGCAGAGGGCAGAGGCGAAGAGCTCAAGTATGAGAACTGTGAACAGTAAGCTTGTCTCATTGTCTCTCATATCAGCAATTGCTCGTCCATGAAGCCATGATATACCCAACATGGAACAGATATTAGTCAATGAGTGCATTAGTCTAAGAAGGCATATGGTATAGTTACATGATGCACCAGAAGGGCGTCTTGTTTGCCCCAGACGACCCAGTAACGCAGCAGATCCTCGCTCCCTCAGGGCCCGTACCAGGTCCCAAGGAGATAAAAGCTCTTGGCCGCAAAGTGCCCAACTTCGACGAGGGGGTGTGGAAGAAAGAGCGCTTCCGGATCGTGGTGCAAGGGAACTACTACAAGTTCACGCAGAATCCTGATCTCAAGGCCCAACTGCTGGAGACGGGCGATAGGGAGCTCGTCGAAGCCAGTCCGCGTGACAGGATATGGGGGGTTGGATTTGGAGCAAAGAATGCGCCGGCCAGAAGGGCGAAATGGGGGTTGAATTTGCTGGGAAAGGCGCTGATGGAGGTTCGGGATCGGATTAGGAGAGAGGAAGAGGAAGCTGAGCAGGACAACTAATCTGGCTATTATTAAAGACTGTTTAACGACCTAGTCTAGAATATTTGTTTGTCAAGTTTGATCAGCGGTAGAAAGCAGGCTGGTGGTTCCAGCTAATCATGGCCCGCGGCTGTTCAATTTGCCTTCCAAGTTTGATAGATACAACGTCATAGCCGTGCAAGATATATATCAAGATCTCTACAAGCTGGACCATTCAGTACACCACAACATCTCACCAGACTATCATTGTATAGAGAGCTTGCGAGCACCGTCACGATGTTTTTCTTTCCATTCCCTCTCGTGTGCTTCCAATGCGGAACCGACCAGAACCCGTGTCGTTGTAAGGTCGTCGGTCCAACGCTAGGTAATGCCGTCTACCATCTGAAGCTCCTCCAACTTTTATCATAACTAACCCAGTGTTTGAGATAGGCTTCGCAGTTGGCATTATTTCGGCGGTATATAGCTTTCCTGTTCATCTCTACAAGTATACAACTAACTCCCTATTAGATTATATGCTATCCTGCATCTCTATTCTGTGGATGTTGGGGAACGGAGGCCGGAAAGCGGTAGGTCCCCTTGTAACCATTTCTTTTAAGCTGTCACTGACAGGCCTGTACAGCATGCTGGCGAGACCTGTCGAGTGGAATGCGGAGGTCAGCCAGGTCATTCCATTCTAGGGCTTCGTGCAAGAGTGGTTCCGTCAATCAATTTAACCGTTCAATAGCTAAAACCAGATAATGTATGATTAATTAATAGTAAATTAGAAACATACGAAATCGACCATCCTTGTTGCATATCATATTATTAATGTATTAACCCCCTTGAGAGCAGTTGGGATGGAAGGATCCAAGTCACGATTTTGTTTGCATTTAGGAGGGAACTTCCCTGCCCCACCATCCGCCCAAGTCATGGATGGAGCCTGGGGAGCCTGGGGAGCCTTTAACTAACTACCTCCTAAATACTCCATTCCCCGCAACCAAGTGTTTTCTCCTCGAATATGTAGGATGCCACTCAAGGTAACAATTAAGGCTGGCATTTTGACTACGATGATACTGATATAGGCCTAAGATGAATAGCGAACCACTATGGAAGAGTGCCGACGACATTATAAACCAACTTCGGAGCGAAATTGATAAAACGGGGAAACATTCGACAGAGACAAAGCGATTTGGGATGGCAATATGCAGGCAGGGTGTTTGAAAGTGGCATCAGAAATTTGAGGAACGATCTAGCGGAAACAAAAGGGTACCGAGTGCGTCTTATCTGTGAATATTGTAAAGTTAGAGTGTCCTATTAACTAGTTAACTAGTTAATTTATTAATACAGGCCATCGAGTGTACTGCTTTCCACTTCCTGAAGCCTGCGAAGATTTGCAATCCCACAAAGCGATACATTATTCTGCTGATTGAAGGGAATACAAGCCTCAGCCCCGGTGGGCCGTTGACAAAATCATACTTATATCACTTTGATGACGAGCCCATTCTTGAAGTACGGAAAGGCGGCGTTGATGTGATATGTATGGCTCTTGAAAAGAAGGAGGATAGCCCTATTCGCTGAAGCCTGGAATGCAGTCTCTCGACCGGCTGGGGGCATATGTGGAAATATGTAGTTAGTCAGCATCACCACCAGCTAACTCGTCCGGTTCTTCAAAGGGATAACCAAACAGATGAAATAGGGCAGTACTATATAATTGAATATTTCGAACTGATCGAGCCTGTTGGTCCTCGGGTATGTTGAGTGTTCTGAGCTCAACATTGTTCAAATCCACCCCGCAACCGCCATTGCCTGAGCTGGTTCCATCCAGGGCAAAATCTTGGGAGGAGTTTCCAATCAGGCTGAGATCATAATCTGCTGCGTCTAGGTTAGTTGCCCGAATTGCGATAAGCTTTCCCCTGGTCGGTAGTTATAGAGGCTGATTAGGTTATCCTTGATAGTTTGCACAGAGTGAGTCCCAGTACAAGATCCGGAACTGGGTATAGACATCTCTTATATGGGAAACGAGGTTGGTTGCTCACACAAGGTTGTTTCTCTTTCATGCAGCTGATAATTTTGGACAGAATCGACCAGCACACTCTTCACTTCGTTGTTCAACTCTCCGCAGTTCGAAATCTTATATATACCTCAAGAGTGCAAGTAATGCATCCAATCCTGATGGCTAGGATTTACATCCGACCATATATTCCCGCTGGAAGTGCTTTGCCTCGAGGTTTTGCCCCGATCTGTACACCCGGCCGATGCAGAATGTCAACCTTCAAGGAGCCGCTTACACCAGGGATGCAGCTGACGAGCGACTCCGGGAGCATTTACAAAATCGAAGAAACGCTGCGTGAACGAAGGACGCCTCTACTCTGCGTCTATCGCGCGAGGTAGGCCTTTAGACTTGCCCCAGTTCAACCCTGACTCGATCCGCTAACGCCAGGCTACCTAGCTCTGGAGGGAAAAAGTATGTCCTCAAGAACATGATACCAGGGGAATTCGAGTATCAGCTAGACCTGCAGAGACGATTCTCGGCCCACCCAAATATATGGGCAGTAACTGACACGACCCAACCTCTTGAAATGTTTATATACCCCTACTTGACTGGAGACCTGCAGCACCTGAGCCCCAAGCTACGGTCGAAGAGAACGAAGGTTGAAGTTCTGCGGAGTGCGTTGCAGGGACTCTGTGACATGCACAAGGAAAACATTTCCCATAACGGTGCGTTGTAGAGACCCATTGGTAGTATAAAATAGCAGCCGTGGCTGACAGTTGAATAGACATCAAGGCCGACAACGTGCTAATAGAGTACGAAGAAGCAGAAGCAGGAGAAGAGACGGTAAACATCAAGAGCGTTCAGATATCCGACCTTGAAGACACTGTCCTCCTGCCGGCTGGGAAATGGATTTCGGAAGGTATATGCGGGAATGCAATCTGGAGAAGCCCGGAGAGCTGGTGCCGGGCCCGCCAGAACATCAGCTCGGACATCTTCTCCTTCGGAATTGTGGTATGTTTTGAGTCCTCCTGCCAACTTAACCTGGCATGACGCTAAGTTGGTTATCAACTAGATGATATATGTCATGACAGGCAAGATGGTCTTCCACGTTGGCTGGGACAAGCTCGACGCAGAAGACGCCTGGAGACACGTCCTGAGCCGACACATCTCCTACTTTGCAGACGAAGAAGGGTTCAATGGACTGCTGAAGCACATCCAGAAGGAGAACCCGTTCTTTGAGCGCCTGGTGAGCCTGGCCGAGAATGTTCCCCGACAACCCTTTGAGGCCTGGGGGAGTGTCGAGCCCGAACTGAAAAACTTGGTAGGCAAGATGACCTGCCTGGATCCATCGAGGAGAATCACTGCGGCAGAGGCGCTGGAGCATCCCTGGTTCAAATCGGCCTGGATGAAAGGATGAAAGGGATGTAACTATGTGTGACTGGCGGCGCTTTGCCATGATCCATCCTCACCCTTTGATGTACCATTATTAAATTATTAGCTGGGAAATCTCAAATCTTTCGCACAGAGACATCCATTATTTTTAGTTATGTGTTGCTTGCTTTACCCGCAGCTTTCATCCGTTTGACCGTCGTCGCTTGAACCCCTTCGGAAAACAGGAAACCTGCTCTCTTCCTGCCTGAGGTCTCCACGCCGTCTTATATTCAACTACGGCCGCCAACCAGCTAGACCAACTAACTAATCAGTAGTTACTCCGTATTATTATTATTATAACCACTTAGCTGACTCTTCCCCACGGCGCCATCTCCGGAATCGCAGTGAACCCCAGGCCAAATGCGCCAGTCATGTAGTTAGTTATATGTCATCCCCTCGTATCCCGCTCTGACGGCTATGGAGACGGGCAAGAGATACGCTTCGGGGGCGACGAATAATAACAACGACTGACAGAGTGACAAGAAATCGGACGGATGCTCCGAGCCGTGCTACCTTGGAAGCAGGTAACTAGCCCTTGGTAGTCAAGTAGCTTAGTTATGTATCCAACAGCCGTCTCAAGTCGGACGGTCAGTTGAACGTCGCCGGCGCCTTAGGCGAGCCCAGCTATAATCCAGGGGTTCGCACCAACAATCTACGGAGTAGCTAGCCGTCAGCCAACCGGTTGAGAGAGAATAAACAGCAACAGCTCCAGCGTCTCTGCGGCGGGCGCCTCTGGTGTCTCCGGCAGCCCACATGGCTGGCCTTGATGGAGTCGGGAGCTGGCCCTGTTTGAGGGTTGTCTTTTTATCTGTGTTGGCGTCGCTTTTGCCGGCCAAACGTCCGACCAAGCTCGTACGATGCCCTCGCTAGCTAAGTCGAGACAAGCATTTTGGCCTCGGCCTTGGCTCCTTGAAGATCGCAGCGGGTAGATAGTAAGTGACATCGGGGAGTGACATCGAGCGGAGGCGAAGGGCGAAGGGGGGGGGACGGCCCATGGTTTAGGTCTGTATACTCAAAGGGGGCAGCTTGGGGAGGTGAAGATGAAAGTGAAGCCGTAGAAGAGAGAACAACCACGGAGTAAGATGACTATCTATGCAGGTAGCAGCTCCAGTAGCAGGCAAGGGTAGCATAGCCTGGTCATTTTCCTCTTCCCTTCCTTCGACTCTTCATGCAGTGCGACGGTGAAGAGTCCGCAGAAGTCGCTTTCCTGCTCGGCCCCCTGGTTGGTCTCTCCACAGTGGATGAGCGACGGGCTCCGTCATGCAAGCAAGGGGGGAGGGATGGAGGGTGGGATAGCGGATAACTAGTCACTTCGCTAGCATTACTGTAGGCACTTAAAGGACGGATCTTCTCTGCTCTTCCACGCTCTCTGATCCTTTCTACTTCTTCTTCTCTTTCTTCTTCTCAAGTCTGGCTGAGCTTAGAGAAGGCAAAGGGCCTCTGCCGTCATCGACTCGAGGGCTGCAAAGTATAAGAAGTCAAGTCACCAAGCGATAAGAAAAAAGGCCGGCCCTTCAGCTTCACCAAAACTCCAGCTCGGCTTCCACTTCACCTTTACCTTCAGCTAGACCTCCAACGTCAAGACAGACAGACAGACAGACAGTCCAGCCAGCTACTTCGGTTTCATCTATATCATCTGTTTCGTTACGTTCTTCGGCCCAAAGATGGCTACAGACGACAGCAACAAGAACCTCCGGCAGTCGCCCATGGAGTGCCTCCGCGACCTGTTCAACTGGAAGGTCAGAGTCGAGGAGACAGACCCCGTCACCGGCGTCACCACAGTCGAGTATCGCGACCCGGAGCCGCTCAAGAACCCGTTCTCCATGGCTGCCCAGCTGTCGGCAAGCAACTGGCTCTTCTTCCTGGCCGGCCTGTTCGCCTGGATCTGCGATGCGTTCGACTTCCACGCTCTGTCGATCCAGACCGTCAAGCTATCAAAGTACTTCCACCGCAGCAAGACCTCCATCTCTACAGCCATCACCTTGACTCTCTTGCTCAGATCAGTCGGAGCAGCCGTGTTTGGCCTGGCCGGAGACAGATGGGGCCGCAAGTGGCCCATGGTGGCCAACATGCTCATCCTGGGCGCCCTCCAGATCGCAACCATCTACTGCGCTACCTTCTCCCAGTTCCTGGCCGTTAGGAGTCTGTTCGGTCTCTTCATGGGCGGTGTATACGGCAACGCTATTGCCATGGCCCTGGAGAACTGTCCCGTCGAGGCCAGAGGGTTGATGTCCGGCATCCTCCAGCAGGGCTACTCGATGGGCTATGTCTTTGCAGCATGCGCCAACCTGGGAGTCGGCGGCGGCACGGACTCATGGAAGGTCGTCTTCTGGATCGGAGCCGGCATCTCATGCTTGTCCGGCGTTATTCGAATTTTCCTGCCCGAGTCAAAGCAGTTCCTGGCTGCGCGCAAGGAGCGCAAGGAAGGCAAGAAGAGCGGTGCCTCGCCCGGTAAATTCTGGAGAGATACCAAGGAGATGCTGGCCAAGGACTGGAAGCTGGTGATATACTGCATCTTCCTCATGACCTGGTTCAACTTCTACAGCCATACTTCCCAGGACAGCTACACCACCTTCATGCTCACCCAAAAGGCCCTCAACAACTCTGCTGCCTCCCGTGCATCCATCCTCATGAAAGCCGGCGCCTGTGTTGGCGGCACCATCATCGGCTACATGTCCCAGTGGTTCGGCCGTCGTCGATCCATGGTCCTCTCAGCTCTCATTTCAGGCATCTTGATACCTGCCTGGATTCTCCCACACGGCGAACGCTCCCTCTCCGCCTCGGGCTTCATGATGCAGTTCTTCGTCCAGGGCGCATGGGGCGTCATCCCCATCCATCTCAACGAGCTCTCCCCCCCTGCCTACCGATCCAGTTTCCCGGGCCTGACATACCAGCTCGGCAACATGATCTCATCTCCGTCCGCGCAGATCGTCAATGCCGTCGCAGAGTCCGTGAGCGTTAGAGGAGACAACGGCAAGCCAGCGCCGGCCTATGGCGCCACCATGGGAGTAGCCACAGCCATCATTGCAATGGGTATCATGATCACCACCGCCTTTGGACCAGAGATGAGAGGCCGCAAATTCGAGCTGGCCAAGGTAGCCGGACATCTTCACGACGGTGAACAAGAGCATGCAGGAAAGGAAGACCTCGAGTCCGGCATGGTAGGAAGATCACACGACGAGAAGAGAAGCGAGGAGGCGGAAGTCTCGGAGTCGGAAAAGGCGGTTGACAAGAGCTAGTTAAGCTTAACCTTTCTATGATTTTTATTTTATTTTTTATTTTACCCAAGCTATGTTACGAAACAAAGAACAAGAGCAATGAACTACCCAGACATGCCATCAGATGTTAAATGCATTATACTATGTATTGTGCTTATGTCGCAATCTTTCAGTCTTTCAATCTATGAAATCTTTTCTTTGACCAAAAAATTTTCAGCCGAGGTTCGACGATTTAGTGCGTCTTACATAATCACGTAAACAATAGCGTTGTGCTTCTTTTATGCAGCTTTTATGCATCCCTTTTTTATGCACGTAATTTTTCTCTCACGCGAGCAAAAAAACACGAAAATAACCGAGCGAAAAAAAAAAAAAAAAAAAAAAAAAGAAAAAAAACTTCAATGACAGACGGAGCTTTAATATTATTTTGACTATGACTAGTAATTTTACTGCTTCGGCTGCGATGGCGGCTGATCCATGGAATAAAATAAGTGTGCCCAAACTAGGGGGTTGCCTGTCCAGTAACTCCATCCTCGACTCTGACAGCGCCATCTCCAAGGCGATCGACAGTGCGACAGGCCAAAAGTCGCTTGCAGGATCACGCGAGTCGACCTGCCGTCCCTCACGCAGGAAAAACAATAGAATTGACGTACGGGAATACAGCTTTGCCATCTCCATCGTCCCGCCCCTCGACGGAGCCACGTATAGATACGCAACGGTTCGATACGCAACGTCTTGCAGCTGGCAGCCTTGACGCACCGTGACCTCATTTCGGGGTTCGGGGACTCGGGGCGAAAGAGGGACCAGCCCTGTAACGTCGCGAAGGAGGAACCGCTGGTCATGACGGAAGATCTGGCGCCCGAACGTCCGCCTGTCGCTTCGCTCGCAAAGAAGTTTTTTTCTGTTAGCTCTTGCTGGGATGCTGGAAACTAGCAGGAGGATACGATTATGCTTGGACACTATGGTAATTTTGGACCCCGGCCCAACCCAACACCACCAACATTTACAGTAAGAGATTCAGTATATCATAATAATCACAAGTACTCCGTACTATGACCCTGCATGGCCACTGGAGCTGACGATGCAGGACGCTGTATAGTTCCAGCCGACTATTTGCTCCCAAGCCTGGGCTGCGACGGCTGCGCTCCAGGAAGGATGATAATTCGTTTCACGCAGCGCGCACATCCCTCTCGGCAGCGCTCTTGGGTCGACCAGCACCAGCACCAGCACCAGCACCGCGCATGGCAGAGGCTGAGTGCGAGATACGAGCAGGGAGATTTGATGCTGCTCCAGCCGATGCCGAGTGACTTATCTTCGCTAGCAAATGCAGTGAGCAGCAAAGTCACTCTGCATCGCTCCGCCATCCGAAGCATCCGCATACCGTACGGTACCGTCACGCTCTTACCGCCCGGCTCCACGCCAGCCTTGGCCTCCGTTACAGCCCCGTTACCGTACGTGACGCCAGGCCGCTACCCAAGAGCTCCCTGCTTATGTCAGCGGCCCTTTTGGCGCTCCTGCGTTGCTTTTTGCTGCAGGTTAAGAGCAGGCCGAAATCTCTCCCGTCGACTTCTTGCTGCACCTCCCGCTGCCTGCCTGCCTCTCCTCTGTCCTGTTCGACCTGCCTGACCCTCCCTCGCCCTCGCCCTCGCCCTCGCCCTCGCCCTCGCCGTCCTCGGGTTGCTTGCCTGCGCTGCGTTGCTCGTTCGGGCTGCCTGTGCTGGTTGTGGCATCTGCCTGGCTTCGTCTACACACTCCTTTTGCCCCCATCCCCGAAGCAAGACGGACAGACGGACAGACACACGAGACCAGCACCGGTTTGAGAGCAGCCAAGAGACTCCCGCTACCAATTGACGGGATCGACTCAGAGACAGCCCAGCAGCACTTCTACGCCGACGACGAACGACGACAGCCTCCACGACGCCGAGAGAGACACACAGACAGAGACAGCTCACAAACAAAAAAAGATGGCCTCCTGGAAGGACCATCCGTTCGCGAAACCGCCGCTCCTGATACCATGGCGCTCGCTTCAACTTCTCCTGCCCTTTCCTTCACGCCTCCGCCGCCGCATCAGGTCCAAACTGCGGTCGAGAACATCGCCGTCTTCCTCCATCACTCGGCTCTCGACCTCGTTCTCGCCCCTAGACACCCTCAAGGCGCTGCAGGCTCATAGATGGACCATATACGATGGCCAGTATCTCGTGCTGGTCGTGCTTGGCATCTTCTCCCTCTGCATCATCCAGTCGCCAGGACCACTGGCAAAGACCATCGTAGCCCTAGGCCTGATAAGCTCGCTGTTGATGCCAATAACATGCCAGTTCTTTCTTCCCTTTCTGCCACCAATCTGTTGGTTGGTATTCTTCTATGCTTGCCAGTGAGTTGGCCCTTCTCTAACATCCTGAAACATGAGGATCACAAAAGGTAGGGGGGGGGGGGGGGGGGGGGGGAGGAATTACATATAACATATACTAAAATAATCAATAACTACAGATTCATCCCAAGTGACTGGCGGCCGCCGATTTGGGTTCGCGTCCTGCCTGCCCTGGAAAACATCATCTACGGCGCAAACTTGTCAAATATCCTCTCCGCTCACCAGTCTACCGCTCTAGACCTGCTCGCATGGCTCCCCTACGGCATCATGCATTACGGTGCTCCCGTTGTCTGCGCCATCTTCCTCTTCATCTTTGGCCCGCCCGGCATCACCCCCATCTTTGCTCGCAGCTTCGGATACATGAACATTGCGGGTGTCATCATCCAGTTCCTCTTCCCTTGCTCTCCACCTTGGTATGAAAACCTCTACGGCCTTGCGCCAGCCCACTACGGCATGCCAGGAGACCCTGGTGGTCTAGCACGCATCGATGCCCTGTTCGGCATTGATCTGTACACCTCTGGCTTCTCTGCCGCACCAGTTCCATTTGGCGCCTTCCCATCCCTCCATGCGGGTCATGCCACATTTGAAGCTCTCTTCATGAGCCATGCATTCCCAAAACTAAAGCCTGTCTTCATCACCTACGTCGTCTGGCTCTGGTGGTCAACGATGTACCTTTCCCACCACTACGCTGTCGACCTTATTGGTGGCGGTCTCCTTGCTGCCGTTACATTCTACTACGTCAAGTCCCGCTTCCTCCCACGCGTGCAGGCCGACAAGTTCACTCGCTGGGACTACGACTATGTCGAAATCGGCAGTGCCGATATGAGCATGCCTGGCTCGTACGGCTATGACATTGCTGATGGCCTGCAGATGGACAGTGATGAGTGGACAGTCGGATCCAGCTCATCCATTTCATCCGGTTCATTAAGCCCAGTCGACGAACAATCGGCATGGGGCGGTGAGGCAGACGGCATTCCCAAGCGCTCTTCAGACCTTGAGACCGGCCTCGGTATCTCGAGATGAGAACCACAATAAAATATCAGGAACACACAAACTTACAAACATACGATACGATAATGTTTTAATATCAACGACCAGACAGGGAACAGGAGATCAGAAAGGGTTGGAAACGGTCGAGAACGGGCTCGGTTTAACTATCACTTACCCGCCCATTTATCGCTTGGATACGACGCACGACACATATCAACATACTATCTACCCTTTCAAACTGGCCCGCGTGCTTATTCTTATCACGCAGGCTGAGATGGGATATACATATGTTTTTCTTTTTTGGATCAAAAAGGTGCTTAACTGACCGGACCGCATAATTGGATTGGAATGGATGGAGGGGCCAAATGGGGCATTTTGGATCGGTGTTAATGGAGTTGATGGTGATGGTGACGGTGACGGTTATACCACTTTTTTCCCCCTTACATTCGCTCTGTGGACTGCAGAAATCTATCTAAGCGGAATACGTTCGCTTTGAACACTATCGTTTTCATTTTCTTTTTTCTTGGATTGGGAGGTTGGTCGATTGACGATGTTGATTGAGGATGAGGATGGAGGTGAGGTGGTTGTCCCTGGAGATATGGGGGGTGCAGAATATACAGCTCCGAACTTTGGAATACGGATGCAAATAAACACAACCACACCGACAGAGAGAACACACCGCGGTTCTATCATGAAATGCAAAAGAGAGAAAGAAAGCAAGCAAGCAAGTGTGTTGGCCGGACATGCCTCACATACATACGCACACGCAGATCTATACCCCCTTACACTTTTTACCTTTTTACACTTTGCTCCATTATCCTTTATTGCAAGCGAGCGATCTATTTTAGCCTTGTGATATTTCCGGCGGCCATCCTTCCCGCTCCGGCTTCCGGCTCCCGCCCCTTCGCCAGCTGCTTCGTTACTGCTTGCTTGACTTGACTTGATCATGATGTAATTATTTTATCCCAGCGGCTACTTGCATATCTGCCGAGTAGCGTGTATTGTATTAGCATAATACCTAATTCACTGATTTGACGAGAACATGACTTTTGCCCGTGTACTTTTTCTCCGCTTGTTTATTTCGTTTCATTAAAAGGTATTGTTATCCCTAGCTATCTGGCTACGGTGAGTGGCGGAAAAGCCATTTTTATATATACATCAACTGCTGAAACTGAGTAATCCAAGCAACTGTCCAACTCCACACTGTATCATGTGAAAAACGGCAGGCACCTATATATATCTACTCGTCATCATATATCTTCACCTGACTGGCTATCTCCTTGATGCGAGAGACGTAGTTCTCCTCTATAGAATCGCCTTTACCCCCTGCAACACGCAGAATCAAATCATTCAAAGAGGCTCGGCCCAGGATATCAACGTGATCGGCTATCAACAATTAGCATCATCAAAGTAGCAAACACGGGTACATGTATGCATGTATGTATGTAACCGGATCCTCCAGATGGGGGCGAAAAGCTTACCTGTATTAGGACCCCCACGCGGCGAGAACCGTTCAGGCTCATGAGGCATCTCGTACACTTTAATCGGTATCCCGGCCGGGTTATACCTCTTAATCCTCCATCCACGAGTGCCCATATACCCCAAGCTAAGCAGATTAACCGTCCCATCGCCCTCGTTCATAACAACGCCCCGATCAACGTGTCCTTCCCCTTCCCCTTCCATCACAGAAGTGTCCATGGTCAAATTCAGTTTCGACAAGGGATCAACTTCCTCGCGGTAAAAGTAGCTTCGTTCCGTTGGCTTGCCAACGCCGTAGAACGAGTATATCTTCATATTAGGGGCTAGAGGGAGGCGGACTTCAAGCGGATTCAACCATTTACGGGGATCGTTTTCGTTCGCCTCGACTTCTGCAGCTGTATGGGCAACGCCATGAGAGTAGTTCTCGTCAAGCTGGTTGCGATACCATGGTTCGGAAATGTTGTACAAATAAGCTAGGCCGTCTTCAACAGTGAAATTATGCCTCGAGGCAGCTGTGAGCGTGCTGTTTGATCGGAAGTTCAGCAGGTTGCCGTTAGTTACTGGCTGATTGGGGAAGTCGTCTGGCGCCCAGGTATGGTTGCCCCATACTTCGTTGCCGCCCTTGGGTAACATGCTGGAAATACCTGGCATGGCACGGAAGATCTCAGCCCGTTCTTCTTTGGACAGGAATTTCTCCAGGCCGTAGACTGCAAAGGCGTTGAGTTGGGCGGTATCTCGCATCTCTCCGGATAGTACTGCTGTAAGGCCCTTGGAAGCACCCAGCATGCAGCCGCTGACGTTGATCCAAGACGCAATGTGACGATCGACCCAGTCTGGACCACCGTTGCCGTAGCCTTTGTGCTCAGCCCATTTGAAGAAGAATAGAGCTACCTGTGATCCCATACTATGTGAGACAAGGACCACTTTCTTCCCGTTCAGCTTCACTGCAGTTTCGATATGGTCCTTGAGCCTGCTAAAGTAGTGGTCTCTATGCTCTAGGTTAAGATATGAAAGCCTCCAGTCGTATGCAGCTGAATATGCATTTGTCGGGTCATATCCTATTGTCGCCAGGTTTTCCAATATCTTATTCCAAATCCAGTAGCCTGTGATGAAGAAATCCGTTGCATCAAAGCCTTGGGCAGCTCGTAGTTTGACTCCAGGCGGATCAAGCCCGGTCTCTTTATCCAGCATGATATTGCTCTTCCAGCCTGCAGTGTCAAGGACCAGTGCACGCATCATGCTCCAACTGCCCCAGAGACGCTTTCGGAAGTACGGTCTTGACTTTTCATCCGTCCCCCAGCTCTCAAGGCCAGTGGATATCACTCCGGGTATCATGATGACTGGATGAGTAGCCTTAATCCCCTGCGCCTGCAAATGCAAACCCACTGAAAACGAGTCATAGCTCACCGTCTCGCGCTCACTTTGCTGTTATCAAGTCAGTATATGCACGCTATGTCACGAAAAAAGGGCAGCTTACTGAAAACTCTTTTGCATCTCGGACAATGCCTGCAGGTATAACATCGATCAGCGAGTCGATATTGAGATCCAGCAGTGCATCTAAACTGATAACCTCATTCTGATTTGCGAAGAATAGCGCCACAAATATCCCAAAGATCCCTCCAAGCCCGAATATCAATCCATTCCGTCGCTTACTTCTTCTTTTCGGGGGAACCGCGTCCTCCGGTTTCGAGGATGCCTGGACGTATACGACCTCCTTCTCAACCTTGTTATAGCAATTATCTTCCGCCTTGGGCGCTTCTGCCACCTTCTCTGAGGCTATAACTTTCGATGAAGAATTCGCATTCGAGGGAGTGTTCTCGTCGTTGGTAGATGTAGATACGAGGTCTGCGCCAAACCGACGTCGCAGTTCCGCCATAATAAAAATATAGTGCAAAAACAGGCGCGCGTAAGCTAGACAGACGCCTATCGACTGCTCATGACCCTCCGTAAGCGAATATCGAAGACTAAAGATAACTAACCAGGGGTCTCTCGTCTGTCTTCAGGTAGCAAGGGGAGGATTTTGTCTTTCGAGATAGAAATAAAGTAGTTAGCGGGCGAACCTTTAGTGTTAATCACATGGAATAGTTAACTAAAACGCCAACGTCTGCACCAATGCGCCTGACAGCTTCGAGGGGAGAGAAAGAGACTAATAGAATACTCACAATATACGGCCGAAGAGAAAACGAGCTAGGGAGGCAGAGAAGAAGGGGGCGAAGGGCGAGGGAGAGAAGACACGGAAGCTCGACCTGGTGATGATGTAAGACGAATCAGTGGGAAAAGTCGAAACCTTCGAGATTAAAAACAACGATACAACCAACACCCACCTTGGGCGCTTTTCGACCTGCTCGAGCGGCTCGCGGATACCTCGAGCCTGTCAGATCTGCGATGGCCGACGCCCCGTCGCAGTTCCGCTATGTCCAGTATGAGGCTGCGAAGGAGAACGAGTATGTCCCCGCGATGCGCCAGTTGATATCCCAAGATCTCTCCGAGCCGTACAGCATCTACGTCTACCGCTACTTTCTCTACGAATGGGGGGATCTCTGCTTCATGGCGATGGACGAGAAGGACAAGTTGGTTGGCGTCGTTGTATCGAAGCTGGAACCGCATCGTGGTGGGCCGTTGAGAGGATACATAGCCATGCTTGCGGTACAGGAGGAGCATAGAGGGAAAGGGATAGCTACCAAGCTGGTCCGTTTGGCCATGGATGCCATGATAGAGAGAGATGCGGATGAGGTATGCTGCCTGTTGTATATATATAGAAATGTTGATTACTGACCGTTCTCCTGGATGTAGATTGTTCTAGAAACCGAGATCACAAATTCGCCGGCCATGAAGCTGTATGAGCGCTTGGGATTTCTTAGGAGCAAGCAGCTGCATCGTTACTATCTTAATGGGAATTCTGCATTCCGCTTTGTTCTCTACTTGAAGGAAGACGTGGGCATGATTCCGACATCGGATCCTTACCACGGACATCCGGATGGCCTCCCATTGCACGAGAACGGCGAGCACCCTGGCCATCATGTGTGTTGAGCCGGGATTGTATATGACATGCCGGGCATGTTTTATACATGGACGAACATGATGATATGATGAGACACTACATGGCAAATCAATTGCTGGAAAATTAACAGCATCACGGCCGCGCGGTTGGATTATTGAGCATACAATATCAACTATCACACGCCAACTGGTTGAAGCTGTGACTGGAGGAAGACCAAATAGCGGACTTAAACTCTTTGAGACCTTAAGAAACCCATATCCCACTTGACTAGGGGCGCATAATGTATTGCTAGAGGTTAGATGCTGGATTACCTCTCTAGCGCTTAGACAGTCAACCACAACAAATGATAGATTTATTTCTATATAATGATACATTATTATACAACAGAGGAATCTCGGCATGAGGCTCGCTATATATGCAAAACTGGGTATCGATCAATACTGGAAACGGTAAATAAATGGTCAACCGGCCAGAGCAAGAGGCTCACGATTAACCCACGATTTCAAACCTCGGGGGTTGCTGGGTGGCCTGACATCAGCTTTGACAATGTCAACTGTCACACTGTTCTTCCGTAGCCAGTCAACTGGCTTATCATGACATGTGCCCCATTCCTCGTCCAAAGCGTAGGCTCTCTCAAGAAGTTGGTTAAGAGGCTCTCTATACTCATACCCATCATCCGAAGCACTGAGATCGCTATCTACCAATTTCTTTGCCAATTCTTTCCGCCACTCGGGATAAACATCAGATGGCGAACCACAAACCCCGAGAACCAGCTTGTTGAAGTCTTGACTGGCATCTGTTTCCAGGTTTTCAAACGGAATAACACCAGCAACCACCTTGCCGATCTTCTGCAGCCAACATTCACGCTCTGGCAGGGAAGATCCATGCACCTCTCGTCGAAGCGATGAGTATATGCTAACCTGCATCTTCTGTGTAGTCCAGCCATTAAGACAGCCATGTCGCCATAGAACCCGGCAGAGGTTATACGCCCTTGCTCTCCAGGCAAGGTGCCAGAGAATGTCCATTGTCTGATCGTCGCCCTTGATGTTGAAGGTTTGGGTAACCTTTAGGTATAAGGCCACGAACGCCTTGTTCATCTTGTCTGATTGATGCAGGAAGTAAAACAGTGCATTGTTCAAGCTAGTTGTATCCAGGCCAAATGAAACCCGTTCGCAATACTCGAGAATATCCGAGATTACGTTTGGTTTGCTGCATAGAGATCCTTCTAGGATCATTCTGTTGATGGTTCGAACACTTAACCAGCCGTGGCCGAGGGTTTCGTCCATGTGTTTCATGAAACCTGATACGGTACCGCCGTCCTTTAGCCATTTTCCAAACCGTGGCTGAATGGATATAGACGCTGCAACTTGGAATACATGTGCATCGTCAAAGACCCCAGACTTTCTGGCTTGGACCAGGAGGTCAAAGCGGTGGGCGTGGGGGGTTATCGAAGAGAGTACTGATACCCAAGCCCAATTGCGAGGGTAGATACCCTGGCGTTTCATGGCATTGATGCACCACTTTAAAGACACAAAGTCTCGACGAAGCACGGATGCTCGCAGGAGTGCATTTACGGTCCGTGATGTCATACGACCTTCAAAGGCGGGAAGCAGAGAAGGAAGCGAGGAGCGTGCATGGTGGGACGCAAAGTAGGATATGGCTAGACATATGGATCGGGAAGAGAAGTATTGCCTGTTCTCAGGATCGAGCATGAGACGGCGGATCATATCTCCGATTGCATCCTTGTGGGATACCCCAAGCGCACTATGCAGTCTCCCATGGACTAATCGCGTAACTGGTACTAGAACCAAATCCTCAATGTAATCGGCAAATGTCTTGATAGTAAACTTCTTCGGAGCTTTTATTTCATTTTTACCAGGCACAAGTGGTTCCGGTGGGAGGGACGCCCACACAGACCGTATCAAGGGCCTCTGAGATGAATCCTTCAGGAATGGCATGAAAGGAGGGAGGTCATTCTTGGGAAGGTTTTGTATAAATTCTTCAATGTGCTTCTCCCCAGCTTGAACAGCTGCCTGTGTTCCGCTTAACACCAGATGACGAAGCCCAAGTGAGTCGTCGGTCTGTGGGAGAACGTGTGCCCGGCAACCGCTCAGGAAGGGTATTACCCACATATTCTCTCGTTCGTCTCCAACAAGAGCCACGACATCAGCTTCACTTAATGTGATTGTCTTTTGAAACTCATCAGCTGGACGATCCGGTTTGTTATTGACGAGGCTTTTGAACCCTTCCACAAGCTGGAGACATATGCTGGTTTGACGCTGTGCATCAGATCGCTGTTCCTCAAGAGACTTGGGTTGGTATACACGGTGACTGATTGGATTATTGTAACCATGGCGAACATATCGTAGAGGAGTTCGTGGAGGTGCCGTGTAGGGATTCCTGGTAGCATTTTGCCTGTCAAAATCGGCCATGGATTTGGTATAGCGTAACGGAACACCATGTGCCGATTTCCTTATCCAACCCCCCATATGGCTTTTGTTCCGTACTGGTCTTGTATCGCCCACATTATTGTATTCATGGCTTGATGGTTGAGATCCTTGTTTCGTTGCTAGACTATCCAGCTCGGACAGTAGCTCTGGCAATGCATGCTTAGATCGATTTGGCTGAGAATAACTGGCGGTGCTTTTACTTTTGCTTGTCTTGTCATCACGATCATATTCAACAATCGGTGGAGCTAGGACAGTGTCAAGAGGGGTGTTCTCAGTGTTATTTGTAAGTATTATAGTGTCGCTGCCGCCGATTGCCTGACGTTGGCTCTTCGGTTGAGGCTTTTGACGGCCTGGTACCTCGGGCCCGGAGCGCTGTGAACTCCTTGACTGCCGGTTCTGCAAATCCTCCGGTACACGGTTTATTCGCTCCTTTCCCGGCTTTCTATTATCCGAAGCAGTCCGTGTCTTAGTGAGCCCGATAGAATTGTCAATCGCCGCAGCAAAGGCTGGTGGGTAGAGGAAGAGGAGCGGCTCATTCTTTATGGCTGCGCTGATATTCTCGGCAACGGGTATGCTTGCTTTCCTCGACAAGCAGTATCGACTGCCTGAGAACATTGATAGCTGCCGACGAGCATTGAGCTGCCCGAAACGTCGTCAGGTCATCGATGATGCTGGAGATGCCGGACTGTTCAGCGTCCAAAAACTGCCTTTTTCGAGGTTTTTTTTGCTTTCGACTTTTTTGCAGCTGAGCTAAGATTGATTAGTAAGCAAATACAAATGTAGATACGAAGGAAGCTGGAGGATCAGATGGAGAGGAATATAAAACTGATTTAATAGTCTATCTAGAGGCATTTTCTTCTTCAAAAGGTAGTTCTATGATACAGGGCAGGTCGAGCAGCGCTGTCATGCGCTGTTCCAAGTCCACGACTCTCTGACGAGCCGGTCACCGGCCTTGTATGCCTTGTGCAGATTCTCCCGCCTGGCTCTCTCGGCATCATCGGGAGAGTCGTGCGGTATTTCATCCATTGACTGTTTCAGCATTTTGATTAATTGTCGACGAGAAGAATGAAAGAGCAACATGGACAGTATCTCAGGCATCTACATGGTATGTCAGCAAATATCTACCTTATCGATAGGACAGAGCGGACATCCTTACCTTATCTTCCAGCAACACCAGACCATCTCCTCCACGATGTACGAATTCCCTCACTGCATCGATCCTCTCGCGATCAAGCGTCGAGATCCTCATGGCTTTGGATAGAATTGCCACGTTCGTGATATCCTCAGGCGCAACCTGTTCCTCCCACTCATCTTGGGATATCCTCGATAGCTGGCCGGTATAAGTCGTCCCAGCTTCTCCCGTCGTTACAATACTGGGTTCACCGCTCCCCAGGTAGCTAGTACCAATCATACCTCTTGTAGGTCTATGTTTGGACCTTCTCACTCTCCTCCTCAGCCATCGTCTCCGTCGAACAAACGAATGGCACCAGGGATGGGTTCCGTGCCAGGAGAACTTCGAAGCAAAGGAGAACGAGTACTGCCAACCCTCCTCGTCGACGTCATGCGACATATCGACATACCATGTCTTCCAGTCCCACTCCCAGCTTGGATCAGGGACCTGTGCATTTGCAATTGTTACGGGGCTCTGTTCAAAAGTGGCCGTCATCCATGCCGGCGGGTCAAGGTTCAGAAGCGAGTTTTTCGAAAAGATGGGCTTGCCGAAGAAGAACCATCCTCGTTGATTTTCGTAGAGCACGTCTATTTCACTTTGCGATTGAGGGTGTGGCTCTTCTGTCGTTGGTTGTTCTTGCAAGGATGCTTCGGTGTCGAACGCCACGTCCGACCCAGGCCGTCGGACAGCAGATGACGACTGTGCTGCAATTGACGTGTTCCTGGACAGCGAGCCTTCTCGTGGAGTAGTAGCTGTGATCTCCCTGCTGAGCCTGCGGTCGTCTCCATTGACCCCGTGGGTGCTGTTAGCACCACCACCACCACCACCATCGTACCGATCCTGCTGGTACTTTGCGTATTTCCGTCGGGCCAGGTTCTCTCGCACCGAGAGGCCGGTCAGCTTCTTCGCCAGGGATCGGTGGGTACTCGTCCGGCTCGCTCGCAGGCCAATCTCAGACTCGTCCGGTTCGGGGGCTGGACAGGTGTTGTCTACGAGGAGAATGCCACCGCCGCTCGCCATGACAGGGCGGCCAGAGGACAGCGAAACTCGCCAGTTAGGGGGTGAAGTCTCCAGCTCCAGAGGTAAGCCGTAGCGGTGCTGTCTCCGTCGCCATAAGGAGGGCGGTGCTAGAGCCTGCTATAAGTATCCACGGTGGTCAGACAGGCGGGGAGAGGAAAAGGAGAAAAGGGATAATATTAATGTCTCTCCTGCGCAGCTTCAGCGCCGTCGCTTCGTCTGTTTCTTCTTATCAACATCCAAGTTTCTTAGCTAAGAAAAAACTAGGAAAAACATGATGACTAAGCGATGACATCACATGGGAAACGCTAAGCCTAAACGGGACATCAACACTAGGCCTTCGATCAGATAACAAAGATAGGAGAATAACAAGAACAGACAGAATAGACAACACAGAGTACAATATACAAACAGGATATTAAAGAGGTAGAGATAGACACAAAGTGTGCATCGGTGACAGTATATACAACATGCAGGAACCGCACCACCGGAAGATCGAGCTGCAGTCGACCGCAGACCTCACGTACCTCTACACAAACACGCTGACAGTCGCCCGCGAAAAGCTCGACCTCCACTTCCCTCCCTCTGCCAACGATGACTCGGATCCCATGAAAGAGCGAGTGCGCAGTCTAGTCGATGGCGTGCGTTCTCTTTGTCCAGCTTTTGTTTGTTAAAGGCCAAAATACTGACGTGACTCCAGTTCATAAACAAGACATTCACATCCGCTATACCCTCCATAAGCATAAACGGAATCGACACAACAGACTCGTCCTCGAAACAAAAAGGACCCAGCAGAGATGAGCAGCCCATCAACCTCGAGTCACTCCTGACAACCCGGGAGTCAATTGAATACGAACCATTCGACACTGAGCTCGCGGCCAGACTTACGTCTCTCTACGCACAGCTGGAATCACTCACTACAACAGTAGCGCAGATGAGACGGGATGCGCCGCTAAAAGCAGCAAAGGCGTACGAGGAGGCGCTGAATAATGCTCTTTTACATGACGACGAGGAAGAAGAAGAAGAAGAAGATATAGATGAAGATTATGAGGCGGATGATGTGCTGGTAGATGCTGATATGGACGAAGAGCAACGACAGGAAGAAGAGAGGAAGAGAGATATGGAGAGGATACAAAGGATGCTTCAGAAACATCCCGAATGGGTTTTACAGGTACCCCTGGGAACGGAGCAGGTTCAAGAGCGATGGCGAGACGGGGAGATGAGTGATGTCTATGCTCGATCGTTAGAGACACTGTTTAAATTGCAAGGGGAGGGAAGCGGGATTGGGTATGGGAACGAAGACGAGGAAGATGGGGGAGGAAGCAGTTCTATGGGTGGTACGAGTGCTGGTGCGCCGTTGGCTACAACGGTGGGCAAGGCGGAGAGAGCACGGCTTGCTACCGGGGTTGTTGAGAAGATGTAATTGAAGGTATCGAATTGATTTAACTATTCATTATTCAATAATTTAGCACTCTTCTCGTGGCTGATTTTTAAATGTAACGGCGCTGTTGCATGTTAAGACACGATATTAATTAAGATGATGGTCTGGGATAGCTAGGGGGGTGATATAGGTAAATATTAAGGGACAAGCCACAATCTAGGATCAAGGTCATTGAGACAGGAAAGAAATAAAATAAAATGATCTGACTCTCATTTATTTGAATATGTTTGATTTCTTCCCATGCAGATGCTTGTACCAACACACTATAGAAGTCAAGTCACCCGGTAGTATATTTGCAATGTAGTATATACGAATAGACCAAACATCCATCCGTTCGGCCCAGGCCCAGTCCAGTCCAGTCCAGTCCCAGATCAAAAAAGAGAGGTCTTCTACCTTCTATCTGTCCGCCTGTCCGTCCGTCCTGTATATTCCATCTAAGCAGCAGCCGGAGCTGGAGCCGCAGCCGTAGCCGTCGCAGTAGCAGTAGCCGGCTCAGCATCAGCAGCCTTCTCCTTCTCCTCTTCCTCTTTCTTCTCCTCCTCCTCTTCTTTCTTCTTCTCCTCGCCCTCCTCGCCTCCCTCCTCCTTGGCCTCTGTCTTCTTCTCCTTTGAGCCAGCCCACTCTGGCTCCTGCCAGGGTCCCATATCGCTAAACATACACCCGCCCTCACACTCACACTTGCCGCCAAACTGCACCGGCAAGTTCTCTGCGGGGATCTGCGAGAGCAACTCGCTCTCATACCCGCCTCCAAAGACATGTATCTTCTTCACCGTGACCGGGTCCAGGAACCCCTTGACCATGGCGAACACCGTGCTGAACCCCCACGGCGCATTGATGATGTACAGCTTCCCCAGACGCTCGGGGTAGTAGTTTTGAGAAATGGCAGAGGCCTGGCGCACGTAGCCGATGACGGACGAGGCGTTGCCCAGGCCCACGCCCTTCATGTCCATTATCGTGCAGCAGGTTTCCAGCAGGTGGCCAGATTTTCGGGCGCAGGCGGGGAGGCGGTTGTCGGCCAGCTTCTCGTACTCGCATACTAGGTGTTTGAGCATGCGGTCGCTGGTGGTCACTTTGTACATGGCTGTCAGGTCGATTTTGCCGAATTGCTCAATGTACACTGGTCGGCCGTCCTACAGAGATCACATAGGTAAGCGAATGGCAGTGTATGCCGGGAGACGGAGACAGAGGGGCCTACCTTGTCTGTCTTGTGGTAGAATTGGGGATAGTATTCGAACATCTTCTCTTTCTCATGGTAGTCGAAGTCTGAGACCAGCGTGTCCGTCTTGAATTCTGCTCGCCATTTCTCGCTCGCGAGGAACCTGTGTCCCAAGTCAGTATCATCTCCATTCCACTAATGCAGCATGGTATAAAGCTATGTAGTCTCAAGTAAAAGAGCGTGTTAGTGCGTACATGGTCTTGGAAGCCTCAACGTTGAACTTTCTCGCCCGCAGGAACCGCAGCAGCGTCAATGTGTCTAGCCTGTCCTTGCAGCCAGCGTCCTCCAGCTGCTTCCGGAGCTGGAACACCTGCGCATCCTGCTCGGGCGTGGTATACCCTGGGTGACCAGACTGCGGCGTGGGAGCAGACGTGGGGAAGTCGTAGTGGTCGTATTTCTCGTCGACGGGGAGGTCTTTGGGCTGCGGAGTGGCTTGTTTGGACGCCATTTTCCTGACTGTTCTGCTATCCGTCTGTATGCCTGGCCGGGTGTGCTGTGCAGAGTGTATGCGATGGAAAGAGAAGAGCAGGAGATCGGGGGAGTTGAGTTGTATGCCAGGTAGAAAATACGTTTGTTCTATGGTCTGGCTGAGTGAGAGTTTTTGGTGATTGATGGTGGTTTTGGCGTTGGTTGTTGGCGGTTGGTGGGTTGCGTAGTTAAAAGGGGGCGGATTTCGCCTCTCCGGCCGTGGCTGAAGCAAAGCTGGTTGAGCTGACTAGCTGTTAGCTAAACGGAGCTTACTGGTTAGTTCCGGACGTCGATGACGAGGAAGACAGGATGGAACTTGGACTGGGAGACGGGCGAGTCTGGTTATATTTATATGTAGATGTGTGTACAGCTATGCACTCCCTGCGTCTGGCTGAGTTGTCTCGGTGGGGGCGGACGCAGCCAGGGGGGAGCAGAAGCAGGCGAAGCTGAGTGGACGACGACGGCGACGGCGACGATGAGGATGAGGATGAGGATGAGGATGAGGATGTTTAAGAGTAATAAGACCGTTGGAGATGACGATGGAGAAGACGATACGACGATGGCTTGGTCGGTTAATTTAACAAATAGTCCATGGTTTATTAGATAGATAGACATATATAATAATGATAATAGCTAGCAAGTAGGATGGGATGGGACAGGATATACTGCGAATACTGACTGAGATCTCTCCTTTTTTCCTTTTTTTTCTTTTCTGTGACCGTTTCATGAAGTAGAAAAAAGTGGAAGAAGGACATCCGGGGCAAAGGAAAAAGGAAAGCAGGCTGACAGACAGGCAGACGGGCAGGCGTTAAAGGTAGATAGAGATATGGATAGCAGGATAGGAGACGGGGAAAGGGGCAGAATCCCTCCTTTTGGAAGATTGATATTGAGATACAGGCATAGATATAGATATAAGTAGACGGATAGTAGATAGATGGAACAGACGGCAAGAGAGTAAGTAGCATGAAGAGAGATAGAGACATGAGCATAATATAAGCGTAAGAGTTAAGGTAAAAGAGATGGAGTACATAGCAGGTAGATCAATGGGGCAGGGAAGGAAAAGAGAAGAAAAGGAATAAAATGAAACAATATCGAAACACAGCGAGGCAAGCAGGCAGGGAGAAAAAGAAGCCAGGGCCAGGGGGTATGTAGAGAACAGAGACTGAGCAGAGCAGATTGCAAAGACAGACGGCGGGGGCGAGGGAAAGAAGTAAAATAGCTAAGTCACAGATATCAAGAAGGAGAAGAAGAAGAAGAAGAAACATCAAGGCGTTCTATCCACTGGAAGGGTGCCGATGGGGAAGAAAAAGGGGGGGGGGGGGGGGGGGGGGGGAGTATAAAACGATGTAAGATGTAGAAGTAAAAAAGGTGAAGGGGGGGATATCCTCCCCCTGGAGCAAGAAAGAGTGTGTAAGGAAGTAGGTATCACCTCGAGTCAGTGTATTAAGATATCAAACCAGAGCAAAGACCAGAGCAAGCCAGACCAAACGATACCGATAGCCAAAGCCAAAGGAGACAGAAGGAGAAAGAAGACGAAGAAGGAGAAAGGGTATTAGCAAGGTAAAGGGGTATGAGGCGGATTAGAAAGAGAGAAAGAGAAGTAGATTTACTACCAGCCCTTCTTCCGGGCAAAACGCTTGTTGAGCAGAGCCAGGACGCGCGAGACGTTGAACTGGACGTATTCCAAGTCCAGGTCTTCCTGGTTGTCTTTCTGCATTTCCAGCAAGTCGTCGAGTTTCAGATCTAGTTCTAGCAGGCCTCTAGCTCGTCCTATACATAACCGTTAGTATCAGGATTGATAGAAAGTGAAAAAAAAAAGTAGAGACGTACCCTTGTAGTGTAGACTGATGACAAAAGTGCCTGGGAGCGGACTCTTGAACATAAAGTATATATTGGCCCTCCTGTTCTCGGGCACGTTACTCCGTCTAATGACGCCTTCCTTCTCGAGCTGCTGGTGGGTGAACTTGTAGGGCCCCAGCTCCTGGTGCTTCTGGGTCTTGCGCTGCTTTCCTTCGCTCTGGCTGCGGACGTTGTGCAAGTAGGACTTGTAGGTCTCGAGCTGGTTGACGAGGTAGGCGTTGTGGTCGCGGATGGTGCGGTAGACTTCTTCGAGCTTGCGCTGTTCCTCGAGCACTTTCTCACGCAGCGAGCCGAGGTGTACGAGTTCCTGCTCGACCTCGTCGCGGAGTAAGGAGAAGTCGTCTGACCGGTCGATAACGCCGAGTTCCTGCAGCTGGCTGAGGAGTTCCATGGTGCGGATGCCCTTGCGGACCATGACGGCGTCGTTTTTGAGGGTTGCTGCAGCTTCGGCGATGCGGTCGAGGCGCAAGGGGCGGCGGGTGACGGAGGAGTTGTGAGGGAGCGAGCGCATGATCTGGACGAAGGTGGATTTGGCTTCCATGAAGAAGATCTCTTCCTGGGTGATGTCGAGGGCAGAGGTGAGGTCGTCGATGGGGGCTTCCCATTTGCTGAAGAGCGGGAGGTGGATTGCTCTGTTCTCCTTGCGGGGCAGCTGGGCGGGCGCGGGTCCGAGTTCCTGCAGGAGGACGTTGAGATGGGAGTTCTGATCTGCGGCGAGGGTGGAGGCGTGTTTCTCGATGAGGGCGTGGGTAGCGTAGATTTCGTTGAGGGTGATTTGCAGCTCGAGGTCGCGCTTGGAGAGGGCGACGTAGTTGTCCATTTCCAGGCTTTCGTAGAAGTCTTGGACCTCACAGAGGTCGAGGAGGAACCGGTTCACTCGCTCTTTGTTCTGCTGGATGAAGGGCTGCAGTTTGGCCATGTAGGGTTCCTTGGCGTAGGAGGGCTTGTTGGCGAGGTTCTGCAGCATCTTTGCGATCAAGGTCAGGGTGCGGCGCGGCTTCTCGGCTGGGGTGCCGTCGATGAGCATGTAGGAGCGCGGCGTGACGATGGCCGGGTTGATGAAGCGCAGGAAGAAGAAGCCTCCGATCAGAGTGCAGATGACATGGTCCTGGGCGTCCGGGTACTTGCGTTTGGACAGGCTGCGGATCTGCTTGCATATCCAGCGGATGCCATAGGGGGTCTCCTCGAGGCCGTCGATGATGGTCTTGAGGAAGCTGTTGGCGAGGTCGGTGAGCATCTTGAGCCTGGGCGCAATGATGGCCTGGACCTGCTCGTTTTCCGCGGCGACCTCGGCGGTGACTGCGCGTTCGAGATAGGGCGGGAGGGAGCCGGTGCTGGCCTCGATCTGCTGGACCATGGACTCGTAGACCTTGAGCGGATTGATCTCGAGGTCGATGTCGTGCAGCTCGATGAGGGAGTTGATCTGGCCGGCCAGGATATGTTTCAGGTATGCCTGTCCCGGTCCACGGCGGGTATACGTGGTCATCATGCGGGAGACGGGCGTGTTCTGGCGCAGGAGGGAGGAGTACTCGGGGGTGTTGTCGAACTGGTAGGTGAGGACGGACTGGAACATGGTGAGCAGGAGATGCTCTTCGCGGCTCTCGTACTGGTTGCCGTAGATGGTGAACATGACGGTCTGCAGCAGCGAGTCGATCTCGGCCATGGAGACGAGGCGGCAGAGGTGGGCGATGTGCCGGGGCTCCGACTGCAGCAGGAAGAGCAGGTTGCCGTACTTTTGCGTCTTGTCGTCGTTGGGGAAGGCCCCTTCTTGTATGTCTGCCGGGTCATCCAGATGGCTGGCCACTTCGTTTTGCTGCTCCAATTAGTCTATCACTTCTCTTTCTTCTGTGGGTGTAATGGGTGCAGAGGGTGCAGAGGGTGAGACGGGTGAAGTACCTCCTCCAAGGCCATGCGGTTCTGGATGAGCAGGGCGATGCGCGAGTCGAGGTAGCGGACGTCCTTTTCCAGCACGAAGTTCTTCTTTGACTGCGTCGAGATCTTGGACTTGAGCTCCCGCAGGCTCTTTTGCGCTGTTGCCGTCAGTATTATCTATACACAGAAGCATGAACAGAAGTGAGAAGTGAGAGGTGAGAAGAGGGTTACCTCGTGAGAGTTCGTCGGAGATCTCGAGGTCCTTTTCCTTCGCGGACATGGACAGGTAGAGCGCGGTGACGGACATGCGCTTCGACTGGCGCATCGAGCGGGCATCGTGCGAGGACATCGTGTTCTGCCTGCTCATGGGCTGGAAGGAGGACGAGGAGGAGGTGGATGCGCGAGAGGCGCGGGACGCTGGCTGCAGCATGGTTGCGACGGACATTCTACTCTCTGCTCTCGTTAGTCTGGGGACAAGTTATATAGACATTGTAGAGGGAGACCTACATCACGACAGCATCGAACCGGCCTCTGTCTCCTGTCTATCGCAGTCTGCCGTCGCTGTCGCTGTCGTCTGTCGTCTGTCTGTCTAGCGAGGTGGTGGTGGTGGCGACGGGAGTGTCAGTTCAAGTCAGCTAAGTCAGTCAGCCAACGAACGACCAGCGAACCAACGTCCGAACGGAGGCCCCCGGCGAGTCAATGGCTGCTGCCGGCTGCTCTGGCTGGAGGAGAAGCTGAGGACGAGGCGAGGGCGAGGGTGAAGCGGGCGTTGGTGGTTGCAGGCAGGGCAGTGGGAGATGAAGTCGAGGCGAAGTCGCGGGGAGGCAGAAGAAGGAAAAGAAAGAAAAGAAAGGAAGAAAGAGGAGGAGAAGAAGAAGAAGAAAGTCGGGAAGTTGAAGAAGAAGAAAAGAAGGAGAAGAAAGTCGAAGAGTCGAAAGGGGCTAAAAGAGGGCGGCGGTGGGGCGTGGCCAGTTGAAGACTTAGTTAAAGACTTGGTTAAGCGTTAGTTAAGCGTTAGTTAAAGCCAGTTAAAGCCAGTTAAAGGTTAGTTAAAGGTTAACTAGTTAAGGGTTAGTTAAGACTCGGTTAAAGATGGCTAAGTTAGTTAAAGATTTAGTTAAAGACTTAGTTAAGACTTGGTCACGACTTAGTTAAAAGATCTAGTTAAAGACCAAGTAAAGACCAAGTAAAGACCAAGTAAAGACAGTTAAGACAGTTAAGACAGTTAAAGACGGAATCAACCTGCGACACGCGGTGTTTCAGCGTCTCCGATCTCAGACGCGGCGCCGACGGGGTTCGTATCGCCAGGGACTCTTCCTGGACGCTCTGCTGGGGCTCTACCGGGGGCTCTACTGGGACTCTACGGGGGCTCTACGGGGACGCAGCCAGCGGCGCCTCTCGAGTCTCGCGCTTGCTTGCCTTTCAGTGGCTTTTCCATGACTTCATTACTTGGTACGCTAAGGAGCTGCCAGGGTCAGGGGGTGGATCGCTGCCGGTGGATAACGACAGAGTCTTCCTCTTGTCTTCTTGTCCTTCTTGTCCTATCCATCTTGTGCTTCTTGTCTGTCTCTCTCTGCTTTCCTGTCTTCTATCTGAAGGTGTGGGAGCGGCCGGCAGTCTCGGTGCGCGGCTTCTTGACTCCGGACGGCGCTTCCAGCAGCTTGCTGTACGGGTTGAACCGCTGGCCGTTGCCATGCTGCTTCTGCCTCTGCTTCTGATTCTGATTCTGATTCTGATTCTTCTGCTGCTTCTCCCGGTGTATCAGCGACTCGGCATTCGCATAGTCAAACGGCCTGCCTGCCTCCTCGCCTTCATCTCGCGGTCGTTTGCCCAGCGAGGACCTCTGCTTCAGCTTCTTCTTCTCCTTCTTCTTCCTGGCGCTGCCCTCGTCCAGCAGGATCTCAGACGCATCCTTATCAAACGCCGTTTCACCAGTGCCGTCTCGTAGACCGTCTCTCCTCCGCGGCGGTGCTCCAAACTGTCTCACAGTGAAGATCTCGTTGCGTTGTGACACCTTTGCTTCTTCCTCTTCCTCCTCCTCGTCTCCCTCCTCGTCTTCTCCAGATTCATCCTCAGATGGCTCTCCTTCGCCTTCCACTGGCCGGGGAACTTCACCCTCAACCAGCCGGACAGGCATGTTCGGGAGCGGCAGGGATAGCTGCAGGGCCTGCGTCGATGCAGACACGCTGTATCCATGAATATCATTATGATTATGATTATACTCATCATCATCGTTGCGCCAGTTGATACTGCAATTCTCTAGCCCGGTTTGACCCCAGAACCGCGACTCCGTAGCCCGCACTCCCACGGCACATGTCGAGGTGGACGACGCAAGGGCGGCAGCACCAGCACCAGCACCAGCACCAGCACCAGCAGCAGTAGCCCTGCTGAGATCCACCGCACCCCCATCCCCATCCCCATCCCTATCCACCACCACCGCCGCCGCCGCCGCCGCCTCTGCTCTGCCAGTAGCAGTAGCCGTAGTTGCAGCCGTAGCCATACTCCTCGAACTTGCAGCCGCATGTCCGGCCGGAGATCGTCGCCGGATCAGCTCATGCATCTCCGGCCCCGTAGCGCCGCCTTGCTGTCTTGCCTCGCGGATCAGGCCAGCCACCTCGTCGGTTCTGCTCCTCAGCGACGCAGAGACTGGAGACCCCATGCGCAGCACCGCAAACTTGTCCTCTGGCATCTCCTGTGCCAGCCGGAACAGCGCCCGCTTCGACAGCACCGTCTGCGGGCTCTCGTCGTCCGCGCGGGCGATCCTGTCGCGCCATTCATGCAGTGCCCGGAAGACAGCGAACTGCTCGCGTGTCAGCGCCACGGGGCTGTTGGACAGCATATCGTGCCAGCCGCCGCTGCCTCGTCCCGTAGCAGCATCGTAGGTTGGCCGCTCGTAGCGCTGCAGGGCACATTCCTTCGACCGCTCAAGCACGTACTCAATGGCCTCCCGTCCGCCTCCTCCTGGCCCTGACTCCTTCTCTTCTGACGACGGCGGTAATTCAAGTAACTGGTTCCGCAGCCGGTCAAAGATGTACAGCAAGAAATGCGTATCTGACCTCGCATAGTCCAGCATGCCCGCCAGCAGAGGCCGGATCCGCCAGTCAGCCGTCTGATACTGCTTGTCGGCATCAAAGCCCACGTACTCATGCAGCAGGAACTTCAGGCTCTTCTTCGGCAGCTGCAGTGCACTAGCAGCATGGAACGTATCGAATAGCCCGACCAGATACAGCCCCAGATCCCGCTGCAGCCATATCACATCCATGCTCGAGCCATGCAGCACCTTGATGATGGACGGGTCTGCAAATACCTCGTTGAGCACCTGTAGCTGGTCACGCCATGGCTTCAGCGTGTCCACGATCCAGTCCTGCTCGCGCGTGCTGATCTGCATCAGACACACCAGGCCATGGTAGACGTGGCTGTCATGGTGCTCCAGGTCGACTGCGATCTCCTTGGCCTGCTTCAGCTGCGATAACATGGCGTGCACGTCTTCCAGGGTTTCGACGAAGATGGCCTTGCTGTCGGCTACGGGCGTGTACATCGTTGGCTCGGCCTTTTCGTACACTCGAGCCGGATACGTCGAGGCTTCAATCTCTTTCTCATACGGATGGTTGTATCTACATATATTAGTATATCATTAGTTTATAAAGTAACGTAGATGGTAACTCACGGCTTGGTAGGATCTTGGATGCTGCCTCCGAGACTCTCCTCCAGTCCAACAAGGGCATGCGGCTTGCTCTTCAGCAACGGCCTGAACGCCCGTCCATCGTCCGCATTGTCCAGCTTGACGTCGAACTGGAGCTGCGGCTTCGCTATCTTCGATGACCCATGGCTGTACATCCGCGGGAATCCCGCCGTCTCTTTCTTCTGTGCTTCCTGCGCCGGAGCGTACTTCTTGATCACGCCCGTGAACTCGTCCAGACAAGCATCGGCCTTCTCCAGCAGCTCGTCGATGACATCCACCACATCCTTCCAGTTCTCCTCCATGCTGTCTTCGTCGCGCAGCACCGTCTTGGGCTTCTTCTTTTTGTTCTTCCCGCTCCTTGCATTCGAATCCGCAGATGCTGAGGAGCTCGAGGCATTAAAGGGGGAGTCTGGGTTGTTCGCGGATGCGATGCGCAGCAGCGAGTTGGTCAGGCTCAGCAGGCGGTTGCTCTGCTCCGTCAGGCTGCGGCTGGTCGGCGAGTCGAAGGAGCGGTGGAAGGCAAGGTCGCCGGATGCAATGCGGTTGGTCGTCTTGACGGCGTCTACCAGCGCTGCCTGGGCCTGCTCCTGGAAGGCCGGGAAGCCCTCGGCGTCCATCTCGACAGCACTTGCTACAGATAACACTGGGAGAAAAGCAATGGTACGGGTATGAGGAGGATAGGCTTGCTTGTATTTGTGCAGTCTCAAGTAAAAGTGGAAATGACAAAACGCATCCTTGTGCAGCAGCTGTAAGAGAATACCAATTTGACCAGCTTCATCAACTTCAACTCTCTTCAACTCTTTTCAACAAGTGAAGTTGATAAATCGAAATAAAAAAATAAGTCCGAAAAAGAAAATAAAAAGTTCATCGGAACCGGCGAAAAGTTAAGCCGCGCAACGTCAAAAGTGACTTCAAAAGAAACGAAACACCGAAACTTATAGCAGAAGATGATAGCAAGAAAGATAGCAAGAAGAAGCAGAAGAAAAGAACAGATTTGACAGCAAGATATCCTTGATCCTCCGAGAAATATCGTGAGACTGCTTGATTTGACAATTTGATTTGTTGATTTGTTGATTTGACGACTTTGTTTGTCGACTTGGCTTGACCAGAGACGTGTGACTTGAGCTTCGAGCAGTTTGTGACCGACAGCTGCTGTTCGTCGGGTGCTCCTAGGCTGAGTGGTCAGTGAGAGGCTCTTTGAAGTAAGTTGTTAGCTGTTAGCTCTTTTGGAGGAAGTGTCTTGCCTTGTCTTGCATCTATTTGTTGCATTCGACCCCAAAAATCCCGAGGGCTTGCAGGAGTGGGAGGAGAGAAAGTTCAGCTGAGAGAGATTCGTAGTTGGAGTGTATGGTGTGAGACAGCAGAGCATGTTGACGTTTCAGGCGTGTTTGTGATGACACTTGGTTGATGTCTTGTTGATGACTTGGTGACTTGAACTGACATGTGCTTCATAGGTGGTAAGAAGTAGTTGTCCATGGAAAGCTTGAAGACCGAACTTGGATGTTGACCTGGGGTTGTTCGGCAGGCTGGACTGGAAGATCGAAGCAGCAAAACGCGCCAGAAGCGTGAGAAGTGTTGTCAGTAAGTGTAGTCGTCATCGTGATGGTAGAGCCGTGAAACAAGATTGGTCTCTTAACTTGACCCGTGTCTGAGCGGTTGCTGACTGCTGCCTTAGATTGAAAGAGAGAGAGAAAGAGCCTGAGTGAGTGCCTTGGAAGTTGACGAGCATGTTGACCGAAAACCCGACTTGACAAAATGTGACATGTCGTTAACTTCAAAAATTGGAAAGAAGGCAGAAGGCATAAGCAGCAGGAGCAGCAGCAAGGTGAGAGGCTCGAAGACAACGGGTAAGTTGAAGAGGCGTCAGTGTCAGTCCGAACAGCCGCGTGTTGCTGGGTATCTTGCTTGTAGTCGACGCAGGCTGGTTGGTATCATGGTTGGTGCTTGGCGAGAGACATGAATACCAATGGTGGGCGTGAGCTGTGCTTGGATTGCTGATGTTCGGCTTGCGCTCGCAGTGTCAGAAAGCAGATGGTGAGGGCTAACCTGGATGTATTGGCAGGCAGGCTAGTTCGACCGACGGCAGACTGAGAGGAGCAGCAGAACACGAACAAGAGCGGTTGTCTGGATAAGAGAGTGGAACGAGACCCGACATGTCTGCGTCACTGGCACCGGAATGCAACGAGATCAAAGAGTGAGTAACAAGTCGATGAACTGGTTGCATTGATTGACGGCCGGTGGTGATATCCGTTGGATCCAAGGAAGCGAGAGAACCGAGCAGGCAGAGGGAATGTTGACTGACGATGGCTGCTGCTGGATAGGAGATACGACTCGTGCTTTCTCAAGTGGTATAGCGAAAGTGAGTTCAAACTTGCCGAAGGCCCGGGACAAGAGAACGAACACACGTTGAGAAGAGCAACGAGAAGGAGGAAGCTGAACGAGCGCAAGCTAACGCAGGAGGATTGCTAGAGTTCCTTCGAGGTAACACGTCGACTAACGAGTGCGAGGAGGTCTTTCAGCAGTACAAGAAGTGTCTGTTTGTAAGTAAAACAACCCAGAGCAGCAAACTTGAACTTTCTTTGATTTGGCGGAGGCTGGCAGACACTCGACTGTTGTCAGACGAGGAGAAAAGACCGGAAGTCTGTCAGGCGGGCGGAGTGAAGGAACCCAGGGGGGGTGGAAGGAGTGCAAGCATGTCAAATCAGCTAACATCCAACAGAGGACCCTGAAGGAGAAAGGAATTGACGTGATGCTTGACGAAGCGAGGAGTTCGAACCGGGAACAGGACGCAGATTTCTTGTCGAAGAGCAAATGAAATGAAGAAACTTTAGGTAACTGTTTGATCATTCCACTTTGAATTGGCTGTTTACTCTTCTTCACTGGTATCCGTAGAGCTGGGGGTCGATGTTTGGGTCAACAACGACCGGGCCCAGGTCTGAGCTAGGCTGCTGCGGAGTCTGCTGCTGCTGCTGGGGGGTTGGCGATGGCGGCGGCGGCGGAACGGCAGCGTTGATGTCGAGCATTGGCTGGTCAGGCGGGCTCTGCTCGACACGCTGCTGCAGCAAGGACTGCGGATACGTCTGCGTGTCGACGGCGACAGTGCTGTTGGCGCCGGCCTCTTCAGTGGTGGTAGTGGTGGTGGTATTGGCGGCAGAGGCATCGGCGGCGGCGGCGGTGGTGTTGTCGGCACTGTCAGCGACGTCGACATTGTTGTCATCCTGTGGAACGAACAACGGGCTGTCGGGAGCCGTTGTGCTGGTCGGGCCGCTGCCATGCTGCTGCTGGCCCGAGGCCCCAGTGCCCTGAGCAGGGTCGGTTGGCTGCTGTTGCTGCTGCTCAGGGGCGGATGGCTGCTGGGGGGGCGCAGACAGCTGAGTAGCCGAGCCCGATGGCTGCAAGGCTGGGGCAGCGGCCGCTGGCTGGATTTCTCCAGACGACTCGAGTTCTTCTTTACATTAGCATATACCCAAACAACGACGAAATGGTAGGAGAGTCTTACCTGGGTGCGGCGGGACGATCCGTTCGGCTGGATGGTCCGCCAGCGCTCGCAGAACGCCGAGCACCAGTCTCCTCTGTTCGCCATCTTCGATGTGGCGCGGTCGGTAGTGCCTGTAGTCGTCGAAGGCGCAGGCAATACGGTTGCTTAGGCCCGGGGACAGTGTCGGCCTGAGCGTCTTGTTCCAACGGGACTCGAGGTCCTTGCAGTTGGCTGGCGGGAAGGCAGCGTCGAACTTGGCTTTGATGCCCTCCCAGCTCAGGTTTGTCCCCAGGCGAAGGGCCACGATGGCGAAGTCCTCCTCGTCGGTCCACTTGCCGTGCATCTTGCTGGTCTGCCGGAGCCTAGCTTTGGTAAGGAGATAAAGCAGTCTCACGGCGTTGGCGGGTGTCGGAAGTGATGCAACGGCTGCTGAAGCGCGTGGATCGAGTTGCGGCGTCCTTTAGTCGAAAGCTGCGATGCAAGGTCTCTTGAACGGCTCGATAGTAGCGGTCGAGTTTGTTTGTGATGTCTCAAAAGGCCTTGGATGCGCTAGTCGATGATAAAGGAGTCGAGCTTGCGTTGTTGAGCAGAAAGAGAAGAAAAAAAAAAAAAAAAGGGAGGGAAGAAGAAAGAAGAGAAAGAAAAAGGCGAGGTCGAGGGGCGTCGTCGGTCTTTATATAGGCTGGCTTTTGCGTGCTTCTGGCAGCATCCGCCGAGCTTTTCTCTGCACTCTGCAGCCAGCTCGGCGGATGAGGAAGGAAGGAGAGAGAAAGAAAGAAGGAGGAAGCGTCGACGAGAGAGGAAGATGAGGGGATTTTATAGCCCGACGATGCGATGCGGAAGGAGCTAGAAGGGAGTGAAGGAGGACGACGACAGAGCAGGACGACGAGTGACGGATTCTTTGTCATGCAGGGGAGAGGCAGGAGACAGTGAAGATGGCAGTGAAGGGGATGGTGAAGGAGACAGTAGAGAGGATGGTGAAGATGGCAGTGAAGGGGATGGTGAAGAGGATGGCAAAGGGGATAGCAAAGCGACGGTGAAGGGATAGACAATAGATGGACAATGGATGGAGATGCCGTGAAGAGAAGAGGGAAAGGGGTGAAGGTGGAGAGTCACTACAGTCTACAAAGGCTTACAAAGGTCTTCACAGGTCTACAAAGGATGGGGTGAAGAGAAAGGAAAAGAAAGAGATGAAGATGGTAGTATTATAGTATTAGAGTATCATGAGTGATTATCTCCTCCGCCTGTCAAAGGGAAACGTTGGCCCCCGGGGGAAAGACAAAGGAGCCCCTGAGGAGCTGCCTGCTGGACCGCCTCCGCCGCTGCTGCCTGCGCCCGTCGAGCTCTTTGCAGTCAGCCGGGACCAGACGTCGACGATGCCCACTCGCTGGGCAGGAAGCATGCTGTACTGCAGGCTGTACAGGTTGCGGCGGTGGATGGGGGGAACGAACTGGCCGGTTGCCAGGCAGAGGATCACCCGGGGAGACAGGTAGTGCTGTCTGATGCGCTGGCCGAGGCGGAAGTACTGGTCGAACATTTCCCTCAGACTCAACGGGACGGACTAGGATAATGTTATTATTACTACTTATATCAAATAAATATAGAGACAGACTTACTTTGAGGTGGATGTAGGATGCCTCGGTGTACTCGAGTTGGTCGTTGGGCAGTGGTGGAAGAGACGGCCGTCGAAGCTCAAAGCGAGTGCCCCCTGAACACACATGTTAATTAATACACATACCACAAAGTAGTATTAAAAGTACTAAAAAGACATACCAGGGAGTCGTCGAGAGTCCTTGAGTCGCAGCATCAGTGCAAACAAGGGGAAATGGTTCAGAAAGGCCAGGCAAGTGTCCAGCCCGGCCTTCAGGGAGATAATGGCCATCCTCGCAGACGCAAAGGTGATGTAGAACACCAGCACCGTCGGCAGCAGGAAGAACAGCAGGGTGAACAGGATGGTCCCCAGCAGCAGTTGGTCCAGGTCGTAGTCGCAGGAGTCGATGCGGTTGCGCAGGATGTTGCGCTTGCGGCCGCGGAAGAGATGGAACAGCGAGATGATGATCGTCAGCTGCCAGTTGAAGATCCGGGCTGACGCTATGTAGAAGCTGTAGATGTGCACCGTGAAGATGGACAGCAGGTCGGAGAACATCGCTATCGACATGCTGGCTCCCGCGAAGCTGGCACACCCGATGATGTACACCACATACGACAGGAACGGCCTCAGGCTCGCCAGTGCGCCTACACCATCAGTACATATACACCAATAGCTATATAGGGTAAAGGGTAAAGGGTTCTTCTTCTTACTGGCCCAGTGGGCAATGACCCAGAGGAAGAGATCGCCCAGGAAGACGGCCAGCTCGTTGTTCAGCTTCAGTCCGGCAGGCCAGCCCATCAGCCAGGAGATCGTCTGCTGCAGCCCATCGACCGTCCACCCCGTAAGCACCGCATTGATCTCAGATGCCACATTGTCCGCATTGTCCACGATATACGACCCCAGCGCTATCCCGATAATCACATCATTAGCCACCAGCCACAGGCTGTTGTAGAACCGAATATAGTCCGGATGGCTGTTCGTCACGCTCTCCCAGTCGTCCTTACGCTTCCGCAGCGTCAGATACTGGATCGGCCAGTAGCAGAACTGCTGCAGCCGGATATCAATCTGCTGTGCCGTGGCAGATATGTCCTTCAGCGCAGCGGCGTCAGGGGCAGCGCGCCACTCAAGGATCCTCAGCACCACCTCTGCAATCACCCGGTGGCCGATCAGGCAGGCTATGAACCCCTTTGTGATGATCGGGTATATCCACACCATCACCACATACGTGATGCCCCAGAGCACCACGCCCCAAGCCGTCGTCGCGGACTCGACTACCCGCTGGCTCACGCTCAGCGCCCGCTTGGGCCGTGTCCCGATCAGCCCGATGTTGCTCTGGAGCAGCCTGTCCATCTCAAACGAGCAGTTGATTTGGTTGATTAGCACCGGAAGCGCTTGCTCCTTGGACGACGGCACATGCTTGACTACCGTCACCAGGCGCCGTTTGGCTATCAGTCGCGATGTCTGCGCCCGCGCCTCTCTCTCAGCCACTTCGACTTCATCCAGCGTAGTCTCGCCGCCGCCGCCGCCGCCGCCCTTGTCAAAGGTGGTGTGCTTGTCGCCCAGGGCCAGCGGAATGGGTCGTAGAGACATGTACTGCATCTTCGTTGGGTGTGGGCGGTTGAACATGATTACCTGCAGCGGTAGCTTCACGTTTGGAGGACAGTATATCAGCGGCACTCCCGTCGACGGGCTCGTAGTAACGTGGATATGCGACGTGGTAAACGCCGTAGGCACCTCTGCTGCATTCGTAGAGCCGAGCACATGCATCACTGGCTTCCCGCATAGCCCGAAGATGCGGGATATCGGGTGCGGGCTGTTGCGATACAGTATCCCCGTCCTCAGCGCATTTTCCACATTGCGTGCCTATCACCATATCAGCATCGTCTCATCTCCTCACTGTGGATATGGGAATGGGTATGGTAGGGTCCTACTTCAACATGCTCCAGCACAGAAACAACAAACAAGTCGAATTCAGAATTCCTCCATCCAACGATCACCCCCGGCGCATCAGACAACGCAACTTCATATGGCCAGAACACCCGTAGCAGGCCATCATTCATCACCATGCTGTCATTCTCTCTCCCCCTTATCCCCTCTTTCGTCAGCCTAGAATGACCCGCGCCGTCTGAGCTGTTCGCGCGCAGATATCCCGTGGTGCACGGAACGGGGGTGCTATTCAAACACATCAGCTATCCGCGCATGCCATCATAACCATCATAACCATCCCCCATTATAGTGTGGATAGGCTTTATTTACCACTTTCAGCTCTCTCGTCACGATATGGTTGAGCGGTACAAGTAGGGCAGCGAAGAATATCGACAGAACCAGGAATCCTCTGGCCGCGCGGGTCTGCCATCGTTTATCAATTAGTTTACTACCCATTATCCACACGGCAGAGTTATAGACTTACGACGACTCCGTGGTCCCAGGCAAAGATGGCGAGCTCGTACAATCTGGTAACCAGGTCCCAACGTGCGGTGATGTAGCCAGCGACGAAGATGCTGAACGCAAAGACGGAGAAGGGGTGCATGAATCAATGCCTGCTAGGCGCCGCGCTTGCCACGGTGAGGCTTCAATGGATGGATGGGTGAACAGATAGGTCGATAGCGACTATCGTGAAGCCGTGGATAGCTTGCGGGTGTTGGATTCTGGGGTCAGGCCAAAGTTCTTGCTTGCGGTCGTCCGCTGATTTTTATTGTTATTTTTAATTTTTTTTTATCGATAACTCAAAATGGCGCTTAGAGCGATTAACCGCCCATAGAACGACCACTTATAGATAATCAAGATATCCATAGACGGTAGACATACATTACTAACTACAAGTATGTGAAGAAATGGTTTTATTTGACTGGCCTCGCTATTAACGCCGTTTATGCTGAAGTTAACTATATATCTATCTATAAAGCCTTGATATCCAAAAACACCTTGTTGGCCTGCAGCTTCTCATCCGCGGCCACAAGCTCCCGTAGCCGCTGCTTCTTCTCCTCCACGCTCATCTTCTCGTTACCAGGAGCCTCGACTTCGGCCTTCCACTTGACCAGCATCGCCTTCAACAGGGCATTGCCCTCCGCAACCTCCTCGGCAGTGAACTTCTCCACGGCCGCTGTGGTCTTTTGCTTTCCCTCACTATCAGCTCCAGAGGAAGTAAAGTCCTCAAGTTCCTCTGCCTTCTGACGAGCCATGTTGACCACCTTGTCCGGGAATCTGACCAGCTCCGCAACGTGGATGCCAAAGGACTGGTCGCAGACTCCTGGTTCGACCCGATATAGTAGCGTGACCTCTTGCTTCTTTTTCTGCTTTCCTTCTGCCGCTGGTCCATCACCGATAAAGGCTACCACATGCAGATTGCTCACGGCCTTGGGGTACCGTTCCTCCAGCGCCGTGAGCTCATGGAAATGCGTAGCAAATAAGCTGAAGCATTTGATCTCAGTCACAATGTGTTCTGAGATCGCCCATGCAAGACCAAAGCCATCATACGTGCTTGTTCCTCGGCCCAGCTCATCAATTATTATTAGTGATTCGGAAGTTGCTGACTTCAGGATATTCGCGGTTTCAAGCATCTCCGCCATGAAGGTTGATACTCCCTTTAGCTGAGAGTCGCTGGCACCCACTCGGGCCAGAATGCTGTCAAAGATCGTGAGTTCTGCCTCTGAACAAGGTACAAAACATCCGGTCTGTGCCATGAGTGCAATGACCCCTATCTGTCTAATGTAGGTAGACTTGCCACCCATGTTGGGACCCGTGATGATCAAAAAAGAGGATTCGTCTCTGATCAAAGAGACATCGTTCGTGATGAAGGTGATATCATCTTGCATTTCCATGCAAGGGTGGCGCGCTTCCTTGAGGATGGTGTTGCCCGTTCCTCGTGGGTGAATTTTGGGCCTCACATATGCCGTTGGTGCGTGTGCTGATACATGGGCAAAGCTCACTATTACGTCGAGATGTGCTAGGATGCCAGCTAGCTGCTCGAGTAAGGGGCAATAAGAGGCTGCAACATTGACAACCTCGCTGACAAGTCCGGTCTGAGTCCGGTTATAGTTCATTGAGAGCTGGTCGTGCTCTCGTCGTAGTGCCTGCATAGTTGATGTCGTGAAGTATACTCCATTCTTCTGTGTTGAGCACTCCTGGTACTCTCGCTTATTGCGAATACACCCGGCTTCCTGCGGTATATTAGTATGGAAGACATATCAACAAAATAACCACAACCCTCTACTCACATTCCGGGTCAACCTGAAGCACCAGCCGTGAACTCTGTGATTTTCAAGGAAGAGTTTCTTCTCCGTGTCCTGGCCAAGATCCCGGCCAACTCTCCTATGCTCGGAGTCCATATCATGTCTCAACTTGTCAAGTTTCTTCCTGATTATCCGTAGACTATCGTCAAACTCTGGCTTGATGATGAACTCATGGTTGTCCAAAGCCTCAAGGTCGACCGTCGTCTCAACCATCTCAGCTAGTTTCCCTAAATCTTGTGAGAGTTTCCGTAGCTTGTCGGTATATTCTGCATCCAGCGGTGTTTGATACTGCTCGTCCATCACCCCCTCAAACGAATTAATAAAGCCAGGTATACGAATGACCACTTGATAGACTCGAACAACATCTTCCAAATTGGCCTTGCCACGCTGAAAACGTTTGGCCAGCCTATATAGGTCAGGTATGGATCGAAGATGACTCTCTTGCATGGTCTGTCTCAACTCGGTGTCTGTGACAAAGGCTTCGACTAGCTGCTGCCGTTTCTCAATATCCTTATGGTTCATCAGTGGTTGCTTCAGCCATTGGGCCAGCAACCGGCCTCCAACAGGCGTCTTGCAGTGATTTAGTAGTCCATACAGACTCATGTTTTTCATGCTATCACGAGGTCCAGGCATGAGGTTCAATGCCCTGAGCGCAGATGCATCGAGCTTCATGTACTGTGCCAAGTCATGTTTATAGAGTTGGTATTGGCCGAAGTTGGAAGGGTCGGACATTGCGTTGAGGTAGCTGATCAAAGCAGAAGCAGAGCCCATCGCCAACTTAAGGTCTGTTTGTGGCAGCATGGCAGGTCCAGTCTCATCCTTCAGCAGCCTTGATAAGTCCTGCTCAATGTCCTTGGTCCCAAAGGCACTGACTGGCCGTTCTGTAATTGCCACTCCGCAGCTGTCAGCAATCTGTCGTAGCTTTGCTAGCTCAACATCCTTCTTCTGTCCCTCAGCAGGTATCAAACACTCCTTCACTCCGAGCTGGATAAGCAGCGACTCGAAATTGGAGTAGAGGTCATTATCAACAAACTCGCTGACCCCCAATTCGCGTACGCTCGCATCCGCAAAGCATACGCCAACATGTCTCATCTCTTTGGCCTTTGTAGCAGCTTTCACAGCAAGGATGATAGGTGCAGTGTCCATTGCATTTCCTCCAGAAGCTCCTCCTAGCTCCTCCTCCACATCCTGTAGGTTTCCTGGACTGGCTTGCTTTGCCATCTTCCAGCCCCTTCCTGACGCACCGTTTTGTGACGACCATATTTGCACCCGCTTATTTAAACGGAAAAGGGCTTCTCGTAGAAAGGATCGAAACACAGTGACTGACAATGTCACCGATGCCAACCCGCTGTCGCTTCGTCCCAGCGTCCGTATCACAGATGTAGTCTTGTAGACTGTGCGAGCAATGTACTCTGCATCTGCGCCGTGGGCAGTGTACCAGTCACCACGATCAAACACGCGCACTGTCGACTCGTCTTCGGCATCTAATGAGCGGAAGAATTTAATAAACCCGACCTCATCGTCGACCTGTAGATGTCGTTAGCTCTGAATTACTCTAGTTATAGATTGCAGTTGCAGGTAACACACTCACCTTCAGCTCGGGACGAGACGCCATAATATAACTGGAGCTACCTTTCCAACAAACAAGCGCAATTATAAGAAATTAGAATATAATCAATGCTTCTTCCCTCCTCCAGGTCTATAAATTGTCCATCAGCTTCAATCGGCTTCGGCAAGTTTTCAACGCGACTCGACTTTAATCGAATTTAGGGTCACGTGAGCACGCGTCTTCGCGCGCTTCTTTTCATGACGTAAATTTTGATATCAAAAAGTCGACGAAGAACGACAATAAAAGAGCAGAAGAAAAGAGAAGAGAAGAGAAGAGAAGAGGGGAGATGGCAATAGGACTCTAGAACGCCTGTTATGAACTAGACTAAACACCAAGATACCCATAGCTACAAGATATAACGCACAGCGAGAAACGGCAGGCTGTCACTCCCTTTTCTTACCAGCGCCTCCTTTGGCTGCCTTGCTGACGGCCGTCGATTTGGGAGCGGCTTTGCCCTTAGCCTGTGTCTTCGCCTTCGCGGCTGGCTTTTTAGGGGCTGCTTTGGTTACCTTTGTTGCTTTGGCTGTTTCGGGCGCGGGAGTGGCCGGGGCTTTACCGGGAGCTTTGCTCTTTGCCCTGCTCGTCGTGGCTCGCTTTGGTCGGGTGCTGCTTTCAGCTTGCCCCTCTTGATCGTGTACTTCGGGGACGGTAACTGGGATTTCTACTGAAATCTGCTCCCTTGTCTGAGGCCGTGACTCTGCAGAAGGCGCAGCAGGCGTCTTTCTGGCAGCAGGTCCTCGTGTACCGCGTCGTGCTGGGGGTGCCGTGTGCTCCCGCATCTTCTCTCTTCCTGAGATAGCAGCCTGTCTCCTAGCCCGTCTGGGTCGCCCCTCTACTACAGCTTCGGGTTCAGCCTCGCCATGAGGTTGCTGTGATATACTCCCTGAAACCAGACGTTCAAACTCATTCCTTGTTGACGTCCCTGCTTCACCTTCAGGCTCTTCCTCAATAGATGGAAGAGGAAACTGTTTTGGATCTATTTCCTCTGACAATCTCTCCTCCTTTATGACGGGCGTCTTCCCATCGTAAATGAGACCAACCCGTCGGCCGGGCCTGGTCAGCTGCGGACAAGATGGAAGCGCACTAGCCAATGTCTGACCAAAGCTACCCAGGCGGTTGATTGCTGGTGCACTCCACGTTCTAATCCGCCGAGTAGGATGTGTGGGCTGCGGAAAATGAAGCAGTAAGCGTCTTCGGCCCATACGACCGAACTCCCTCCGCAACTTTTTTACGAGCCTCTCTTGGTAGAACCTGCTGTATGGGATATGTTCAGGCCTCGTCTTAATCTCTCCTGGCGAGGGCGTGAACTTTGATGATTTATACGGAACTGGACGCTCCTTCGTCCTGACCCCGTATTGATCATACTCTGTCCTGTGGCTTTGATCGCTTGAAATGAGAATTTCAGCTAATTATATAGATGGTTAGTATTTGCTGCATCAAAATTGCCTTTATAGAACAAGCTTTGCCAAACTTACCAGATTCAGACACAGCATCACTTTGTCTCGGATGGTCAACTGAATCAGAGCGGTTATTTCCTTCAACAGCCCTGCCCTTGCCCTTGTCTATTTTGGCAGTATTACTGCTCTCACCGACACCAGAGCCTGACTCCTCTGAACTGTCTTCCACTCTAGCTCGTTTCTTCGTCCTCGCAGCGGGGAGCTCGTCAGCATCACTTGATGTGCCTGTAGCCGAAATACCCGTTTCAACTTGGCCATCCCCTGCTCTCTTCCTTCCTCCAGGGGTCAGGGTGTCGCCTGCAGCATGGCCATGGCTATGAGATGTGTCTCTCCGTGGCTCTTGGTGTGGCGTACATTTAACCACCACGCCAGCTCCTGGACCAATATTTACCCCTGACCGTGCATCCCTCTGTATCCGCTCATACAGCTCTGGATCATGTGTTTGTGGGCCAACCCCGGACGCACTCCGTTTAATTTTCAGGTCATAATACAATCTCTGATCTGTCGTTCCTGGCCCTGAGCTCGATCCGGGCACAGACCTAGTGCGTGGGTCGTCGTTATCGTTTCGCTTCTGTCTCTTATCCCTGTGTCTGTCTGAGCCATTGCCATCCTCGTGTACATCGTTTCCTTCTTCGATTGGTGTTTCTTCTCGCATGTCTTGGGATGTTCCCCCTTCTCTCCTCATTGGGGCAGGGTGATTCCCCTTGTCACCTCCTGGCGTTCCCGAGACGGCCCGTTGGCTCCCTGAACCCATATCTCTTGGTATACCGTGGGTTACTTTCGGCTCCTGTGGGAGGCTTAAATTCGCCTCTTATATATTATGTGGCGGCAATCTGAGAGCAGCCCTTTGCAGGCTGGTAAATCGAGAGAATGTTTATGCGATAGTGCCACAGGGTCTCATTGATTGAGAAATGTGAGGATTGCAAGGAAGGTATAGAATTATGGACTATCTGGGAAGTCTATATAACATTAGTTAAAGGGATAATGAGACGGTCATTGGTTTAGAATACAAAGCATTTGATAAGATAGTTGATATTTAATAATGGTACTTTGTACAATGATATGTTTGTGAATGAACTAGTTCCTTATCTTCGAGATCTCGTACAACCAATGTATGAATATACCAAGCTGCCAAATAGAATGGCCAAGTTTAACTAAATTCCCCAAATATAAAAACGTTATCCACTTGGTATTAGATGGCTAACGCCAGCCAAATATCAAGGTCACAATTCATATACACGAAATCAGGCACAAAAGTCCACCACAGCTCAATTTTAGTGGCATAGGTATCTGGTTCTTGCAACAGTGGGGTATCATAGTAGCTATGTATGTGTCTAATTCATTGAGGCTTCATTCGTATCCCGACGTTCAAAGGGAAAGAAAGGAATAAGAGAGTATCGTCAACACAGTGAATGACCAGCTGGGTCGATGGAAGAAAGGACATGGGTAAAGAGGAGCCAGGTAACGAGAGTGATGGAGTATTAATTTGGTGGTAAATAAAGTGAGTAGTAATATATGCCATGAATGCAGAAGAGCAGACCAAAAGCCCCCCGTTTTCCAAGATCAAGTAAATAAAACAGACGAAGAAGTGAAGAAAGGAGACAAGCGGAGAGGGAAGAATGGGGGACAAAAGAACGGAAGTAGAAGCATTAAAAGTGGTAAAAACAAGAGTCATTAATTCGTTTCAATTCATTGCAGCATTCTTCATCCAACTCGTCATTCCTCGATCCTTATTCATCCCTCTCTTCAAGATAACTTTTTTGTTGTAAACTCGATATTCGAGCGACCGAACAGACATTAACGGGTGAAGGACAAGAAGAGAGGATCCGAAGAGCAGAACAGAACAGAAGAGAGAGCAGCCTAAGTAAATAATTCATACCACGCCGTGTCGCCACATAAGAATAACCCGTAGCATAAAAATAAGCAAATAGCCGAGTATTGCTTTGGACAAGCAATACCTGTCATTGATAACCGGAATAGAATATCAAGCAGTGAAGCAGAAGTAATTTTTTTTTTTCGACAGAAGGACAAAGAGATGATGGATAAACAAAATACCACCACCAAGAGCAATGGACAGTAAATGGTGCATTGTCCCAGGAAACAAAAGCCAGAGCACAAACTGGGGGAAAGGTACAGAATGAAGAAAAGAAAGAATGGAAACAGTACTGAAAGACAAGGTTTAGTGGCCGTCTTATGTATGGGTATGGGTGTATGGATGAATATATGTAAAGCAAAAGAGAGAAGAATCGAAAAAGGAAAGGAAATAAGGAGTATAAAGAAAGTGACCCAAATGTTCCTATCATTATAATCATCCGGTTGTACCACATAATGGAATGACCGTTATCCATGAGCCGGATCGTCAGGCTTATATTTTGCTTGTTCAGTTTCACTCGTAGCAATGTCGACCAAGGCTTGAAGACGGCCTAAACCTGCACCACCGCTAGGCCTAGTGGGAAGTAGTTGCTGATGCTGTTGTTCTTGCTGCTGTTGTAGTAGTAGCTGATGAACACTGTGCGAATGATGATCTGCTGCATTCGTCTCATACTGTACTGGCTGGTGATGTGTAGGAGATGTTTCGGTAGGAACACTTGGTCCAGGTCCTTCGTCCGCTTCCATTTCATCTTCATCTTCTTTCAGGGGACCAGTACCGGCTCCCGTGGATGGTCGTGAGCCAATACTTTGCAGTTCACCCATCGTTGCTTGACCCCAGCTTGCTGCGTCCTTGGTACTACCACCAGAACTACTGTTGCCGTGGAGGTCTAGTCTAGTCAAGGTGCGCTGTAAGGTGGTATCCAGAGATAACTGACCGCGCCTATGCTCTGCACCAGAGAATGGCGGGGCGGGCCGAGGACCAGCATTGAATGTCGGTGCGAATGGGGTGCTGCCCATCAGGTGTGACGGCGGGGGTGGCGGTTGGGAGTATGGTTGAGGCTGGTAATGGTGGCGGTCGTAACTCCTTGGGCTGACCTCTCGTTCTCGATTGTATTCCAGGCGTGGTGGAACATGGTCAAAGGATTCGATACCTGGTAAACGGGTTGTCGTCGGCTGTGAAGGTGAAGATAGTGGAGGCACATTGACGTTTCCACCTGGGGCTGCACCTGGTGCTTCAGCAGACTGCTGATACCAGAGGCCGCTGGGAGCTTGAGGAGGACGCGCGAAACCAGTGTATGAAGAGGGATGCCATGTCCTTCGTCGGGGATCGGCTTCAAACCCCGAGTCTATTGCGCTGGTTGGTGTTACAGCTGCATATTGGGCCGGATCTGTTGGCGCGGGAGCCATTACGGGGGGCGGCGCCGGTGCTATTGATTGACTAGGGTATGGCGGATGGGTCATGCGAGTATATGGGGGCTGGCTGGGATAGTTTTGATGCGACGGGTCAAATGGTCTCGTACTTGTTGGCACTGATAAACGGCGACCAACGTTGCGGTCCGGCCAGTGCGAGGAACCGTAGGCAGAACTTGGGGAGGCATAGTAAGGGCTCGACTGATCATATGTAGCCGATGAAGGCGTGAAGGTAGGGCCTGGCGCAGAGGACTGATTTGGAGGTGTTTTGGGGGGTTCGGCTCTGGTCTCTAATGATAGAGAATGTCTACTGCGAGTGTGATGGTGGTGTTCAGCACCAGATCCCGCCATCATCAACGGTTGTGGCCTTCGTCGTAGCTCCTGGTGCTGTGGGGCATAGCTAGACATGTTCGATGAGATGCTAGAGGTAGACAGATTACGGCTGTGGCTGTGTGAATGGCTGCCGGCGGTCCCCGCGCGGGCTCTTCCGTTATGTCGTACACGATCGGTGCGTACCTGGCGCTGGAATCGGGTTCCGCTGGCTGCGAGGGAGTCACACGGGATGTTCTCGTTGACATGGACAGTCTGAGCATGCTGGCGGAGGTTGTCAAGGCGGGAGAACCTGCGAGAGCAGTGGCACTGGAATGGCCGTTCTCCAGTATGTTTCCTGGTCTTGTGTTAGCAGGCTTATGTTATCTTCTTAAACAGGCGGGAAGAGCAGTTACCTGATGTGTCTGGCTAAATGTTCGCTTCGGGTGAAGTTGAGATTGCAAGGCGGAAACTCGGTGCAATAGAACCGCTGGCCTTTTTTCTTCTTTGATGGAGGACCGCCAGCAGCGTTGGCTGTTGCTGCCACTGCCGCTACCGCTGCAGCGGTTACTGCGTTTGCTGCTGCTGTAATTGAATTTGTTGTTGCAGCCCCTGAGGTACCTGCAGGACCTGTACCTGAAGGTCCGGCATCTCCGGTACCACCCATTTCGATCTCATTATCAGTCTGGTAGTGATCTCCGTCTGACTCCGGGTGTTGCATCTCGTCGAAGTTGGAGGAATGAGTAGAAGAGCCCTCGCGACTAACGACAGAGGTGCGATTAGGAGTTGAGGCGGCGGCGGGCTGGGTATTTGTATTATGTGGCGAGACGGATGAGGTATGTGAGTGTGCGTAGTGAACCGCTGATTGCGGTTGTTGCTGTTGTTGATGACGATGCTGTTCAGTAACGGTTACATCGTTCGTTCCATGATTCGAGGCGAGTTCAGTATGAGAGGCGATGCCGTTTTGTCCTGCGAGTGGCTGCCCGTTCGGTTGTCCGTTGAGTGTAGGCACCGACGTAGCTGGCCCAGGTGATGGCTCTTTCCGTTGCTCCCGCTGCTGCTGCTGTTGCTGCTGTTGCTGCTCAGGTACGGTCATTCTGTTATTTTTATTATTGACGGCAAGAAAAGAGGGCATCGTCGACACCAGATCCCCTGCTTAACTGTTCCTGGTGTTGTATTTCCTGCTCGTCTTCCCCTTGTTTCACTTTCTCCTGCTGGCGACCTGCGACCAAAACAGCCTCCCCGGCCAGAGAAAAACAGCGATAAGGAAAATAAGAGAAAAGAGATAAGTGGAGGAGAAAAGGAAAGCCGAAGTGAAGTCGTTATCCAAGGCCGGAGCGGGAGAGGAAGGACCTGACGGGGGGTCTAGCGTGTCATCTATGCATATATAGTATATGCCCCCAGTCGCACTTCTCCCTCTTTTGTCTTAAGCTGTCTTTCTCGTCTTTCTTGTCTCTTGTTACCTCGACGACGGCCTTGCAAAAACTCCCACCGACGGCGGCGGCAAGTGGGTCGTTCTAGAGGAAGTAAATATGGATCAACGCAGAAATGACCGAAACATTCGAAATAATGGCGGTGGTACGGAGTAGGTGTTTTGTGTGTTGATATGTTGATATGTGGGCGGACGGTTAGAGGTAGAAGTTGGGTAGTTGTGGATAAAGGATAGAGGTAAAGGCCAGAGGAAAAGGCACAAGGGCACAAAATAACTGGATTCCTTCGAGGTCCCCGGGGTTGAAGCGCAGGGAATAAAAGAGAGGAGAGATGACGTTAGGTGAAGTTGTTTGGATGCAGTGGCAAGAGGTGACGGAAGAAGGCGATGTTTTTTGGTGTTTGGATTGTTTAGTTAACTCGCTTTCTCATCCGAGTTGCTGCAACGGATATTTATGATGGAGAATGATGGAGTCGTTTGTTGATGTGGGTTGAAAAATAGCCCAGGGAGGTCGTTCAGGTACCGAGTCAGAACGGACACCCCTGTGACACCGCAGGCGCAGTAAAAGAAGGCGAGGGAGACGATATCCTCGCAGATGATCAAGTCGAGTCGAGTCGATCCAAGCAGAGGCAAGCAAGGTGCTATGCACTAGATGTTGTTTCTGTCTGGGCAGAGTCGGCCGGCAGTGACGGTAGTACCGAGGAAGTACCCCTTTGGCAGTCAAAGTGTGTCAAAGGTCCGTAAGTCCGTAGCGTGTGGAAGAGGTGCGAGAGTTGATGAGAGTCCAGAGGGGAAGAGGAAAGCAGAAGAATATAGTAGGAGGAGGAAGAAGAAGAAGAACAAGAAGAAGGAGAAGAAGGAGAAGGGAGATAAAGTCGAAGGAAGCCGGCGAGAGATGAGGCTAAAGAAGCGAAGAGAAGGCTACGTCAGAGCCAGCAAGAAGGATGCAAGTCATGGGCGGCCCATGGAGACATCGACATCATGGATGGCATGCCATGGCATCTCTCGGAGAGGGGGCACCAAAGAGTGGTCAGAGGTCCCGGGGAGACAGCCAGCCAGGCAAGCCGCAGGCGTGAGCAGGCAAGGTACCGGTACATCGCCAACAAGTGACCAGCTCACAGGGGGTCCCTTCAACTAGGCCTTAACTAGCTTAACCAGCCATGCACTAGCCCCTTTAACTAGCCTCTTAACTAGTTAGGCTGCCCTTAGCTAAGGCCAACCCTTGCCCTTAACTGAACGCCTTTAACTGGAGCTTTCCACGCCCTTGAACAGGCGAAGGCCGGGCTGGACGCTAAAGGTGGGCGCGGCGTCAAGGTACATGGACTTGTTTCTCTGTTGTGCCTTGCCTTAGCCTTGTCCAGGTACAGGTACCTTGCATAACATGCCCTCGCTTTCGCTCCTCGCTTGCTGTCTTTTTGACGTCTCACTGTACGGAGCAGTTGACTAGCCGTGTCTCTTAATCTTTCATCTTTTCATCAAATTCCCATCGTCAAGCAACTTGTTTTCCCTCCTTGCTCCCCCATCCAGGAACAAAAGGGTGCTGACCCTGACCCTGACGGGGACCTGGCCTGTTCCTCTCACTCTGTCTCCTCTAACGTCGTACAAAGCATGTGAAGAGGCGAAAGAACTTCCAGCCAGATGCTGGCTTTTGCGTTGCCTTCTGCTTGCTTTGAAATGGATACGACGAGCGCAGTCAACGAAGTCTGTCTGTCCTGGATAGGTCTTCTTTTTCCGCTTTTTTGCTTTTGCCTTTGCTTTTTGCTTCTTTTTTCTCTGGTCGAGCGTGGTCGATCGACCGATCCAGGCACATTTCCCCGCCACTCCTCCAGGCTCAATTAGTTATATAGCCATAGCTGGAGAGTTGTTTTGACGTAGAGCAGTACAGAGTACTTCGAGTACAGGTACTTCGTACTTCGTTTTTCGACCCCATGTTGCAACAAAGAAGAGACGGGCTACTCCAAAGTAGTCAGCGGAGAATAAATATAGCAAAGGGAGGGAGCGAAAGTCTGATAGCTATAGAGCTGGTTGGTACCTGCATGTAAGTCTCACCATTCCGTCCAGTCCAGTTCTATAGCGTATCATGGGGGACAGAGAAACAGGGCCAGAGAGAAGAAGCGCCTCTCAAGATGTTACCCGGGTACCTCTCTCTGCTGGTCAGACAGTTTGGACTTTGGTTCTGCGGCTGGTTTAATGGTTGATGCTGGTGGTGTTGTCGTATGTCTGCTACTGTCTGTTGCTGTCTGTACCACACAACAGAGAGAATACGAAGAAAGAGTAGGAAAAAAAAGGAAGCAGAAGAGATGTCATATTCAGGACCCGGCCGGGGTGGACCAGGCTCCTGGCACTATGGCCCGCCGTGGTCGGCGTTGTTGTAGATAGTTGGTTGCTGATAGTGGGTGGATGTAGACGCCTGGCGGAGGTGGTTTGACAGAAATGACAGGGCTTGCATACACAGAGCGCGCACACACACACGCTTACGCTACTAGTTGGTGAGATAGGTAACAGTATCATGCAAGGAATATGATAGAACGAACGCCTGCACTGGATGCAACTAAAGGTAAAAAGGACAGGGAAAAAAATGATATATACCAACTACTCCGACTCCTATCGATTCCCTAGGACTGCGCCGACCATCACCGCCGCCTCTCTCTCCCAGTTGCCCACGACAAGTCCTCCACCATCAGCTTCTTGCTCTCTGTCTCTGTCTCTCTCCCTGCTGGCGCTGCCGGCACTGCTCCCACGTAACACGCACTGCCGGATCTCATCCCGCAGCCTCTCTCGGTTCCCTCGCAGGGCCCGAGCGGCCGCTCCGCCACGGTTTAGCAGCTCTCCTACCCGCGGCGATAGCGCGGATGCAAGACAGCGCCAGAAGTAGCTTGGCAGAGACGTCGTGTCCAGGTACTGCAGCAATGGATACAGTAGGTTGTTCTTGACATGCTTCTCTTTCTTCTCAGAAGTAGAAGTGGGCAAGGTGGACGATGATGGATCATTAGCGGCGCGGTTGTAGAAGGGATGCGCAGGCTGTCTGGCACCCTGGAGTATCCTCTCTAGAACTACCACCGTCTGGCAACGGTTGGAGACCTCTAACAGTGCTCGCTCTAGAGACGGGAGCTGGGAGAGTCCTCGAAGAAGGGCCTGCAGCGAGGCCGTCAGGGACGAATGGATGAACGATTTTAACGTTACAAGGAGCAGTTCTGGTTGGAAATTAGCCGCGGATATAGTCTGGGTAGTAGTAGGGGAGAGTAGGTAGAGAGCCGTCATGGCTGATATCAGTCGTGCTCGATTCTCTTCCTGCTGTGCATATGTAGAGCCAGTGCCACCAGCGCCCGGCCGCAGAACCACCCCTTGCTCGTCTGTAGGTAGCGAGAACCGACTGACGATCTGCTGCGCGCGTGCCTTGACACTGTTCTCTGCTGGGTTCACCAGTTCGGCCTTCAATGTTCTCACCACCTTCACCCGCTCCAGCGCAGCGCCGTACCCTTCGCCTTCCCCGTCATCGCCACCGTTACTGTGGTCCGCAAACATCCGTCTAAGCATCAACAGCGTCTGAGACGCCCTTACCAGCGCCCGGTGGTCCTCTCGATCACGCCCACTGATCTCCACCAGCTGTCCTTCCAGCTGTCTGCCCAGCATCAGGCATCTTGACACGGCCCTGGCCAACTTCACAGTCGCCCAGGACCGCTCCGCTGCTCCGCGCACTTCATCAGCCCCTTCCCAGCGACGCACCACATCTTTCTCAAGACGCTGATAGCCTTCCGTCAGCGCCAGAACCTGCGCCTCCAATGCCAGGAGTACACGTTGGCCTGAGGCAGTGGTGTCCGTCGTATACCGTAGCAGTGGTAGAGCAGACTTGGTTGTGAGTGTGTGGACGTGGCTGTCGACTTCCTGGATGTCGAACAGCACGCGAGAGAGCGGCGTAGAGAGGTCCAGCGGAGTATCAGATGGGTTGTTGGTGGTTGCCACCAGCGTCTGGGCGAACGAGGTCGGCGAGAACGACGGGTCCAGGAAAGTCTCGTAGTCGACGTACGACGGAGACGAGGTCATAGTGTGTAAGGATATGTAGGCTCTTGTAGGATTTCTGCTGCTAGACCGTTAGAAATGGCATGCATAAGAGCTGTTCTTCACAGGGGGGGAGGGTGTCCGGGGCGTTGTTGGTAATATACTTGCAGGTGCAGTGGTAACCACCCGAGTTTAACTATGGCGCTCTCCTCTATGACGCCAATGGTCACGTTAGCAGCGAGACGAAGCCAGAGAGGCAGAGCCTGGCCAGCATCAGCATTCTTCGATCACGATAGACTACTTCTTCGTGCCTGGCCACTCTCTCTCCGTGTCCAGGCTGGGTGTTCGACTTGTCAAGGTGACGTTGGAGTCGTTGAAGCCGCCGCTGCTCGACTTTGTGGCCGCGGGAGCGTCACATGACGTCTTTCTAGCTTGAGCCATGCGGGACGAACGATGAAGTTGAAGACAGCACTAGAAGGAGAATCAGTAGAACTGGGGCTGCGGAGGGCAAGGCGACGATGAAGTAGACGATGTGCAGGAGAGATACGATGAAGGTCTACACGGCGATATTAGACGACGGATGCTTCTTCAAGCATTGGGCTTTGTGTCTTGACGGCCCAACCAAGCTGGTTCTCAACGCGGTGGGCTCTTCAGGCCGTTTCAGATATGAACAACGCACCGCCGACGTCCGTGAAGACAAGACCCCCTGCTCGAGCTCTACTAAATCTGCGAGACAGACGATGCCAGGGAGTCAGATGTGACTGATATGGGGTCCAAAGTGGCCATACGCAGCGACATACCGAGCTGGAACTGCCAGGACTTTGTTTTTGATGCGATGGAAGCACTCGAGGGAAAAGCCGACATGGTCGACGGGTACAAAGAGCGTCTGGAGGAGCTGCGGTCGAAGCAGGACGGTCTTGTCTAGAGAGTTTGAGTGAGGAAGACAGAGGATAGGATGGGTATTGGGTGCAATATCTATTCATACAATTCATAAAAGAAGAATTAAGGAGGAAGAGAAGGAGAAAGGATAACACAGACAACGTAAAGGGTAAAAAAGAGACGATATAAAGAATGTCCAACACCATGCAGTTTTCCAAACTCCCGCCCGAGAAGGAAAATTAAAAGGGGTATATGCAATACAACTGTAACCAGAGCCGTGAACCTGTACCAAACTTGTATATTATCCCCTTTATGCAGTAGATTCAACCTCCTTACTAGGAACCTCGACGTAATCTCCGCCGCCATCTCGGTCTCGACCTCTGCCTCTTCCCCTCGACATGTTTTCAAGATCGATGCCACTCTCTATGTCAGCGTCTGTGGCAGGAGTCTGCTGCTGCTGTTGTTGCCTGGTGCTGGTAGTCGCAGCTTGGCCTCCAAAGGCAATAGGCTGTAGCTCTCTCCACTGACACGCCCACATGCCCAAGAATGTCATGAGCGTAGCACTAGCAGTCTGTAGTCCCCACCAGAGCATATTCGTAGGGACAGAATGTGTATAAAAAGATGTGATAGTAAGATGAATGAAGTGTAGCGTAAAGGCGAAGTCAGGTATCAGTTTTGACCGGGACACAAACAAGAGGAGAAATATAGCTCTATAAACAGCCAAATAGTTAGCTCACACCAGCATTTACCCCTATAATCATAAAACATACCCAAGGGAGCTGTTCAACAACCAGACGAACCCCAGAGTCCATCCGACAGTTGTATCCCCTCGAACAGTCCTCCAGCTCAGTATAAGGTCAGGAGAAAATGCAGTACCAGCCACCAGGGCAGTAAAAAGGATCAAAATCGTAGCGCAGGCATAGTAAGCTAGCTGTATCGCAAGGATCTTGCGTATGATCTTCGACGGAGGGAGGTCTGCCAGAGCGCCAGCCCTTGGAAGTCGACGGCGCCGCATGTATTGTATAAAACTCGAACAACACTCGGTTATTAAGGTATAGGGTTGAAAGGCCGCATCTCCCAGCCTAGCAGATATATCAACAATTCACTTCATCCGTCCCACGACGTTGGTGCATCAGGGAGGATGTCAAGTCGCCGTCTTTCGATTTGTTTCTTTCCGGCTGGCGAAGCAGAGCCAACGGAGAGTCACGTGAACGGTGCATTTAGTTACTGAGCTTTACTTTTTAGCTCCTTAGCATTAACGGCGAGCAAGCGGTAGAAGGTCGCCATTTCATTCAAGCTGTCTTATATATTGGTTCTCTGGATTCCTGGCTCACCCTGTTACTCCTGACAATGGGCTGGTTCTCATCATCTACCGAGCCTGCGCCCAAGAAGGCCGCGGACGGCGGCTCAATCGCTCCCGACCGAACCTCCCGCCAACAATGTTGGATAGGAAGAGACAAGTTCTTCGCCTGTCTGGATGCCAATAATATCATAGATGCTCTCAAAGAGGATAGCGCCGCGCGGTCAAAGTGCTCTAAGGAAATACAGGAGTTTGAAAGCGCATGCTCGGCTACATGGGTACGTCGTCGCCGGAGTTGGACAGTGAATGTTTGTGTTTGCTAACGTCTGCTTTTAGGCCAAATATTTCAAGGAGAAACGAGTAATGGAGCACAGAAGAGACCAGACGATCCAGAGGATAAAACGGGAAGACGTTGAGAGTGCCGCGGCGCAGAAGGGCGCCAAATAAACCTACATTGCATGAGGGATTGCGCTTTACAGATTGGACATAGCAGGGTGAATTTAGGAATTTGGCGGAGTTTATCCTGGACATTGGTAGCTGGTGAATCTGTCTCGGTCATGAGGACCTTGCGCTGACGTATGCTAGACTTCCAGCTATATGGGTTATGACGGATCCAGGTATCGAATCCCTCCCGGTTGCGTACAAGGAACGGTAGACAACGACACCAGAGAAGGCTGTAAGATATATGTAATATTAGCTTGAACATCTCGAGAGCAAGAAATGAACAAATTAGAGCATATTATTAACGGGGAAAAAATATAGTGCATATAAAATGAAGAGAATATATATATATATATATAGCAACCCAAATTTAACCTATTCTCCATCCATCACCTTGCGCTAGAAATGCAAAAAAAGAAGAGTCTGAACTCGTTAAAGTGAAATCAAAATCAGATGTCGCTCATGTGTCATAAAAGTATATGCCCGGATGAAGGAAGAGAAAGTAACACTTGGGCGGAGAATGGGATTAATGTTCGTTATTGTTTCCATTTCATTAGCTGCTCCATGATCTGCTGAACTTGCATATTGGCTTGTGGTTGGGGGAGTGGGCCGTTCTGTCCTGGATTAGGGCCCTTTGGCAGAAGCGAAGCTAAGTTTGTGTTGGGATGTGGGATTGGATTAGGAGGAGGAGGCACAAAATGTGTGCCTGGAGCAGTTGTGGTTGGAACGGACGGTGGGTTGGCATTGCCCGGACGTGTCAAGTTACCCAAGAGTGCCGCGAGATTGGTCGAATTTAGCGGTGGTGCGGTGACAGGTACTGGCAGAGAGTGGAACTGGCGGTTTTGCTGTTGTGCTTGCTGTGCTTGCAACTGTTGCTGCTGGTTCAGGGAACTAAGTAGCGTATGAAGGGTGGAACTGTCGAGGTTTGATAGAAGGTTGGCAATTGCAGCTTGATCCGACTGTGCTGGTACTGGTTGCGGTATGGGCTGAGGAGGCAATACGGCAGGTAGAAGTGGCGGCTGCAGCTGTATCGGATTTGGTTTCTGGGAATTACGTGCATGAACAACGACTTCAGCAGCGAGGCTGGGATCAAGTTCAGAGTATTCTATATAATTGTGATCAGTATCTATGGGTAACAGTGAACAAGGGGGCACAAAGTATGTGTAACTCACCATTAAACCGTACGTTGTCCATCCCACCAGATCGGTCAAATATCTGCAACGGTATCTTTCCCGAGTACTGATTCGCTCGAGAGATGCGAACGATGGCAAGAACACCCTCCATTACTTGTCGTCGAACAACAGCAGACAATCGAATTCGAGGACTTAGAATTAAAACATCACATCTAAGGCCACGATCCCTGAAAGCGTTCTCAACTCGATACACAAACTCACTGGTAAACCGGTTAGCGCGTTGGCATGTAAAGACCTGAGTAAAGGGGGTAGACCAACTTGTCTGCATTTTCCAGAACAATAACCTGGACCTCCGGGACGTTACGCGGATCTCTCCTTGGAATTGGCAGGTCAGATTCGCTGTCATACCCTTTGTCCCTTGGACTAGGGCTGCGGTAGCGTGCATTTCGAGGCCGAGGTGATCGTGACCTCGACCGCCGCCTCTCTCGAGGATCATATCTATCAAAACTGCGTTCTCGGGAGTGATACGAGTCTCGGCGTGGGCCTCTGGGTGAAGGAGATCGTGAACTTCTATCACGGTACCGGTGTGGGTCCTTTTCTCTGAAATCGCTGATTGCCAGTCTTCCGGGACCCCTATCATATCGGTCCGTAGCTGAACGGCCACCTCGAGGTGGCGGTTCCCTGTTCCTTTCGTACTCTGGCGATCTTGACCTTCTCTGCTTACGTCCGCTGTTCTCCGTTGGACCAGAGTTGCGAGCACCACGTTGAGGCTTGGATATTTCTAGGTCTGACTGAATGTTAATACAGGAACAAAGGCAATGAATGTGAAGTGAACATACGGATCTTTCGGCCTCTTATTGTAGAACCTTGCTGAGCCTGTAGTGCTTTGCGGCACGAGTCAGGTTCGAGGAACTGAATGAAGCCATAGGCTTGTTTGATTGATATCTGAGCCAGCTTTCCATGCATATGGAATATATGAAAAAGATCACGCTTAGTTACTCGTTCAGTTGGTAGGTTGCCTACGCTCGTTAGTGTTTACGTTTCAGAAAAGAGCGTACTGATACGTACCAATAAACAGACGGGAGCCGGCAGGAAACCTATCCCAATGCGCCTCGGTAACATATATACGTTCATCACGGAGGAAGTCATCATACTTTTTCTGGATATCAGGTCCCCAGGGGGTATCTTCTTGTGGGTCACCCTTTGTAGACTCTATATTCTCATCATAACTGTCACGTTTCCGTGAAGTATTGGATACTTTCCTTGTATGAGACTTCGGTGGTACTTGCTGCAGTACCTCAGGGCTAGAAAGGGATGAAGATAGGCTTGCAGATGCATCCATGGCAGCTGAACGTTGGGGCAGATTATTACGTTTATCACTTTGAAGGGTTTCTTTAGATGGGGAGGTGTCAGGGCTTGTGTCAAGGTGACTTGTTTGTATGGGCTCACTTTCATGGGCAGTAGCAAGTGGGCGAGAAGGATAAGTGGATGCATAAGATATGGGCATGTTGGAAACGGCAATGTCACTGAGGGTATGATCTGGCTGGCTGATGGGCTCTGTAGCATGGGCTGCAGATGTGGGCATAGTAGTAGTGGTAGCAGCAGCAGCAGCAGCGGTAGTGACAGCAGTAGTTATATATGATGCAGACGAGGGTACATTGCTAACAAGCATGTTCTGATAGGCAGCAGCCGTATTGAGAAGAGAAGACTGAGAGATATCGGAGTTCACATCACCTGGGTTCTGAGCCGAAGCGAAGGGGTAACCAGTAGCAGGAGTAGACCGCACTGGCGAAGGTTGCTGCTGTTGCTGGTAAGCACCATATAGAGGAGCAACGCCCTGAGTAGCTGGGTATGGAGGAGCTAGATGGGCGGTTGTAATGCTATTATTCTCTACCGTTCCCACCATATGGGTATGGGCAGCGGTATCAGGGTGGGTTTGATGGTGCTGCAGGTCTGGCTCAGCGGTAGGATTTGTATGAGGCACTGAAGATGAAAGTGAATTCGTCAAAACCTCGTCTCGAGTAGTAGAAGCGAGTATCGATTCATTCTCTGATAGCATGCTCTCCGTCTTTGCATTAGATCCAGGGAGACTACCTGTTATTCCAGAAACACTGCCAGCAGCACTCGCGTTCATCTGCTCCAGCCCGCTCTGCAGCATCGCGTATGTCTGGTCCACCATCTGCATCTGGTCGCCCACCGCCGGCCGCTGGAGGCCCTGCTCAACAAGCACTGGATTCAAAGTGTGCTCCTTGACCTCCGGGACGGTCTCGAGGGCGGAGGTATCATGGTAGGAGGCGTCCATCTGGTTCTGCAGGAGGGGTATATTCGACGGTTCCGCGATATGCAGCGGCCGCGGGCTCTCGGGCGTCAGCGTCTTGCCCCGGAAGTGCAGCGCCTCTTCGGGCGGATCTGAGGCCATCTGAAACAGCAGGCTCTCCTTTCATCTATCAATCCTGTTCTTGTTCTTTGTCTTCGTCCCTGTCCTAGCTTCCTGTCTCTGCGTCGCCCGCTTCGAGTGTGTTTTGTGTGTGCGTGGGTGTTGTGACCACCGTTAAGAGCGAGGAAGGCGGCTCGAACGCCACCTATAAACCATCGAGGGCGCACGTCTGGACGAGAGGATCCGATAGCGCCTCGAGCACGAAGCCTCTGGCAGGCATGGCTGAGATGCAAGTTGCGTTCGTGTGTGCGGAAGAGCGTCGCCGGGCCAGCAGGAGAGAAAAGCCGATGTTTCTTCCCTGCGCGCTTCCTTGGAGCTTCGACCTTGCCGGCGACCAATGAAGATCCTTCGAGAACGGGCGGGAGCTTGAGAGCTCACTAGCTAGTTACTAAGCACGGTCTAGACGGTGGGCAGGGCGACGCCAGAGTGCCCTGAGAGAGGTCGAGGCAGTGGTTTGGAGGCACAGCGTTGGCGGCGACGGTTGGCCAGAAGTCGATTTGAGGTTGCGATGCTGGTCAAGCTGTGGAAGACGGCCTGGAGAGGTCGGCGGGCGGCTGCAGCGAGCCTGCGCAGGGCTCACACGGCCAGCGACGACGAGCTCAGGGCCGCGAGGACATGGCTGGCACAGTTGACGGTCGAGACGATTCCCAGGAGCATCTGCGCGGTTTCATTCAGCCGGTCCAGCGGGCCTGGAGGCCAGAATGTGAACAAGTAAGGCTCCCGCCCGCAGCTAGCAGATATGGACTCGCACTGAGATGCTAACCAACACGGCGCAGAGTCAACTCGAAAGCGACGATTAAAGTGCCGATGAGTGCCTTGCTACCCCTGGTGCCGAAGATACTACATCCCTCTATCCGATCGTCTCGATACTACGCAGAGAACTCGCAGGCACTGGTCATACAGGCGGATGAGAGCCGCAAACAGTCGCAGAACCTCAATGCCTGCTTCGACAAGCTGACTAGTATGATAGCAGAGGCCGGAAGGGCTGCTGTGCCCGGGGAAACCTCGCCTGAGCAGAAAAAGAAGGTCCAGAAGTTGTGCGTTGTTGATACCGAGAAGACTACGAAGGTTATCAAAAAGACTACGGCTAACAGATATTACAGACAGAAAGCCGCAAATGAGGCGAGGATACGGATGAAAAAGGCACACAGCAACAAGAAGAGCAGCAGAAAAGGCAGATCAGACGAGTGAATTGACATTACAAAAGTGGTATCTCATTTTTTTCTGAACTGATGCTGGTGGTGGCTCTGCTGTGTCTATGATATCCTGCAACTCTCCATCTGCCGACTTACACTCTTCAACGTCACCTGTATCACCTTCTGTAGCGCTGGGTCGAGGTTCTCGGTTTCGAGCAGACGCTGAAGCCAGGAGGTAACAGGCGGCGCAAGCTGGGCGAGGACGGGATTGTCATCTTTCATGTGCTTCTTCAGCCGTCCGAGAGAGAGTGAGAATGCTCGTGGAAACTCGGGAGAACAGGGATTTATGCCTGCTACCGGGTACCTGATATGGCACTCCTGGGCTTTGGCGTTGGCCGGATGGGCTGTTATGAGCGAGTCAACGACGTGGCCGAGCACTCGTCTCAGACAGGCACATTCTTCGAACTCAAGCAGCATGTGGTAAAAGTCGTATGCAAACCCGGCGTCGTTGTCAAACTGGTTCATGGCCGCGTCAAACACGGCAATAGGGATGGCTCCTGACAGCGCTGGAGTAGCATTGAGTGTCTCTAGTGACTTCTGGTCTGGCTCGTCTCCTTCAAGTGTAGGGTTGATATCCTCCCCCGTCAAGCGAGGTAGCATCATCATATCCGCACCCTCATCATCATTTTGTTCATCAATACCATCTCTCTCCTCCACTTTATCCAGTCCCAGTATCCGCTGCCGTGCACCTATCTTTGCTATATAGATCATCTCCAGTTTCGCATACTGAAGCCACAACTGTCGAGAAGACTGACAGAACCGTAATCCTCTCTGCATATACCCCCTCGCTTGCATCATATCCCCATGGTCTTGCAGCGAGTGCTGAGCAGCATAGATCCATAAATCCACCTCTCGCGGGTGCAGCCGTAGTGCATTTGTGAATATTTGGGCCAACTTCTTATACGCCTTTTGCTTGCGAGCATAGTCGATATACTGCTGCCACAAGCTCACGTCACCATGGAACTTCCTTGTCGCCCGATCGAGGATGAAGAAGACTCGCCGCTGTCCCGTGTGCATCGGCGCCTTGACACCTAGTCGCTTGATCCGCTTCTTGCGCAGGGCATCCAGGTTCATCTCGTACTCCGCATACCGGGCGTAGTCTGCCGGCGAGGGGCCGCGGGCATTTATCCTGTGTTCAAAGTCGGATCTCTTCTTCGTTATAGAACTTATTTCTTCCTACATCTTTATTAGTAGCCCTTCATCCAATGTTCCGCCCGTAGTGTACCTACCTCAGTAAAGATCTTCTTCTTCTTGAATTCACGGAGCTCAGGGACAAGTTGCTCCAGGTAATAGCGAGCCTTGTCGCTCGCAGACATCTCGACCACAGACTCAGCACTCCCTTGGTAGCCTCAACCTCGTCTAAGTCTCTTTTTTCCTTCTACCGGTGTTATTTTCTTTTTGATATCAATCTTCTTTTTATCTTTCCATCCGTTTATCTTTTTTTAGCGGATCAAAGTTAATAAGCGCCGACGCTCGCTTCCGCGTCAAAATCCTCCTCAGGGGCCGCGGCAACTTCACGAGACGCCAGCCGGAGCAGACTCTTTCGCTTCTTTCCTTCGTTTTGATGCATTCTCTTCTTATTGATCTCCTTTTAATTAATACGTGTTGATGTCTTTCTTCCCTGCGCGTCGCTCGCTTATAGCTCTCTAAACCACCTTGACCATGGCCCCCAAGTTCAAGGACGGGGACACGGTCTTTTCTGTTCGTTTCACCCCCCAGCTGTACCCTCGGCAGATCTTCATTGCCTCAGTATCAGGTCCTAACTAAACGGCTGCTATAGTTTAACGGGAAATGGATATCATGGTCACACACTGTTGTCGGATACGCTGCGTTCCTAGGCGCTCTTGTTGTCGGCATCTGGCTTCACTACCACAAAATAGTCCAGAACGAACACTATGGATACCCCGATGAATGGTTCCCATCCGTCTCAGCAACCATAGGCGACCGGTACCCGGAACGTTCAGTCTTCCAGATCTTCATTGCTATTACCTCCGGCCCTCGATTCGCGCTCGTATTCCTCTGGTACATACTCACCGCGAGGCCGAACTCGGTACTGCCCAAGGCTGTGCTGGGCGTAGGCATCTTCAGGACATTAACCTGCGGAGGATGGACGTATGTGACGTCGACGGATGACCATGGATGGCATGATATCTTCATGATCGCGTACTTAGTGGCTACACTGCCCTGGACGCTCGGCTGTCTTGCCCTAAGCCCTCCAAATCCTCGAGCTCTTAAGTACCGAAGGATGTTTGCTGGGCTGTTCTTTGGAACTCTTGTACCTCTGGTCTACTTCTTTATCCAGCACAAGGTGCACAAAATTCCCGGAGGTGAGTTCTACAATCACTCTAATGAGTTAGTTTCATGACACATTGCTAACTACTTCTAGCGTACACAACTTATGCCTTTTTCGAATGGGCCCTGATTCTATTCGACGTTGCTTTTGATGCTGTTACTGCTCTTGATTTTGAAGGTTTCGAGATTACAGTGAAAGACATTAAAGGGATTAGCAGAGGGTACGTCAGGCGGCTTCCAAAGTAGACTTTTTAGTTGTACTATATGTTATGTCCCACGCCCATGTTTACGGCTATTTGGATATGTGTGTTCTTGTTTTTTCTAAGGTCATGAACTATTTACTGCAGAACGAGTAAATCCGACGCTGCTATCGAAAAAGAGTATGATCCATCCTTTTTACCTTGGCCCTTCTCTATCCTCTAGTCAAGATGCTAATATCTTATTAGACATGGTGTTCCTCTGGGCGAGCGCTTCTTCCTTATTGAGATCTTTGATGCCGCTGCCGATATCTACAATGGAGTAAGCAGCTCTGTCAATTCGTCCTCCATACCATATCTGACGTCTATATAGTTCGTCTTCTGGTCTACCTTGACCTCTCTTGGAGTTGTCGTCTGGTGTAAGTTTATAATCACTATCATTCGTGGATTTGAACTGACACCTTATCTAGACTTTCCCTTATGGAACATGGGTATATCTGGATACGAAGCCTTTGTCATGGTTAGCATCTCGCCTCTCCTCCTAGCCATGCCAGGATTCCGCTCCTTTGCCGTGCGCAACGTCAAGCTTCTCCATCTGTTGTCTCTTTCTGGTCTGCTTGCCTACCAGGTTCAATACCCGTCATACCGACTCTTCTTGGTTGGTTTCTCCGTTGCAATGGGATGCTTGACTTGGGCTGCCATCTTCTACGGAGAACGAAGCCAGCCTGGTCGTCTTGAAACCAGAGTGACTGCATGGACCGTTGGACTGCTTGCTTCGAGCTTGATGAAATACGCTTGCCATACCAACAACCCGGCTTGGCCCATTGTTAACGAAAAGAACGGTGGATGGAACAAGACTGTCCTCGTTCTAGCTTTAATCGCCATGCTTCGACCATCTCGCAGAAACTATGTGTCAGGAGACTACATGACCTCGTCTAACGGTCGCAAGGGCTCTTCCATCCTTTCTGCTCTCGGCTTTGGTGGACTTACCTTCGCTATGCACTCCCTTCTCTCCGACTCTAGCACCATGATCCTCTGGGTATGGGAAGGGTTCCCCGTCCGCGGTCCGATTGCTGTACCGCATGGATCACTTACCCTGCTTGCCATGGCTGCCGGTGTTTACCTAGGAGTGACATACCCCCGTCTGGCTGGAAGCTGGACTGCCTTTGGTCTTGGATCCGTTGGTGCCGCCCTCTTGACAGGCAACAGTCACTGGCTGGGATTCTACGGCGGTCTCATACTTGCAGTCTATGTCATGGCTGTTGCTCCCGTCCTCATCAGCTCTGGTGTAAAACACTCACCTGCGACCGTCTTTGGACTTGGTTTCTTTGTCTACAACTTCATGGTCCTCTTCCATGTCTGGATTGTTGCCTACGCCTTCGTTCCTGGTGGACCGCTCGTACGTGAACGTACCGACTGGGTCATGACATCAATGATGCTCCTGATAGGAGCCGGCGTGTTTTCGTCTTCTGTCTCCCAGACCACCTCTTCAGCGAAATATAGAAAACCAGTTGTAAACGCTCGTAAGCAACGCACCTACTATTTCTATGTGCTCGGTGCTCTTCAGATCTTCTCATTCGCTGTTGGATTCATGCGATTCCCCACCAACGACTATACCCCCTACCACAAGGACGAGAAGGTTATGACTGCTGGTATTTGGACGGTGCACTTCTCTTTGGACAACGACATGTGGTCATCAGAGAGACGTATGCGCGATGCAATTAAGGAGCTAGAGCTCGACGTCGTGGGGCTGCTCGAGTCCGACCTCCAAAGAATTATCATGGGTAACCGAGATACCACTCAATTCCTCGCTGAAGATCTCGGTATGTACGTCGATTACGGCCCCGGCCCCAACAAGCATACCTGGGGATGTGCTCTGCTCTCGAAGTTCCCTATCCTCAACTCCACTCATCATCTCCTTCCATCGCCCGTCGGTGAACTCGCGCCTGCTATCCACGCTACACTCGATATGTACGGCGAACAGGTCGACGTTGTTGTCTTCCATTCCGGACAGGAGGAAGACCCCGAGGACCGAAGGTTGCAATCAGAGTACCTGTCGAAGCTCATGGGCTCCTCCAATCGCCCCATGATACTGCTCAGTTATCTAGTCACCAAGCCGCTCGAAGGTAACTACAACACGTATGTAAGCGAACAAAGTGGAATGAAAGATATCGACCCGACCGACTGGGACCGTTGGTGTGAATATATCCTGTACAAGAACATCCGCAAGATCGGATATGCTCGTGTCAGCAGAGGAACCATCACAGACACCGAGCTACAGGTAAGAAATGATCAACAATTTCTGAACTTAATTACATAGCTCAAGCTAACTAATGATGTCACAGGTTGGTAAATTTGCCGTTGGCCAACCAGAAGGCAAGGGAGAACGCATCTCGGAAGACCAAGTGCCAGTCGGCATGAGGTTCCCAGCTATGTTCCGAGGAGAGGGAGTTCGCGGCCACAGATATCATGTGTTCGACGAACCACGATATTACAACTAGGATGCTCCTCTGCCGTCTCATTCTCCATTTGTACAATTGTTATAATATTAAACCTTGCCTATCAGCTACAATGAGGCTTGATCCTTGCTGCTACAACATGCAGATACGTAATATGCTAATGCGGCCCCTTTTTACTTCTCTTCATTCTGTCAGCGTCAGGGACGGAGCCGTTCCCTTTTCAATTGAGTCTGCTAGCTGAATGAATGTACTCAGTACACCTCCATACCAACCCCTTGAATGGAGCATAGCATCCAGCGAGGTCGATGACATCCCGTCTAGATATCTCCAGTAGCTTTGTGATAAACCTGGTTCTTGTGGCTACATCCCATGCAAGAAATCCAGTCACGTGAATCAGACTTCAGGCGAAAAGTGCTACGTCATAGCAGCTTCTTTGCTGGCGGAAAGATCGAAGGTGAACTTGGAAGTGCCAGCTAGGTAGGCAGAAGAGACAGCCAGATCCTGGGCCATTTGGACCCCTCTTTTGCCAGGGGAAGTATATAAAGGGTACGGGAAGAAGCCTGTGTCGGGCGGTAGAATCTCGAAAACGAATCTAATACAAGCCTCGATTGAACCTCAAAACCAATCCCTTTCACATCAGATAGTAAACAGCCATGGACCGACCGCCAAATGTCCCCAAGTCCCGTATGCCGCTATGGCTCGGTTTGGCTGCCCTAGGTGCCGGTGGCTACTATCTATACTCTGCCGGAGGCGACCCTAAGAGAGCTACCCGGAAGTTCGAGAGTAAGACGGTTGCCCCTTCATGAATCACCCGCTTATAATGTTCCTCTGCTTTCAAGACATTATCTTGACCTTGCGTATCTCTGTGAGCATCAAGGCTAATTAATGATTTGCAACTAAAATAGATGATGCTTCCCGAGCGCTCCACGGCAACAAGCCAACGGCCAGTACAGGCGCCGAGAGGACTGCTGCACAGGCTGGTGCCAAGCTAGATGACGCCGTAAGTATATAATCGTCTTCATTCCTGGTGGTGTTCTCAGCATTTGTGCGTGGGTGTCCGCCCTATGACTAGTTGATATTGACATGGGTATTAGTACGACAGCGTACGAGGCACGGCAAGGAAGATTGACGAAGGAGCCGTCGAACGGGCGAAACAGGGAATGGACAAGATTGACAAGGCCTCACATGAGACCGCAAAGGGCATCACTAGCAAACTAGAGGAGTTCGACAAGTCCGTTGAGGAGAAGGCTGCTGAGGCTAAGAGCGGTCTCTCATCGTGGCTGGGTGGTAGCAAGAAGTAACCAAAGTCACCCATCTCAAAACAGCGGAGCGAAAAACCATGGCGTGCCTTTAAAATGAGCTGTTTGATATACCATTGAGGCTGCTGTCCTGGCCTTTATTGTCATGATATCCTGACCCTTTTATGTCCAATTGCTGTGCATAGTACCTGATGATAATTGATCACTAGCTTAAATATCCCCATGCAAAGTCTTGCTTGATTTTCTCTATGAACTCTTTAATTGTAGGGCAGGCTCGTACAAACCTCTCGTACTGTTCTTCAATATTATATTGTCAAGTCTTGCGTTACGGAGTATCGTCGATAGATGGATTGAAAACTGGCGCGGCTGTTATTCCGTGTTGTTCCGTGCTCATCCGTGTTCACCCGAGGGTCGGCCGTGTCAAACGCAGTATTATGTAATCCAAACACAGACGCGCTTTTGACGCGTTTCTGTAATTGATTTCGCGACGAGGAAAAAAGACGAACAAGGAGACGCTGGCGGTTTCTTTTTTTTTGTCTTCCTCAGCTCTTCACTGCACATTTATCAGCTTTATGGATAGTACTACATATCACCAGGCATCCATAACTATACGAATACACTTTACATAAGTTACCACGAACGAGGAAATCGAGGTCGACGGAGCAAGATGGCTGTGAAGACTCGCAGGGCGACGACGACTCGCGCTTCTACAGCCCGCCTGCCTGCAAAACAGCCTGGGATCACAGCCTTCTCGCGAGTAGGCAAGGCCGGGACACGAACAGCTTCCTCGAAGGAGACCCTTTCTCTGAAGCGAAAAATCGAAGAACCAGCTCCGGGAGACGGCGAGTTGGTGCAGCAGATCAGCCCTTCCGACGAAAAGAAACCCGCAAAGCGAAGCAAGGTCGAGCCAACAACGGAGAAGGATGAACCCTCTGCTCAGCCCCATATCGAATATTCCCCTGATGCTTCTACCGAGCGGGCTTCCGTGCCATCGAGTCCCACAGACTCCTCGAATTCCGAACGGCCTTCCGAGTTCCTTGACCTCATTGATCTCAATTCAGCTTTTCTAAGCGCGTTATCCCTTCATTTCGCTCACAATGGAGCAATGGCACCTGCAAATATTCGTGATCTACTTAGCAGCACGGAAAGGATCTGGAATAAAAGAAAGGTGGCGCTGCAGGACATTCAGCGGGTGCTTCATATTCAGGGGCTTTGTCGGTCATCCTCACAGCCTCAAAGCGGGTTCATACTCACCAGTTATGGGACCAACACATTTGTGGAGAGAAAAGAGGGCGCACCTTCGAGCAAATCAAGGAGTACTTCACCGTTGAATGACAAAGCACTTAAAGCGGAATTTTTGGCAAACCTGAAAGGCTATTGCGATGACAAGGGAGATAATGATGAGAAGCCGAGTCAAGATCTCTTCCGAACCATTCCTCTGGCACCAATCCACCCATCTAAAGGATCTGTTAACGCTGTTAGAGGCCAAAAAACTATTGAAGAATTGTTTGGCTCCCTCAAATCTAAGCCGATGCTGACCCGTGAACCGTATACGAAACAGCCAGCACCACTGAAAGAGTCGACTTCAACTAACAGCCGGCGAAATGGACTTCTGGAGCGTATGAAAATGAAAGCACTGCGCCAATCGAAGCTCCCTCCTCCGCCTTCAAAGGATGTTGTACTGAAGCAGACTGCCCTTGGCCGTATCTCAGAAGTCATCAATGTCCTTCTCTTGCTGTCACCGTTGAGTTGCAAGATTGATGATGCAACGAGTAACTATACAGCACTTCGAAAGTCATACACGATGGATCAGATCATCCAGAGGATTGAAGACTCGATGCGGACGCCGGCATCAAGGGAGGAGATCGAGACGTGCATTGAAATTCTCAGCCAGTCCAAGGTGGCAAAGGACTGGGTCACGATAGTAAAGACGAGCCAGATGAAGTCGGTCGTTCTGAGATCGGATCGACGACCCTCACCAGCCGAAATAACGAACGAGTCTATGAGTCTGAAGTTTTAGTTTCTTTTCTCCCATTGCAGGAGTTTGCATAGCATCAGCGTTTGGCCTGTTCTTTTTGGATATGAATATTGAGCACTGGATACCCTGTAGAATTAGCTAGCATATATTATACTATCATGGAAGAATACACTTGCTTCAGAGTTCCAAGTATTGAATATCACCCGTAGTGAATGGTGGTAGTTAAGAAGACAAGGTGAACAATGAAGGTTGGTGCAAACAAGGCAAACAAGGCAGGTTAGACTTTCAAAGCTTTTTTTTGTATTATCAAAACCAAAAAGTGAAACACAGCAAGACTACTTCAATCAATCAATCAAGAGACCATCGACCTCTGTATCAGACAAGTCAAAGGGCATTGATCCGATTTACGGGCTATACGATCAAAGCCAGAGCTCTACGCTCACCCTTCAGCATGCTGAGAAGAATCCTTCTCTACTCGTTGCCTTAACCGTCACCTTGCTCTAAGCATCTCAGCCACGCGACGCCAGTTTGGAGCTCCTGACGGACGCGAGCCCAGCTTCCATCAGGTTCTAGCAGCTTATTTGTATCTTGGTCGGATAAGCTAGACAGTTCCCTACCCTCCTTATAACATCGGGCGCCTCAAAATGTTCACCTTTACCCCCTTGCTTGGAGCGCAATCCTCGGGCTCCAAGGCTTCACAGTCCATTCTCGAACTCGACGGCGGTGTTAAGATACTGGTTGATGTCGGATGGGATGAATCATTTGATACATCTGTGCTTAAAGAATTGGAGAGGTTTGTCTGTCCTTATACCGCTGCCCTTGGATGTAGGGTTCGTTGAAAAGCTGACATGGCTATTTCCTAGGCATATTCCTACACTCTCCCTTATTCTCCTAACCCATGCGACTCCATCTCATCTCGGAGCTTTTGTGCACTGTTGCCGGGCATACCCTCTCTTCACGCAGATACCTATTTACGCTACAATACCGGTTATAGCATTTGGCAGGACCTACCTTCAGAACCTCTACGCCTCGGCCCCGTTAGCTGCGACTTTCTTACCTAGCACATCCGTCACAGCATCTGACCCAAGTTCTGGTCTCACAATACAATCAGTCACTTCTTCTTCTCAGGGCCCATCAGGATACGAGAATACCGGGTCAGGGCGCATACTTCTACCACCTCCGACTAACGAAGATATCGCCCGTTACTTCTCTCTCATACACCCGCTAAAATACTCACAACCTCTTCAACCATTACCATCGCCATTTTCTCCACCTTTGAATGGCCTGACTATTACTGCTTACAATGCTGGTCACACTGTTGGTGGGACAATATGGCACATCCAGCATGGTATGGAATCGATCGTTTATGCTGTAGACTGGAGTCAAGCAAGAGAAAATGTCATTGCCGGAGCAGCATGGTTTGGAAGCTCTATCGGAAGCGGGACGGAGGTCATTGAACAACTACGAAAACCTACTGCGCTTATCTGTAGCGCGAGCGGAGGAGATAAGTTTGCTCTCCCCGGCGGAAGGAAGAAGCGAGATGGGCTGCTTCTAGACATGATTCGGAGCTGTGCTGCCAAGGGAGGTACTGTGCTTTTGCCCACTGATAGCAGCGCGAGAGTTCTGGAGATTGCATATGTTCTGGAACATGCCTGGCGAGAGGCAGCTGACTCTGAGGATTCAAACGACCCTCTCAAGAACACGCCTTTATATCTAGCTGGTAAGAAGGCGCATGATACTATGAGACTGGCACGAAGCATGCTTGAATGGATGGATGAGAACATTGTTCGTGAATTTGAAGGCAACGACGGTGTCGAAGCCACTACTGGCAAAGCTGCCGGCGGAGCGTCCAACCAACCGTCTAAAGGCGTGCAGAGCCAGAAATCGGCCACCGGTCAGAAAAGCCTTGGCCCATTTACCTTCAAACACCTGAATCTCGTGGAGCATAAGGCCAAGTTGGATGGCGTTCTCGAGTCTAAAGGACCAAAGGTGATCCTTTCGCCAGATACTTCGCTAGAATGGGGACTTTCTAAACACGTCCTCAAGCATATTGCTGAAGGAAACGAGAATTTAATAATCATGACCGAACCTCTAAATTACCTCGCTGAAGAACACCGGGATCCAAATAATGCATACGAGAATATTCTGGGCTCCAAGATTTGGAAACTTTATGAAGAAAGGAAAGACGGGGTTGCTCTCGAAAAATCCACGAGCGGAGAATTGCTTGAACAGGTTCACAGCGGAGGAAAGGAATTTACCCTCACGGATGTGCAGAGAACTTCTCTAGATTCAGACGAACTACTCATTTACCAGCAATATTTGGCAACTCAGAATCAGCTACAAAACACTGCTCAAGTAAGGGGTAATACTACCCTAAACAACGCAGCTGATGCCATGGACGACGCATCCAGCTCTTCCGAATCGGAGGATTCTGAATCTGAGCAACAGGGGAAAGTACTCAACTTTTCCGTCTCCCTGCCTCACTCGAACAAACGCAAGATGGGCCTCAGTGACGCGGACCTGGGCGTGAATATTCTCTTACGTAAAAGGGGAGTGCACGACTATGATGTCCGTGGGAAGAAAGGTCGAGAAAGGATGTTTCCCTATGTGGCAACGAGGAAGAGAGGCGATCAATATGGAGAATTCATCCGACCTGAAGAATACCTAAGAGCGGAAGAGAGAGAGGAAGCTCAGCTGCAGGACCAGCGCGCACCATCGTCTGGAAATACCCCAGCAACCCCTGGCCAGAAGCGTCGCTGGGACAAGACTGGCGCTGGTGCTACTAATGGCCCCAACAAAAGGCGTCAGACATCACAGCCTTCAGATAATGTCTACATACCCAGCGATGGGCCATCCCCACCTAATGGTCTGGTGAGCAGTGATGTTGAGAATGCCGAGGCTTCAGAGGAAGATACCGAAAGCCAGACTCTCATTGAAGGGCCATCGAAAGCCACCATAGTACACTCTTCCATCTCATTAAATGCACGACTGGCATTTGTGGATTTCGCCGGTTTGCATGATAGACGGAGCTTGGAAATGCTAATACCCCTTATCCAGCCCCGCAACTTGATCCTGATAGGAGGCACAAAGGACGAGACTATGGCACTTGCCGCGGAATGCAGGAACTTGTTGGCCGCGAATCGAGGAGCTGGTACCACATCAACGACAAAGCTTGGTGTTGATGTATTTACTCCCTCGATAGGAGACACCGTTGATGCCAGCGTTGACACGAACGCTTGGATGGTCAGACTAAGTCGTCCGTTGGTGCGGCGTTTGAAATGGCAGAACGTCAGCAATCTGGGCGTCGTGGCTCTTGTGGGGAATCTACAGTCCTCGCAAGCCATATTGTTGCAAGAAGAAGTGCTGGAGCAATCTAAGAACAAGGGTAAAGGGGAGGCTTGGAAGGCGACTGGCCCCGTGGAGAGTCAAGCCAACCAGTCTCTTATCAAAAATGAAAAAATACCAGTTCTTGATATCCTACCTGCTAGCCTTGTTGCCGCAACAAGGTCGGTCACAAAGCCGTTGCATGTTGGCGATCTTCGTCTCTCTGATCTTCGCAAGCTTATGCAGTCCTCTGGCCATTCAGCGGAGTTCAGAGGCGAAGGCACACTTCTTGTCGATGGCTTTGTTGCTGTGAGAAAGGCCGGTGCAGGCAAGATAGAAGTTGAAGGCGCTGCTCGGCCGTCACCGAACTATTCGACGACTTTGAAACAGAACGCCGGAACCTTCCTTGCTGTGAAGCAGAAGATATATGAGAGCCTCGCCGTTGTCTCTGGACATAGTGGCTGAACCTCCTGCCCAAACAACCAAACAGCTTTGAGTCACCCGTGGGTCGAATAGCAATGACCGGTTATACCCGTGAAGCCAGGAGTCATGTTTCTCCAAAGTTTGGTTCCTTGGGTTCTGGTTACTCTGGTCGCAGTGACTACGACACATATCCATCCCTTTAACTACATGGCCTTCACTGCCATGAAAATCGAGAATCCCTCCAGCTATTATTCCCCATTGCTTCTGGAAACCCCGTCCTGGTCTGGTGGAGTTTGTCACACGCCCCATGGGACAGCTTTGTAGTGACATGTTCGATTTGCTCTGTCATCTCATGATTTTATTCACAGGCAATCTCCATGGCCACTTTGTAAGAAATAGGTGAAGTCATGGTCGATAGAACGTTAAGAAAGGGAGCTATAAATCCAGATATCGACTCCCTCGCTCCCAAAAATATCTCTTTTTTTTTTTTTTTTTTGTTCTTTCTTTGCACATACTCGTTTTTTTCGCCAACTTCGGTTTCCAGTTGTATAAACTACCCTTTTTCCAGGGGGCATTTGCTCCAAGTGCTCAACTATACAGCCCAGCAAACGTTCCCAAGTGCTTCTCGAAACACAAACAGGTTTACTCATTTAGGTACCATGGCAGAAATGAGATACATCAGCCCTGATGGCCCTCCCCTTGGAGGAATGCCTCCACAAGATTTCGCCTTTCTCCAAGCCTTTCATATGCCACACTTCATGGCATACCCCTTTATTATACAGAACCCTCCCCCAGGTCCGCCGCCCGCCTCAACCCCAGCCCCAGCTCCGGCCTCGGGGGCACCTGCAGCTACCCCTGCACCACAGGTTAGTACTTTCCCGTAAGCTATCCACGTTGTCCAGTATGGGCTAACAGATCAGGTAATATTACACCAAACATTTACGACCAACGTTCCACCTCCAGCTCCAGCGCCGATGGCGCCAGCTTCATCTCCACCTAGGGCTCCCAACCCAAACCCGGCCGCTGCGCAGGCCCCATCTCCGGCAAGCCCACCTGCTGCGGCTCCAGCTCAAGGCCGTCGCTTGCCCAGTGGTGCATACCCTCCAGATAGCGAGCGGGCTATGGTCCTTCCAACTGGGCAGGGCTATATTTTCCCGAAGAAGCATACCACATTACATATTATCGAGGCATTCACTGCCCCCTGGGACAATCCCGGTGGCACTTTCCAATGGCGCTCGTATCGTGTTCCTTCTTCGATGTCAATCTCGGAACTCATAGATCAGCTGTGTCCGACAAAGACACCGGACGGCCGCGATGCCACAAGTCGTGGGGTCGTAGAGTGTCTTGAGATTGGTGATGGGACATGGCTCAAAGGTTCAGAATTTTGGATCGGAGGCCGTCGTGGCGGTGATGATAATATGAAGCGTCGTGTCTCTCAGAGCCTTACAGCCGTCGGTTGGACTGAGCAGCGAGGAACTATCGCTCAACCAGTCTGGATAACCCTAAGTATTGCGGTTTGACCTGGCGGCTCTGACAGGATCTGCTCTGTGGCCTAGTAGTCAGTCAACCTATGCGAAATGAAGGCAGGCGTCATGGCAATAACACGGACATGCTCTGCTACCAAGAGAATTATCGCCATGCTATACCCTATTTCCATGCGCAGCAGCCTCGAATTAGTTTTCTTACATTTGATTTCCATTTGGATATCCATTAGTTACGATGTTCTTATAAGCTGTTTCATGTTTGTCACTTCTAGATGTTTCTGGTGCAGGGAGAGAGGGATGCTATCTTGTCGCATTTTACTTTTATAGTTCCTTTCTAGAAATGAAATATCAATACTGACCACCATTGAGAATATTTTTACCAAACAATGAGCCTCGTAGTGGCGATATTTGGTCAGAGCTTCCCGTATACGACGACAACGAATACTGCGTACATTTAGCCACAAAACTCATCTAAGGGTGTAATGACCATAGGGTCTCCTTCCTGTAACGAACTCGCCCGGGTGGTCTAGTTGGCTATGATTCTCGCTTAGGGCCTTAACCCTAAGTACTTATATGCGAGAGGTCCCGCGTTCGAATCGCGGCTCGGGCCCATTCTTTTTTGTTTTTCTTATATTTTAATACCTTCCATCCACTCCTTCCACTTTTTACCGCCATAGTAAAAAGTAGAAAGAACGACCCTCACTGCCTTCTATGCAGTCATATGCAGTAGCCGTCTTCCACGCCTTTTATCATCCAGCTCCTTTCTCTTTTTAGTTGCGGCTGCTTTTAAGTTTTTTACACGTGACTTATCTCTGCCAAGCATCGCAGCTCTTTTCTCATCTTTTGACGTCTGTTGAGCTCTGGGGCCGTCAAGCTCACCAACAGGAGACTGAGAGCCGATGGGCCTGTTTTCTGGAAGGATGAGACCCCTCTGGGCGAGCTCAGTTGGGAAACATTCGGCTGTTCCATACCGAAGGTGCCTCTCAACCACACCAACACGATTTAATAACCATCAAGCCAACCCGATCACTCTACGATGCGCGCAGATATTTGAACAGTCAAAATCAGGTACAACGCCAAGCTCCCTTGATCACAAGGAACTACGTGTGCAGGGACATGTTAGGTTTCTCAGGAAGCAAAAACGCTTTGCATTTGCACATATCTCGGACGGTTCGTCCCTCCAACCAATCCAAGCAGTCTTGACCCCAGAACAAGCAACAAAGTACGTCCTGAGCCTCAGAATACGACATATGCCCGTTTAGATCTATTTAATAGGGCGGAGAATTAATCAATGGTCGCGGAAAGTAATTGACGTTGCGTAGCTTAACTCAGGGTGCTGCAGTTGAGGTTACAGGGATATGGCAACCAAGTCCTCCAGGCAAACAGCAATCCCATGAGCTTCAAGCAACAAAAGTTGATATTGTGGGAGAGGCAGATCCTGCGGTAAGTTCAATTCTCTTTTTTTTTTTTTTTATGATTTTCGTCTGTTTTGCTTCATTATGTCATTTTGCTAACAGGCTTCATCTTCAACCCAGACATACCCAATCCAAAAGAAATTCCACACACCAGATTTCCTTCGCCAGTTACCACATTTACGCCTACGTACCCCATTCAATGCCCTTCTCTCCCGATTGAGGTCAGAGTTCATATACCAAGTGACAGAGGAATTCCGCTCCCACCGTGATCTCAATTTCGTCCAAGTTCAGCCACCGTTAATCACCTCCTCTGATTGTGAAGGAGCAGGGGAAGTGTTTAGTATAAGGCCTCGAGATGTCGTGATTGAGGAAGGTAAGGCGGTTGAGTTTTTCAAATCGCCTAAATATCTTACCGTTTCATCACAATTACATCTTGAAGCTTACGCAGCAGAATTGGGTAATGTTTGGACTCTGTCTCCCACATTCAGAGCAGAGAAAAGTGACACACCCCGCCACTTGAGTGAATTCTACATGCTCGAAGTAGAAATGAGCTATATGGATTCCCTCGAGCCGCTCACTGCCTTCGTGGAAACTCTTCTACGCAATATGACTCAAAGAGTTTATAAATCCCCGGTGGCGCAAGAGATTTTCAGTTTTAAAGCTACCGATGACCTGACAAAGGATACCACCAATGCCCATCTAGAAAAGAGATGGATGGCTCTAATTGAGGGTCCCCGGTGGCCGCGCATTACGTTCGCACATGCGATTAAACACCTTCATGAGGCTGTCAATACAGGTCTAGTCACATTTGACTTCTCTCCATCCTGGTCGGGGGGGCTGCAGCTTGAGCATGAAAAATTCCTTGTTGATACAATTGGCAAAGGTTTGCCTATTTTTGTTACTGACTACCCTAAGGCTGTCAAACCATTCTATATGCTACCTTCAAGCGGCTCGTCTAACGAAAGCGGGGAGACGGTTGCATGCTTTGACCTCCTTCTCCCGGAGATATGTGAGGTTGTTGGCGGGTCGCTCCGTGAACATAGACTTTCACCTCTCATCCGAAATATGCGCGAGCACGGCTTGCTGAAACTGAAAGATTCAACACCTGAACCCTCTTCTGCCGTTGACGCCAAGGCTCCCTACCCTCATCTCCTCGCTAACGAGGAATTAGGCTCGATCCAGTGGTATGCAGACCTGCGAAGGTGGGGGACCGTACCACATGGCGGATTTGGACTAGGCTTTGATCGATTCGTCGGGTATTTGGCTGGCGTATCCAGTCTCAGAGACCTTGTCCCCTTCCCCAGGCATTTTGGAAGGGCGGATTGCTAAACGACTGTGTGTCTTGGTAGTCTCCACCGGCATACTTGTACGATATATATAGACGGGCTGTACAAATAGATCCAACAATTGTTTTTTGTTTTTGGTTGACCCGCAATATCCATCAGGTTCGTTTCCGCCTGATGTTCGTTTCCATGGATATCTCCGAATCCTTGGTGAATAAACACCGCAAGCAAGTGATTTATTTACATATCATCTCCAGCCAGTTTTGCTGGGGTAAGGCACCTCAAAGCATATTGGGTTCTCACCTTTTTCTTGTCTCCAGTGTTATCCATATGACAGGTCCTGTTGAATATTAAGTCCCAAGGATATATCCGCATGCCTCAACAGGTGATAGCATTCGACATGTGGTTGCTAAACGGAATGGGAACGGGCAAATGGCCTCTCTGTGACCCAAACCCGAGATAAATTATACCTCCCTCATCTGCTCCTCAAGACTACTTTTTTCAAAAAAGGAAGATATAAGAAAACGACAAGACTTTGGAGCTCTTGGCGCTTATGGGATAGGGCGAAAGTGAAACTTGGGGGATGATCGCTTTGCCCTTATCTGTGTCAAAGTTGGCTGTCTATTTTTGCTTGATCAATCATTGACTGGTTGTCCATCCTTCCTCCCTCCCCATCCGAAGTTGATTGATTGATTAATGATTTGACCAACCCTCCACGCCACGACATCATTCCTAGTCGGACCGCACAGGGAGCCTTCCTACTCCTTTCAAAAGGAACGAAGGCCAACCCGTCCGCTTGGGTTCTTTTTTTTTTTTTTTTTTTTTTTTTCAATGCCGTCCACATGCAACTCGGGGTGAGAATTATCCTGCAGAAGCCGGAGGTCTGGATGAACTTGGGTTTGGCGTCAAAGGATGGATGTGAATGCTAAACCCAGCACTTTCTCACTCTCCATCCTGCCTGCCAACCTTCCCCATCCTTCAGAGCTCGAAACAAAAAAAGCGACCCATCACCATGGCAAGGGTTGCAGACTAAGAAGGGAAAGTTACCCCGCAAAGAGCTCAGAAACAGTTTAAGAATCAGAAATCACCTCGTATTCCGATCTCTTCCTGCTGCATAGCAAGGCAAGGATGCTGGTTCAATGTTATGGCCCGACTCAGCATCGTGGCTAGTCAAGGGAGAAGAAAAGCAAGTAAAGCGCTTCTCCGTACGGCACCTCCGTTTGCGTGGGATAACTATATATATTTATTATTAGAATCTCTTCGCATTCAAGTCATGCGAGCGATAAGGCCAACAGCCCATCCCGCAATCACTAAACCCAACTCAGATATTAGCTGTTACTTTCAAGGCTGCCGTCCCAAGAAAGGAATGCCACTTTTCCCAATGCATATGATTATGCGAGATTATCACCGACGGACATGCTTGCTTCTTGCAAATAAGTATGCGACGTAAGGTTCAGGTGGAATATTTTTGTACCTTTTTTCATTTCGACCCTTTTACTCGCACAGCAGCGGAATGAGAATCAAGCTCACCGGGTATGATGCGGTCGACCATTCCAACGGTGCCTTGACGAGGTCGCAGCAGCCTGGGTCTGCTCACCAAGTGTTAAAAAAAAAAAAAAAAAAAAAAAAAAAAAAAAAAAAAAAAAAAACTGCCTCAACCAACGACAGGATCCCTTCATTGTCTGGGGGCTTGACAGTTGGGTGGCATATCACGGCCCGCCCCTTTTAAGCTTCCGTCCGCCTAAACGATATTCACATTTTCATACAAGATGGTAATCACGTACGCTTCTCTCCCTCGTATCAATACGTCAGGAGCGCAGTGCATCACGAACGCAAAGAGGAAAGAAGAAGAACTCTTACAATAATCAACAGTGAATCTGTATCCGTACCCTGGATGCCTGGCCCTATTCGCGGCTCTTCATTCCGCTAATTAGCGAAAACGACGCCACCCTGCATGAAACCATTGAAAAAAAGGGAGGGGCGTTTGTTGTGATGGCATTTCTGGAAGGTCACATTAGTTCAAACGGGCTCTTGGCTCAGCTTTCGCGACCCGACCAGACGGACCAGTTCCTAGGAGGCCAGAAATTATTTTGCGCTAAGGTCTCCAAGAAAGGGAAACGAATTTCCACACGAGCGTCGGGATTTGGGTAGATACCGAAAATCGTACACCTGGGCGTCGATGTGATTCACCCGCCCGGACAGGGCATCGACCATTGCCTGCGAGGAGTGTGAACAAGGTGGCGTATTCGAGAACATGCCTGAGCCCTGTCTGCCTGTGCTCAGGTGCGGCAAGGTGCCGACCTGTTTTGAGCCGACCCAGCCGATCTCAACGAATCCC